GGGTATTAGTATATAATTAGCGTACATCCACTTAAATCCAATAGGGGGAGTTTTTAAAAAAATTCCCCCTATTAAATTTAAATTAAGAGTAAATAAATTCTTACCTTTATAGTTAATTAATCGATTAAAATAAGTCGGGTACTAGGAAATTTAATAATAATATCCCGCTACTCTTCGCTAAATTAATTAAATAATATAATTTAAATAGTAATTTAATCGATTAAGATAATAGATACTATTTAGAAAATAATACTCTTGCTATATCCTATATAAATAATCAAAATTGTATTGCCACATCGGTAGATAATATAATAAATAAATTCAATTTAACTAAATCTTGTACAATATTAATCCGAACCCATAAACAACCCCTAATTTAATAAATAAGTAATAACTATATTAATAAAATAGTATTATATACCTTTATTATTAGTAGATACTATATAACACAATCCTTAAGCAATTTAATTTTAAAAAATTAATTTAAGAGGTAAAAATATATTAAGTTACTAAAAGCTAGTAATACAATAAAACAGCTCCATTATTTCGTCGGTATTAGATTTATAACCTTCTATTATATATACGAAGTTTCGCGTATATACGATGTAAAGTTATAGAAAAATAGTATACGATCCTTCAGAATATAATTCTATATATAATGAAAGCTACCCCTATAGTATTAGTAAATAATAAAGGTATTATAGAAATGCAATTTGAAGTTTAGAGAAATTAATATACTATTCGTCCTATCTTTAAATAATTTATTTAATTGAAATTATAATTTTTGTAGTAGTATAATCATTGAGTGTTAGTGTTGAAATAGGATATTTCTTACATACATTGAACACTTTCGTCCAAACTGTGTATAGACGTAATCTTAATATTACACCATTTGGCCCTGTGGGTCTAAAACGACTGTGCTACGGGGTGGCGGGGAAGTGGATGGGGGCTGACTAAGGTTGAACGTCTGTTATGAGAGACTAAAACAAGTATTGTTTTAATATGTCGACAAAAGTGCAAGCTATTATCGGTAAAGGCTCTCGAATTTCTCTCTTTACGGGACAACCATCTCAATCCCGCTAGGAAAGTCGCACGGGTTCAATCGCCGACTTTTAATTTGTCTACACGCCAACACCTTAAGACTGGGCCTCTTTGTAGTGTAGGATATTCACCATGTGCATTACAACCTCGTATACTATAAATGGAGCTCTTTCTACTCCTGCAGACGTTTCTAACGTCTTCACACTCTGTTACATACCTACCTAGAGGTAGGTACAGTCGAACCCCCTGAAACTGCATCTACTAGATACTGTATATATGCCAGTTAGAGCATAAGAATCAGCGGTCTGAATTAATTCTCAGCTACAACTATATAACTGCATACTGCATATAAATCTCGGACAATTTTTGGTGCGTATGCACTTACAGACTTGGTCTTGAGCGGGAAAATCTATAGTATAGGGTCGGATTTTAGTGTCTCGGCCACTAGTTGACTGCCTATTTGGGCCTAGCTTCAATCTAGAAACTACATAAATGCTACTTAGTGTATAGAAATCCCAGGTCTGAATTATATGCAGTTTCAGGGGGTTCGACTGTAGGTAATTCCAAAAATGCTTTGAAGAAAAAGCATGGACCCACCTATATAGCGGCTCTACTTCTCACCTACAAGGCTTAATCCTGCTGACGGGATTGGTTGCTGGGCTACATGTGAAAGCGGGACCCCGCAGCATACACTATACCTACAGTACCTCTAGGTATACTACATCCAATTTTAGAAGATAGCGGGGCGGGCAGGCAAAGGTCAGTTCATGGACCTCAAAACTTCGATTTTGACCAAGGAATGACATGGAACAACGAACAAAAAGCCCCTTTCGTTGCCTGCCGAAAAAGCAATCGCTTTCTGCCGTTGAGGTTGTACCCTCTGGCGGGAAGCCTGGTCCCGGTCTGTGCCAGTGCAGGTGGAATGCGGACGAAAATCGATCAAATGTTTGCGGCCTCCCGTGACGCGGGGTGGCCCTGACCCTGACATTCAAATGTTCGGAGATACAGTCTCTGTGGTGGGCTGTCCGCTATCCGCTCAGGTGGGGCATATTTTTCATTTTTTGTCTAGATGAGCCCGGTCCCGACACAGACGGCGACACGACCCAAGGACCTACCCAGCCACGGGCAACGCGCGCGCAAACGGGCAATAAGCGACGGCAAGCTGGAAGCGCATCTCTGTGCTTTCACTCTTTGCGTCATTGCACTGGGCGGTTTGCTTTCCTCAGCTGCTTGGTTGACGACGGGAAAACATTGTCTGTTCTTTCCCGGCTCTGGACCCTCCTTTCGTCTTGCTGGACAGGTACTAGCCACTCTCACCACTATGGTTCCCTCCCTTCTTCCTCAATCGGTCCAGTCTCGCTCATTCACCCTCGACCAAGTTCTCCTCAAGCCTCTACCTTGCCAGTTTTGCTCGGCCCTCTCTTCAGCCTGATCCCGAGAACCTGCTGCCATCATACCTCTACGCTCCGGCTCCGAACGATCTCTACACCTTCAGTACGACGGTTTACCGACTTCGAGTTTCGCACGCACTCCATTCCCTTTTCAGCCGACATCATCCAAATATCAGAGTTCGCCGGTCAAAGAGCTCTACACACTCTTGCAAAGATGCCTCACGAGGACAAGTCCATGGGGGCAGTCCTTGCTGCGCAGGATCCCATTGTCCAAAGCCTCGTACGCGAAGAAGTCGACCATGGAGTCCTTATTCCCCTCAAGACAACTCTCGAACTAAGAGATGACCACGTTACGGGCCGGGTACTGATCACCCGAACTCCCGTCAAGTCGGCGAACCCTACTATCAGGTACGTCCCCTGCTGCAGTCCCCCAAGCCTCTTACCTCTCCGTGTCACACAAGCTGACGTTTATTGCAAGCCTCTTGCGCGATATGCTACCTGAGGAAATCGTTAAGGGCGTTCCACACCTACGCAGATGCGCCAAGCCAGGCGACCTACCCGCCCATCTCAAGACCCAATTCATGAACGAGACGCCCCAGAGCCGACAAATTCACACGGGCAAGTCGAACTGGATCTACATCATTCTCGGTCCCGAGTCCCAGCTGTCGCGCGACGAGCTAGTCCAGGCCCTCAAGACGATCGAGGGACTGGAAGAAGACATCTTCATCCGCAGTGTCCCTGTTCCCATGGTCGCTCCCACCTCGCAGATTCAGGCCGCCATGTGGTCCCAGCACTTCTGGCCCACTCTTTACCGCAAGAATAACCCTCTTGGACCGCACCCCGCCATGGTATCCCGAAGCACAGAAGAGATTACAGACGATGCTGCGATATGGATGACATTGGCCCACCAGGTGGCCGAGCAGACTCAGGCCGCTGGTCACGGAGAACCCATGGGGGCTTGTATCGTCCAGCGTGAGGAAGGCCACAAAGTCACCCTTGTCGCCCTTGCTGCTGACGCTCGCTGGCGCTGCCAGGGAAAGACGGGATGTACTGGGAATCCTATGGCGCATTCAGTCCTTCGTGCCATCAGTATGGTTGCCCAGAAGCTAGTGCGTGCGGAGAACAAGAGGACCGACACGTTCCAAACCCCAATTCTCGAGTTTGAGGCCTTCCAAGACAAGCCTCTTCTTGACGACGAGCAAAAGGTCTTTGAGATTGACCATCCGTCTCCTGATGGGTACCTCTGCCACGGGCTCGAGATGTACCTTACGCATGAGCCTTGCGTAATGTGCTCCATGGCCATCCTTCACTCACGCATGGGCAAAGTTGTCTTTCGTCATCGTATGCCGCTGACGGGCGGGCTCTGCGCTGAGAACCGTGGCAGCGATCACCCATCGCTTAATGGCGCGGATGGTGGTCGTGGCCTTGGGCTGTTTTGGCGCCGAGAACTCAACTGGAGCTTGGTAGCCTGGGAATGGGAGTCTAATGGCTGCTTAAAGCCGCTGCCGGTCAACCAGATGATCCACGCCTGATGGTGTTGTGAGGAATGGAGGTGAAGTAGGTGGTACGCATTACAAGAAATTGTTATAATCTCACGGGGCACGCTTTGGTATGCACTTTTTGGGGGAGAGAGGGTTGCGGAAACAGATGGCAGAGGAATTAGGTAGTCCTCTCTGGCCTCTCTGTCGGTTTTTGATGTTATTGAACAAGCATTTTTGAGCAAACAAAAGGGTCGGAAACAGGGAACAGAGGGTTACGGCGTTTGGCAAAGGTTTTACCCCCCCCCCCCCCCCCCCCCCCCATTGTCCTTTTAAGTTGAGCATCAGTTGCATGGTAGCGAGAGCCCGCAAGCAGGCGTTACGAAAGAACAAAATTACTGGACTGGCCGTTCTGGTCTAATGAGGTAGAGATATTTGCTGCTGGAATACTGCATGGATGGGTTTGAACAAATGGAAGAGCTGGCTCGGCGTCGTTGCTTACAATGAGAAACTAAATTCCCTTTAACGGAGCAAATTTGTATTGCGTTTTGTGTGAGATAGGTTATGGCATATCGGTGGCTCCCCTTCCTAGCGGTTGACGTCTTAGAGCATGCGGCAGATATCAAATCCCCAGCTTTTGTCAACACTTTTGCCACAGCAGCCAAGTCGCACTGGTATCTGTGGGGACCCTATCTTTACCTCTAAGTATTGAACAGAATTGCACCGTTAAAGGGATATTCTTTCATAGCATGCTGAGCTGGTGCAATTCCCGCACCGCCTTTGGATGTTTTGTTTACTGAGAATAAACATGGATATGACTGGTGTGCGTTTGTAACAGGATGACAATTATTATATCCAATATCTCCACATTGCCCTGGTTCTGACTCGAATTGCATGTCTGGTGCATGTCAATATTGCGAAGGCGCCGAAGCGTCAACTGAGTCGAGGAACCAGCGTGCCGGTAACCGCCAAACTTTTTCCAAGTTTGAAGATATAGGGACTTCGAGTTGTGACCTCATTGTCTCTTTTCGGCCTTCCCGCCGACTGCGACTGACGGCCGAATCAGATATAAGACGAACTAAATTGAAGGTTACGCTAAAGGTATGTGACTGTTGTTCAATGGGACAAAAGTAGGGCCCGTCCCGCTCCGGGCTACTCGCCAGGTCGTCAGCACCGACCGTCTGACAGTAGTAGTGGTTATTGGGATAGGTATTGACTTGTCTACGGACTATTAACTTGAACGGCGGGAGCGACTTTCATCTGGCTTACTTGTATTCCATCCCTCCCAACTGATTACCTAGTCTGAACCACAAAAGCCATATGGCGTTTTAATACGAGAATCCAATACGAATCAATATTCTTCCCACTAGTCAGAGGTTGGGTTTGAAAATCCCAAACGAGTGTGTGACTTTTGTTTAATAGGACAAAAGTAGGGTCCGTCCACTCGGGCCCGCTCCGGGCCCTGCACTACGTCGGTACGTAGCGACTCGATGCCGCTGCAGTAGCGAACTAGCCTCATGGATCCCTGTTATTTGCGTTGCTTCCTCAACTTCGTCCATTCCTCCGTTTCTTCCCTCAGCATAGAAAGGACCACAGCTGACAGTTAGAGGCAATTCGCTGTCTGCAAAGAGATCCCAATAAAATACAACTCGTTACTTCAACCGATCAATCTTTACATCTCTCTTTGCCGAGCACATCTTCTTCAGTAGTCTTGTCCATCTGTGTCACCGGGACCTCACCGCCGACGACACCGCCAACCTCGTACTGCGAAGAAGCCGAGAACACTTCCATTTGAAGTAGCTGGATAGTCGGCTTCGCGGAGTGAGACTTCTGTCCACAAACTGGCAAGCAAGGCTCGTTCCCATGATCTGCCTAGTCGAAACTGCTTTCCTCACCCAAAGTGTCTTCTGCTTGACGGCTCAATAACATATGCTTCCCACTGCCGTGCAAATATTCAGCCCGGTTGACGCCTAGACTAGAGTCTAGACGTACAAATACTATCTACACATTGTTGTAGAACTTACTCGACAAGAATATCTGGTCCACAAGGGTCCCCCTCTAGATATCAAGACAAGCTTTGCGATTCGCAGTCATCGTCTTGGCTCGAACTTGGCTTTTGTGAGACAAGAGTCTTGGAACTCTTAGCAGTCTTGGAGGACCGATTTCAAAATGCCAGCCTTAGCCATCACCAACTTCAACATCGTGTTGAGCGTCCTAGGAGGATGGATCTCGCTCTTCGGGCTGGTCTCATACCTCTGCAAGGAAAGCTACTACATGTCCGAAGCCTGTAAGTACATCCACAGACTTGGACGTCCATATGCCCGACCACTTGTACTGACCTTCATTCTCGAATTGTAGTCATCTCCTTATTGGTAGGCGTTGCTTTCTCCCCTCGCGCCGCCAACTTCGTACGTCCTCTTGCCTACGCCGACTATGACCCCCTCACATTGCAGGCGATTACCCTCGCTTTCTCCCGTCTTGTCCTAGGCGTACAGCTTGTCCTTGCCGGCGTTCAACTTCCTAGCAGATACCTACATCAACAATGGCGCCCGCTCTCCATGCTACTTGGCCCTATCATGTTCATGATGTGGATCGCGACCAGCCTGCTCGTCTGGGCTCTCGTGCCCAGCTTTGGCCCTAACGGCATCGGCTTCTTGAAGGCACTGGTTGTCGGCTCGTGCGTGACGCCCACGGATCCGGTTCTCTCCAACGTCATCGTCAAGGGCCGATTCGCCGATCACAATGTTCCTAAGGAGCTGCAGCGGATCATCGTGGCCGAGTCGGGCGCCAACGACGGACTCGGCTACCCCTTCCTCTTCTTTGCGCTGTATCTGATCAAGTACGTGGGACACGACTACCCCAGCGACGGCGCGGGCTCTGGCAGGGCCATGGCGCTGTGGTTCTACGAGACGTGGGTGTACACCATCATCCTGTCCATCGTCTACGGCGCCGTGGTTGGCTGGATTGCTAAGGAGCTGCTCCATTGGGCCGAGGAGCGCAAGTTTGTCGACCGTGAGAGCTTCCTCGTCTTTGCCATCTCACTGGCTCTTTTCATCACGGGCACGTGCGGCATGATCGGCAGCGACGACGTGCTCGCGTGCTTCATTGCGGGTAACGTGTTCACCTGGGACGACTGGTTCCGGCTGGAGACTCTTGATGACTCGCTGCAGCCGACCATCGACATGTTGCTCAACGTCACCATCTTTATGTGGTACGGCGCCGTGTGCCCCTGGGAGATGTTTCTGCGCAACGGCGTGGGCATGCAGATCTACCGGCTCATCGTGCTCGGGATCCTGGTCCTCCTGCTGAGGCGCTTGCCGTGGGTGTTTATCGCGCACAAGATCCCTTGGGGCCGCAAGATGATCCCGCAGATCGAGGGCGCCAAGCAGGCCATCTTTGTGGGCTTTTTCGGGCCCGTGGGCGTCTCGGCCATCTTTTACCTGTACATCACGCTCGAGTTCCTGAGAGGCATGGACGGCCCCGACGGTAAGCCGCGCGAGGACGTCAAGGACCTGGCGGAGACGGTCACGGTGGTGGTTTGGTTCATTGCCATCTGTAGCATCGTTGTTCACGGCCTTAGTATTCCGGTAGGAAAACTCGGGTTCCATCTCCCTCGCACTCTTTCCAAAGGCCTCAAGAGCGGTGCGGCGTCGCCCTCGCGCTCGGTTCTCCCGGACTCCAGGCGTTCTAGCGGCGGACCTCTGCCATCGTTTAACATTGGCGGCAGGGTCAGCTCCTTCTTCATCGGCAGGACACCGGGCTGGGCAAGGCCTGCTGAGAGGCAATCCCATGACGAGCACAATGCAGAGAGACATGGTGAAATCGAGTACAGTCAGCAAGGGATTCCGTTGACGCGTCCTGTCTACAGAATTGATGGAACCATTATTCGCAATCCTCCTGCCTCTGATACAGATGCTGTTGAATCAGAGCCGAAAGATGTTGTGGCTGTGGGTGACGTTGAAGGGCCATCTCAATCTCAGTCTCGGCTTGATACTACTCCTACCAACTCGAGCAATACGACTCTGGATGGCGGGAGACGGGGAAGAGGGGTTTTGGCCACACCTGCGGCTCGCGAGGCAACGGGTTCCAAGTCTCACAGTCGAGCGCCGGGGCGGTCTATTCGGTTCCCTGATGATAACGGCCAGGGTGTTGGCAGCGCGCCAACGCTTGTTGGTGAGAACACGGCCGGTGTCAAACAGTAGTATGCTGGGTTAGTCGGATCTCGGCGTTGATGTGTGCCGGAAGACCCCGGTGTTCACCAAGTGAAGAGAAGACTATTTGTTGAGGGAGGGGTTGAAGAGGAGAATGGGTGGAGGCAGATCCCGTACCAGGTTCAACGAGAAGCTTTGGGATCTAGAGAAGATTGTAGTTTTGTTTGGGAGAGGTGAAGAGGAAGCAGATAGGACGGAGGGTATCCTAGGTGGAGAGAATCTGGAAGATCAGCGAAGTTGAACGAGGGGCAATATCGTGTAGATACATAGAAAAGAGGTCCAAGTCTAGTAGACAAACGTAGAAACAAATGTAGACTAGTTGCCAGACTATCCTTCTGACGTTACCAACTCCTCTTTTTCGAATGTTTTGCTTTCCTACCCACCGCACCATGTACTGTGTACTCTCTCTCCCAACAACCCACCTCGGTTCGGCCCCCGCGGCCGTCTTTGCACACCCCGCGGCCCCCGTCAACCGATCGGCATCCGCATAGCATTCCGCAGAGCACCCGACCCGCTCCACTTACCGGGCCGGTTCCGATGGCCGGGCCATCTTCGCTCAATTCTTGCCTCGTAGACGGTCCGGGTTGTATTTTACGTACAGTACATAGCCGAACATGCGGCTAGTCCTAGTGGCCAGTGTCGTGTGGTGTCATTTTGCTTAGTGTAGTTAGCGTCCGGTGCTGCGGAGGAAACTACAGTACACTACTGTAGCGGGCATTAGGTTGGGGGGTTGTTGCCGGTCCCTACCTCTAGATTTTTCCCCTCTTTGGAGTCCGGAGCCGGGAAGTCACGATGGTGTTGCATCCTGATTTTTGTTTGCAATTTCTCGGAAGCAGTGAGAGATATCGCGCCTTTCTGACTTTCTGGAACAGTTGTTCGTTGGTTCTCGATGCGAGAAGATCCAAGATAGCGAATGCAAGATTATCGACGGTAGGCAGAAATGGGTATAATGGCATCGTGTTTACTGTATGTCATATATCGAAAGCCTCGACGGCGCGGGAAAAACAGGACGCTGACTGGCGAGAAATGTGACGGATCAGCATGGTCGGCGTAGTTAGGTACTCCTGCAGTTGTCGTTGGATGCAGGCAAGGCAGCGCCGTCACCACGAGAAAGGCGCCCCATGGACCCATTCACGCTGTGACTCAAGCCGCTGAGAATCTCAGATTTGGTCGGATTTCGTGAGATCTAACGTTCTCTCCTCTTTCTCTTTTCACTCTTTTGCATCCTTGGCGGACAAGATTTCTAGCCGGCGTAAAAGTATGCTGTAGTGTGTGTACATATGTAGAAGCCGACAAGATGCTTGTGCTGTTGTGTAACTCCCAGACTCGCAGCCCAACAGCCAATATTGTCTCCACCAAAAGGAGACGACGACTTTTTCTCGACCTGTGAGGTCTGGAGGTGAGCCTCCTCTTGTGGACTTGGGGAGGTGAGGTAAGATGCAGAGCACGAGCCACATCTGCAAAGTTATCCATCGAGACTGCTCCAGCCGGAGGGAGGAATTTGGACTAATGCACGCGGTTTTTTTTTTTTTGGTTTTTTTTTTACCGTGTGCGCAACTATATATAATGTGGGAATTGGTTGATTCCTCGGAGCACCCTTTGAGGATTTTGGTTTGGGGCCTAATGTTGGAATATCTTCTGTGGCTGATACTCTCGTCTTCCGTCGTCATTCTCCAACATCGACGGATGTTCTCTGTCGAGCTGCACGCTGTTTGGCTTGTCCCTGGGCGGGGAAACCGATGGACCCTGATCGCTTCCAACTTGGCTCCACACTAAGCCTACGTAGTAATTGATCCGTGCACCGAGCAGGGACAAGACGTCTTGTGTTGCACCAGCTTACGACTTCACAGCTTGGACTGCGTTTTGTTGTCTCCTCCAGAGGGAAAGACTGGGGGATGAAAAAAAACAAGGAAAAAAAGGAGGAGATAAAGTGCCGTGCAATATGGACGCAGTGCGACCCAGTACCTACCAGTCTACCACCTGTCCATAGACGCGGAAGATAAGGCTCCTGAGCATATAAAGTGATCGATGTGATGAACTTCCATGTTCAAGAATTTGTGCATAACTGGCCTCAGCGTTAACGTTTACGGAACAGATTTCGGTGGTATCCAGTTAGTGCCGCATTGCCCGCAAGTTTCGTTATCCACTGCTCAACAACAGCTCAGTTCGTTTCAGCCCTTTCGCGGTTTTTGCTTTGGAACTCCACTCTTTTTCGCCTAGCTCAGTTCGTTGTGCACTGCAGTTCATCGCTCCAGTCTCCAGCCCACCAATTTGGCACTTTCGAGTTCGTCCCCTCTTCTTCCACTTCGCAGGCCAGTCACGGTCCATGCCTGCCCTGCCCTTCTCCAAATCCATTCGCAACCAGACTCTACCATAGGTAGTCAGAGGTAGAACCTCCCCTCCCCCCCAACAGCATTTGCCTCTCTCCCGCTCCCACCAGAAACTGGAAACACCATAACCTGCCTCTACCACCCGACGACACCCACCTCTTCATCGTCCGTCTGAACAGCGTAGCCGGCAATTGCGCGCCCCTTGCATTTTGCGTTACCTGCCTCAAATATCTCTCGTCGCAACAACGAGTCCCGATTACCGAATAATCCGTCGTCCTTTTTTTGTCGCTCGTCCCGTCCCCGATTTGCGCGCCTTTGCCGTCCATATCTTCCAGCTTGCTCTTCCCGCTTCGCTCGCTGCTTGCACCGTCAATTGGCCGTCCGCTTCTCATTTTCCCTTACCGCCTTTAACCTCGATTTGCTGTCCGCGACACACATCGCCACTGGCGCCAGCCCATCATTTCTCGACTACATCATCTCCACAAGCCCGGAAACTTCGAACGTCCGTACTAGTCGTCTATTTCTCCTTTATATACTCGCCGTGGTCACTATCTCGTTGGGGGACACATTGACTTGTTGCCCTTCCGCGATCCACTCCCGCGATTCTGCCCTGCGCCGCACGAAAGCAAATGGCAACGGGCTGCCACGCGACCTGCCACGACTAGGAAAACGAGCGCCAGCAACGTCAAACACCACGGGCTAACAAGTCATCTCATCCTCGACCGACGCGGTGGAATATCATCTGGTTCAAAAGGCCGAACCACGACGGGTGCCGGGAACAGCCACGCCGGTTGGCTTCCGCAAGCTGTTCCATTCTAGCACATCATCGACAACCTTTGCTCATTACGGTGATCGAGAGCCATGCCAAGCTTCAATAACAACAGGTCGGGGGAAAGCGACTTTACCGAATTTCTAAACTGCGATGGATATCAGCCCTGGTCGAACCAAGAAGCTCCCGATGGCGCCCTTGCTGGTGCCGATTTCAACATGAACCAGGCATGCATCTTCGATTCGGACGAGATGAGTCCCGCTGCCAGTCTTTACGGCGCATCACAGTTCACGGAAGCCTCACACTTCACGGCCGAGAACACTCCCTTCGATCTTGACCAGCAACTAGACGACAACTATCAAAGCGGCTACCGATCGCCGCGGATGCAGTTCGCTTCACCAGATGTTCAGACGAGCCCGGAGTCCGCCCCCGCCACATCAAGAAACTCGTTATCTTCGTCATCGACGTCGATGGACAGTCTCACTATTGACCCTTCCGATATCAAGCCGACCGAGGTCACATCAGCACACACCAACGAATTCTTGGCCAGTCCGTACGACAACAGTCCTAGTCCAGTTGCTTCAATGCAAGATGCATTATCACCACAGCACAATCCACAACCTTTGATGCCATACGTAGCGCCTGAACAAGCTCAGAGGGTGAGTAATTCCATTCTTTGACTTGGTATCCAGAAATTCCTAATTGCTTTTTGCAGCAGTACTCCATGATACAGCCCGATGCTATGGTAACGGATGGTCCACAAGAACAAGCTTCGGGGACAAACATGGCGACTGCCCAACACATGTCGCAAGTGATCCCGGGGCCGGTTGCCAATTTGCAGATGCATGGTTTGCCAACGCAGTTCATTGTACCGCCCTCGCACTGGCCGGCGGCCTTTACCTACAGTATGCCACATATGCCTGATGGTCGTGGCATTTCCTTCATGCCGCACGGGATGCCCGTGAATCTTCCCCAGATGCCTAGCGGCTTTGGCGGTCCTCCGTATCACCTGGACGTTTTATTGATGGACCGGATGCGGAAGAAAGACGGATCTGGAAACGTCAACGGAGAAGTCGAGATCCCCAAAATGAGAGTTGAGACACAAGCCAAGTACAGACTCGCCCTCTTTCCTCTCCCTCACGGCGTCAAGAAGCTTCATCTTCCAACGCAGTACATCAGCAAGGTCAAGCAAATGGCTCGACCTCTTCCGCCGCCATCGCCAGAGAGGCTGGAGTTGCACGCCGTTGTTGTTTGCACGAGTGCAATGGAGAACCCCGATCTGAAGAAGAAAGCTCTAATGCGAGCCCGCTTGGGTGCGCAACGTCAAGTCAAGGGGGAACCGAAGCCGAACACTGACGATGAGCTGCCGGGCCATGATGGTGGCGAGATTCGAATCTGCCAAAAGTGTATCAGGCGCGAGTCGAAGCGAGCTGGGCGGAAGAAGGTCAAGAATGTGGAAGAAGATGAATACTGGCGATCCTTCGAATCGGACAGGATCATTGTGTTCAATGCTGCCGAGATTCAGGAATGGCATGAGCCAAAGCCCGAAGAAGTGAACGCCTACCATGTGGAGTTCTACATCAGAATAGCGTGTTATGGCCGGCACCACAACGACAAGAAGAAAGGTTTCCAGGTCATCTTCACCATCGTCGACCACGAAGGCAACTACATTGCCCAACAGCTTTCGTCCCCGATCGTCATTACCGATGACCACAAGACGCGAGACTCTCCGCAAGTGGACGATGAGTTCATTCCGGACCAACCGCAGAATGGCACTGTTAACCCTCCTGCTTCGAACGGACAGCCTACCCCTCCTCCCCTTTCTCACGATATCCAACCCCTCAAGCGTAAACAGCCAACTGTTGTACCTCCGGTTGCCGTTACTACGCCTAACCAAGAGATCTCTCAGCCCCCATCGCCGATCAGGCCTATCACAAATTCGAGTAAAAAGAGAAGAGTTGGCAATCTAATCATGACACCGGTAGAAGCAATCGCCCCAATGCCCCCACAACAGGTATCCAACGCGGCGGCGGTGGCTAAACCAGCCTCATCAGCCTCATCGGCCTTTGTTCCGCCTGTTCAGAGGCACTTTGCTCGGCCTTCAGACGCGAGCCAACAGCAGATTAACCCACCATCACTCGCTATCGGCGCAACAACGATGTCGTATACTGGCGGCTCGCCGCCTTCAACCGATAACAACGACCAAGCAATGTTCACCTTGCCTGGCAATCAAGGTCTCAACTTCTTTGCCAACCCCACATCAGGAAATCCAAGTCGCGATCCCAGCCCAAGTCATTGGCATAACACCAATGGCAGTAATTTGTTGAGCCCACTTATGCGGTCAGCAGTGGGCAGTCCATTCGCCACGGCGCCGGCGCCAGCTCCCGCACCGGTTGCTAATCCAATGCCTTCTGTGGAGGCCCCCGTTCCGGTCAAACTATTCAAGGTAATTCCGCATCAAGGATCGGTTGATGGCGGATTTGAAGTTACAGTGCTAGGCGGTGGCTTTTCCCAGGGCATTGTAGTCATGTTTGGCGGGCGGCAGGCCACGACGACGACGTACTGGGGAGCAGAATCTTTGGTATGCTTGGTCCCTCCGAGCGACACACCTGGCAAAGTCCAGGTTACCTTCAAGAATCACCAGGTACGGGGTCAACCCGTGTACTTCGAATATATCGATACAAGGTCCGACGAACTGGCCAAGTCTGCGCTTGCCTGCTTGGCGCAGAAGATGGGCAAAGATGTCAACTCCTTTGCCAACGACCTCATTCAGAACTTCACCAACGAAGGTTCTGGCCCCTCTGCCTCCGGTGCTCCTACCTATAACCACGGTCACTTTGAGAACTACCTTCTCAATGTTATTGAGGCGATTGATCTGGACGACACTCCGAACAGCAAACCGAAATGGAATCTCGCTAGTGAAGCCACGGGAAAGACCATGTTACATTTGGCCTGCTCTCTTGGTCTCCGCCGGTTCACTGCAGGCCTCCTGGCTAGGGGCGCGAACCCTGATAGCCGGGACAATGGCGGTTATACTCCTCTCCACATGGCTTCTCTCAATGGCCATGCTGAGATTGTACGGCTCTTGGTTGCCCATGGTGCTGATCACACGCTCCGAACCTTATCCGGTTTCACTGCTGCGGACGTGGCCAAGACGACAGAGGTTGTCCAGCGCCTTGCAACTAGTCGACTACACAGCAGGTCCCGCAGTCTCGGATCGCTACCTAGCAGGGCTACTAGTACCAGCAGCTTCACGTCACTCCAGCAAACGACGACAGCCATGGCGTCTTTGGCCCTCGAGAGGCCGGTCAGCGAGTCTACAGAGCCAGAAGACTCTTCTTCGTTCATGTCAGATGTCGAGGATTCATCGGAGGACAGTGAATCGACCGATGGCGACGATGAACCCGTTCTCGAAATGCGCCGTAGCAGTCTCGCGTCGCCACCACCAACCGACGAGAATGTCGCTGAGCGGCAGCGGCCGCTTGTTGATGGTCTTGGTCCTGCTGCTGCTGTTAACGCTATCAGGGAGCAGATGATGGCTCAAATACAGCAGTTGCAACATATGCTTCACCTCCAGAACCTCCCTCAGCTACCGTTCATGCTACCTCCAGTAGTACACTACATGCCAGCGTTGCCTGGTTACCAGACTGCCCAACGTCTTGCGGCGACTGTCGTCCCAGGAATTACCGCACCGAGACCAGAACCAAATGCCACGCAACCAACGCCCCTGCCGCCTACATCGAAGGAATCTGCAGGCTGGTTCAACAGTCTGATGAGCAACAACAACAACAACAACAACAACAACAACAACAACAACAACAACAATAACTCTGTTCCTCCACCCTCTTATGATGAGAGTTGTGGCAAGGGTCAGAGCGGGTTCCCAGATGAGAAACAGGCGTCAATCGCGATGGCTGCCGCCGAAGCTGCAGCAGACGAGAAGTGTGCGGCCATCTTTGACCAAGCCGGTAGCAGCAGCATGACGATAGAGGCAACGACCACCACGATACCCGCTGTGGAAATTGACGACAAGACAGGGATTAATGAGGAGGCTGAAGTAGAGACGTCGCTCGAGTTACCGGTCATGCTTGAAATCGGTCGCAAGAATGCCATCACCAAGGAGCAGCAGGAGAACCTACGCAGGGCGCATTCCGTGAAGAAGAAGGAGCTGAGTAGGGACAGGAATCTCTATCTCATCTGGATCCCTCTTCTGCTCGTCACACTTTTCGCAACAGTGTTCAACGAGCATCACTCTATCTGGAACTTTTTACAGATGGCTCTTGAGTACTTCCTTGGGAGTACACAGCCGCTGGAGAATCATGCACCCCATACTGTGATTGGGCAGCCACAGCCGCTTCAGCCGTTGCAGGAGCCAGTGGGGGTATGAAGGGGGGTATATTAGATATTGAGTTGAAGTACCTTTGGCGTCGTTTTCGTTCTTTTATTCTTCCGCAAGTCGCTGGGGACATTTTACGTCTTCAAGGTCGATACAAATCTGTACAGCATTCGTTATGGCAATACCCTCCTCCCCTGCATGGACTGGTATTATGGTTCCGACTTGCTCACTCACACTCGCACTTGCACTTGCACTACATACATGTACATTACATATACACTTTGGGTAGAGTCTGGGATAAATAGTGGTAGAAGGGAAAGAAGGGTTGGCCGGAAGAGGGAGGAAAGGAAAGAATGGGAAGGCGGAAGCATGCTATGATAACAGCTTCAAGGGACTAATGACTTGTTCGAAGATCTCTTTTTCCAAAGTCTAGTTATTTTCTCCCATCTAAGTTAGAGAAGAAGAAGAGATGAAGGCGATCCGAACATCACTTTGCTTGTAATTGTCTTGGAAAGCAGGGCACAATGGACAGGGGTGGATATGATGAACTAGTCTTGGTGGTTACAGGAACTTGGCGCTTATCAAGAGAAAACTTTTAGGACTGACAAGGCTCTTTACCAGTGTACTAGTTCAACCATTGGATATTGGCGTGAACGAGACCTGGATACAATGAATGGAGCGTGAAACTTGGCAGTTTCATTTCCACATACTTTTAGTATCTGCTTATTGGTCTACCAAAGCAAGAAATGGATGCTCTGTCACAGAGTGTTCATTTTTCTCCAGGTCGAAAGCGAAGGGGGAAAACTGTCTGACTAGTTTGTCGTGTCAAACGAAATGTCCCAAGCGGCCTAACCATATACATACAGAGCTGTTCTTTACTGCCCCTGGGTTCATTTTCTTCGGCAACTTGGAGAGTCGTTAGACTTCCAATCCCAAGTGCTTTGTCAGAACCCTCCTTATCTACCACACTGTCTACCTTTTTGTGCTTATGCGACATGGGCATCACACTAAGAAGTACTCGAACATTTCAGTGTAATAGCCCATCCGCGCCAATTAATTTCTTTGTCTCAAATTGCACGACGTAAGGTTTGTAATCTTCGTAGTCCTCCTCCCCGCTTATTATGCACACCTCTTACGTAGTGAGATCAGCTGTAGGAGTTGGTGGGAAGCGGGAAGCTGCACACACACGAAACCTACCTACCCACAACCATATATTGGTCCTGATTCCCCCTCTATTTTCACCACTTAGCGTTCCTCAAACACGGTGTAACTTCCGTTGTGTATTTGCTCGGTGGTACCCGTTGTCCACCAATCAATGCGGGCTGCCTGCTAGTAGATTCACTCCTTACCCGCACGTAAGGCAGAAAAGAAGAGGACTAGAAAACGGAGAGGTAGGTGGTTGCGCATGAAAGAAGGAGGAAAAGACGAAGACGAGGAAGATGAAGAAAAGGGTGTAGAAGAGTGCGAGGTATGGCCAAGCCCTCCTTTAATATATTAACTAGCAAATGGACATCCAGGTGTCATTTTACCTCCAAGGTGCAAACAAGTTCCTATGCATAGGTGCATTCCCACCTAGAGACAGTCTCGCCTAAATATGTCAGTTCCTCACGGAAGGAACCAACAACCAACAACAACCAATCTAAGCCAGCCCGGCCTGTTGGAAGGTTTGACAAACACCCAACCTGATCTACCAATCTCACTTGATTTTCGACTCCGTCGTCTGTTAGGAACACAAGCACTGTGATCGCTGTCATAGTATGCCATATGCAGCAGGTGGGGGTGTGTAATATATAATGAGTGTCCCTGACTAGATACTGAGGAAAGGATGGACGATGGAATATGTGAAACGTAATGTGTAAGGTAAGGCGCGACGCAGTGCGGGAATCTGGAACACAAAAAAGGATTACCTCTCGTGAACTTGGCCAATGGGCGAGTTTATTATGATCAAGTGTTGAAGGCAAACGTGGAGTAGTGAGACGTCAGTTCCTTGTTTCATCAATCGTGCAAACTAACTGAAGTGATCTCTCCCGTCTCCCGGTTACCGAAACCCCTCCTCTCATCCCAGTATCGTGGTTTGTTACTACTGAGCTTGTCTTCGTCATCTCAGCACTAGATCAGTTAGCAGAACATCGTACTTGATGGTTTACTTATTTATTTATTCATTTAATTATTCATTTAAAAAAAAAATTTAAATTTCTTTTTTTTTTTTTTTTGGCTGATTTATAAGAGACGGTTCCCTCGGTCTTGCAAGTTCACCTTTCTCAAAAGCGGAACGAACTAAATGTAACTGAAGATCTAGATCTGACCTCCACCTCCGGGGAAAGAAGGATAGAAACAAGGGTGTCCATTGCATTCTAATCCTTAAGGGGAGGGGGGGGGGGGGGGGGGGGGGGGACAAGCGCCCTGCGGGGGTTGATAATCTGAAAATTGTTGTTTGGTGTTTCAAGAAAATGCAGGCGGCTGATGCAGGCTTATCGATTGGCAGCCGAAAAAGAATGGACAAGCGCCAACGGGTCTGAACTTTTTCTCGCTGGAGCTTCATTCTGTGGCCTCACAACCGCCAGACGTGAGGTTCGGAGAGAGGACACTTGTTTTCCGCCTGCCTTGGAAGGGAAAGAAGACAAGGGAAAGAAAAGAACAAGCATTTTTCTCACCCCGAGACTCCAGTACCGAGCTTTTTGCACAAGGGTTCTGGATTTTCCTCGATGTTTCCATCGCTGACAGCGGATCGTAATTTCGCTTACAGCCTGGCTGGGGGGCAAGTTCAGCGAAGCTCAAGTCCACCGACATCCAGAACTTGCCGGATGTATGCCGAGATAGGGAAGGCGGCGGGAGTTGATTACACGTGGGAAAACTGTCGTGAGAGGGCAAAGGTCGAGTTGCGTTGCAGCGAAGGAGGGGAACGACGAATCGATGAAGGAAATGAAGACCAGCCCAGATTCAATATAGTTGCCGATCCCACGCAGGAAGAAAACCAAGGCAAAAGCCGGGCATGGCTTAGACGGGAGCGAGATGGATTCTCAGCCGCTTTACAAGTGTGCCGCATTCCGAGTTGGGATTCGAGCCTTTTTCGTAAAATGTCGCAGGTGTCTGGAGTCTCTCCACACAAGTTGTTACAAACCGACACCGGGCGTGCGGGAAGCGGTCGTTCAAGTTGTTTTCAAAATTCAAAAGAGGATTACCGTCCGGCCTCGTCCTTTCCACGGCATCTGATTTAAGTTGTGCTGTCCTGCCCAGTGAGCCAGTATAAGTGGGATATGACCAAGGCACAGCAGCACTCTCTCTACACTACATATACTATGCGGTGAGTGATTCCCCTTTGCTATCCCTTGCTGTTTGTGTGTGGGTGACAGTGACTCGTCACCACTTGCCCGCGCCCAATACATAGCGACTCCCCGCCGTGCCACCCGGACCCAGAATTTGTTTCTGCAGAGCCAGCGGCGTGGACTTGTGCCCTGATTTTTTATAGCTGACCCACATCAGAGCTGATTCCGTACCTGCATAACCGGGCTGAGTGTCATTGGTGCGTGCCTCGTGATGGTGGGCCGCGCTAACAGCCGAGAGGTCGATCCATCTTTTTCTGGTCCCGCTCGGTTATGGTTGGCTCCGGGTGCCACAACATCACAGCAACCTCGTCGCTTTTTTGTCTTTTTGAAAAAAGAAATCGAGGGCGGCGCGTCTTGGTGAGTCCTGCCTCCCTCGCCTCTTCGTTTTGCCTCAGCTTCATTGCCGCGCGTCCATCGGACTAGTGTTTCCAGCCAGTGGAAGCGACTCGATAGTCGACTGATGATGGAAAGCAGTTCGTTTCTTTGTCGTCCGATGTTGAACCGGACACATCGATGCAAGGTACCTTATGGCGTCCCATCCTTTGTATAAAGGACAACGCCCACGAAAAGTGATCAAAGGCACACTTAGGTAAGAATCAAAATGTGGCCCAGATATCCAAGAGACAAACGCGCCTTGGAGCATTACGAAGCCAGAGGATACCGAAGGGCCCTAATACTATCTGGCGGTGCTCCTTCCAAGTCGCCGTGACCGGCGGTTCCGATCTCGACCCTCGCTTGTTATCTGACTACCTCTATGTACGTAGTGTGATTGCGAAGTGATTTCGAAATGTGTATCTGTGGAAAGATCCCATTCGTGGGCGGACGGTTGTTTCCACTTGCTTCTACACTACTGAGTGGGACCCTACTTTGTTGTCTGACGCGCTACGTGCCTGCCTTTGTGTGCTCACAACGGGACGGGAGCATGGGAGGAAGGTTTGCAACTCGGGTCCCCTGCCCTTGCCGCCAAGATGTGGTCTCAGGTACACTATACTACACTACACACGCCATGGATCTCGTTCCTGCCGTGCGTTCCCACAACCGGGGACCTTACCCCTGGCGGTTACGTCTCACCGGGCAGGTCTGGAAGCCTTTGAGTCCCCACTGGACCACCCCTCCTCCTCCTCCTCAGGCGGGCTCCTCGTTCAAGTTTTTGCTGGGCTCCATCGAATGACCCATTGATGTGTGTCCGTTTGTTGTCTATCCAACCTGAGAGGCGCCCTGACCCCCCAATCAATTATAAGACCCAATCCCCCCCCCAGTCCTCGCGGCCCGTTCATCCTTCTTCCTTCCTGATCTCCCCATCACGCTTCTCTTTTGGGCATTTTCATTCTCTCGTGTCCCTTGACTGCTTCATCACCAGTCCCACGCTCCCTCAGCACCACCTCGTTATCCACATCCGTCCGGTCGCTAGCTTCGATCGACGTTCCAGCCAACCCATCCAGATCGGCAGCATTCCTTGTGCCCCCCCTTGGATCCGCGACTGTTAACTCGTACATTCCTTTCCAGCCCCATCCGCCAACCGCCTTCGTATCTGGTTATACGCCGTCTCAGCATCATTCCCTCATTAAGCGCTGCTGGACAAGTTGCGACACTCCGCATTATCCCTCCTCTCGACACTGAACATATCCATCAAAATGGTCTCAAAGTCCCTTATCGCCCTGGCGGCTGCCACCTTCGCTGGCGAAACTCTTGCTGCTAGCATCCATCGCGGTCATGAACACCATCACGTTGGCAAGAGGGACATGGTTACCCAAATGGTGACCCGTACTGCCTGGACTACCGTCACCGTCACTCTTGGCCAGAGCGTCAACGCTGCTCCGACCGCCGTCGACAACAACACCAAGCTTACCAAGTCCCGTTCGCCCAGCTCTAGCACCGCCGTCGCTGCGCCGGCCGAGGCTAGTTCTGCCGCGCCCTCGAGCAACACCATTGCTCACAACGTCAACGTTGTCGATGCTGCTGCCAGCCCGTCTGCCACACAGAACAGCGCCCCTGCTGCGGCCCCCTCCACCACCACCACTGTAGAGTCGACTGAGGACCAGTCGAGTGGTCACCGCCTCCAGCGCGGTCTTGCCTACAACGACGGCAAGCTCCTCCAGGGCTTCCTTGGAAGTGGCTCCAAGGCCACGTGGGTTTACAACTGGGGTCAGGTGGACGATTCTGGCACTGGTCTTGAGTTTGTCCCCATGCTTTGGGGCGTTGACAAGGGTTTTCCCCAGTCCTGGGACGCCAATGCCCAAAAGGCCATTGACGCCGGCTCCAAGGCGTTTCTCAGCTTTAATGAGCCTGACCTCAGCTCTCAGTCAAACATGTCTCCGCAGGATGCTGCTGCTAATCACATCAAGTATATGAACCCCTGGGCCGGAAAGGTTCGCATCAGTTCTCCGTCCATCACCAACTCTGACGATCCGAACATGGGTCTCAACTGGATGCAGAAGTTCTTCGATGCCTGTAACGGACAGTGCAAGGTGGATTTCTTGGCCCTTCACAGCTATGGAACTGACGGACCCACCGTCCTCAACCACCTTCTCGATGCCTACAGCCGCTTCAAGAAGCCCGTCTGGGTCACCGAGCTTGGCTTTGACGGCGATGACGACAAGAAGAACCAGGCTATGGAATACGTTCTTGATCACTTGGAGAACAACTCTACCTTCTCGTTCGTGGAGAGGTTCACCTACTTCATGGTTGCGGAGGGTGAGATGTTGCGCAACTCGCAACTGACCACCTTCGCCAAGACTTTTGCCTATGGTGCTTAAGCATCTATACCATCTGTCACTTTGAGAAGATTTCACTATGGACTTGGTTCTGCATGTTAAAAGATCTTGCCAGTTTTGGTTCAAGCTATCACCATCTCCGCAATCTTGGTCTTAACCATGGGCTTTGTTTTTCTTGTTTTCACCCTTTCGCTTAGCTGTCTTTGAAATATCCTGGGAACAAAGGAGTGGCGCATTAGGATGGATGGAGAAGAAGAAGGAGCAGCATATGGATGGACGGGTGGACAAAAACTGGCTTTGCCTTATTTTTGTTTTTTCGAGGAACGTTTCTTACATCTTACACTCCATTTCTTTGTGCATAAATTGCATCGCAAACCTCTTTTTTCTTTCTGCCTTCTTCACACCCGTACGACTTGCAATCACGTCTACACATCGCAATCCTTCTTTTGACGATGTTGCCGTTTTGCATGGACGTCTTTTTACAGTCACACATGTTGAATCCACCTCATGTGTTTTTTTCTCAACTATTTTCAAGCTTTGTATGTATGGAAAACAAGGGTCAAGGCAAAAGGCTATGATGAATCAATGAACCACGTTTCACGATGGCATAGAAGAGGACGGCGAATACCTGCTGGATGGGGAGTCCTTGTGTGCATAAAATGAAGATCATTCCACAGAGAAGAGGAATCCGAGTATCTGCCAAATGACGGTGTAAACGTCACCACATTATTTTACAGTGCCTACACTATCACCAGTGCTTGTGACCCGATGTGCATAGTTGTTCCTATACGATGTCAGCATGTCAAAAGCATTCTGTTTCGTGATGGCGGAGTGTTGATGTTTAGTTGAGGTGAAGGTGTGCATCATGCCATATAGGTACCTAAGCTTGGCATGTGCACTTACAGCCCTACGCTAACTGTACTGTAACTGCGACCCTGGCAGGTGTCATCTGAACCGGAGCGGGCCTTTCTGTGCGTCCCTTGGCAGCGGGTCGAGAGCGGGCATACAGGGCCCCCGGCCTGCGACGCTTAACTCCGGAGCCAAGCCCTAACAGATTGAAACTTTTACTTGCCCCTGAATGAGATCCTACTCCTATATATCAATATCGACGTCGTTCTGGAATATGATTTGGGTATGATTGTGCAATAATCTTTCGTTCTCATCAGGTATAACTATTTGTCTCGCATAGTCTTGCACTTCGTCAAAATCAGCACGCATAGACAACTCTCTCGTTTGGGTATCCCATGTCCGCTCATGCAACATGACTATCAAGCGTATTCGATCCCTCTTAATCAAAACAAACCCAAGCCACCGTATAACCAAAGCGTCCAAGAACCTCCATGGAAGTATCATTTCGGATCACTGCCCGTACCACGACTTGCACGGCTTCCGCGATTCTGTTGTCCACTCAAGGTGATGACGGTATCCCTACGGCTGCGATTACGGCTGTTGCTGTGACTCGCCTAAGGGTCACTGCTATCTTCGTATCTCCGCGACGAACTCCTTCCGCGCCTCCATCCGTCACTGCGGCCACCTGTTGCAATCACGACGCTGTTTCCCAGCTTGACCCCTTCGGCCTCGCTGGCTTGGGTGAGGCTGGATCCGTAGTCAACGTCGATGCGCACCTCTGTCGGGGAGATCTGGGTGGTGGGCACTAGCGGTGATATCGAGTCACTGGTGCCCCTCTTCCTGGGACTCAGTGATATCATGCGTATCTCGTCTGAGTCGCCGGTTGCGGATCGCTTCAGGTTGTCTTCGTTGAAGGGGTTGTTGGCGTTGTTGCTTGACAATGTGTCGTTCAACTCCATCGGATCCGTGCTGTCTAGGGCAATGTCCCCTATATCGTCTGCTATGGGCTTGGTGCTTGGGGTGGGCCTTGGTGAAAGGCTGCTACTATTGATACTGGCACGCTTTGTCGATGAGTTGTTCTTTTGCTCTAGCATCCCCCCGTTGGCCTGCTGTCGTGATCTTCGGAGATCGTAGACATCCTCGCCGTGGTTACTGTGTCTCTGTTGCGACATGGTCTGAGAGTCGATGTTGTTGTTCGAAGCGATGCTGTCCCGTGAAGTTACCCATTGGATGACGATGGCGCTGAATAAGACTGATGAGAGTCAGTATGTCACCAAGATACACAGCCAGTTGACTTACTATCACTATTACAACACATCAGACACACCCATCCAGGTTCGCCATTCAAACCCATGAGCACTGATAGGTTGCTGTCACAACGTTAGTCAGGGCCAAAATCAGGAGCCATGAGAAGACATATCTTACACGACGCTGCTGGTGAGTGTGCAGATGCAACCAATAAGGGTCCGCATGGCCACCAGCTTCAGTCTTCTATTTCCCCGGGTTTGCTGAGAGCTATTAAAGGCATAGAGGCCTGATAGAGTCAATTACCGTAAAGAAAAAAAAAGAAAAAAGAAAAAAAAGAAAAAAAAAAACTATATGAGAAGGACCTAGTACCTAGTAATGGCAGCACGAACAGAATGGTGAGGTAAACCTAAATCGTCAGCACAGGTTTATTGATTACCGGAAGAGGAGAGGCGAATGGGACTAACTTACATTGACGAGCAGGTCGTAGACAATGAGTGGAATCATGGCGTATCTCTCCATTCCGATTATGCACTGTTTGTGTTCTATCTTTGTGATACGACTGCGGCGCTGCTCGTTAGTGATTGAAAGTGGATATCGCTGTGAAGTGTACAACATACTAAATGAAATTGAGGACCACAACGACGCAGTAAGCACCTCCTAACTGTTAGTCTTGTTGGTCTACACTTTTTGAGTTTGAGGCAACAAACCAAGTACCACAATGGTGTTGAAAAGGTAGAGCTTGGAGTGTATCCGGAGTTTCTTGCTTCCGGATCGGATAATAAACTGTTCCCAATGTCAGAGGTTTGGCCTAATTATCTGGAAAGAGTTATAACCGACCGCTTTCTCCACCAGAAACATGTAAATAAGCTTCAAGATAGGATGTTAGACAATTTTCCGAGTACTCAATATTTGGGTAACCACGTACAATCTAGAAGTAAGGTCAGCTGGTCTTCTTGCACGTTCGACCTTGTCTGGACACCATACCTTTGTTGTGACGTAGCAGGCCAGACAAAGTAAAATGGCCGACTCGCAGATGGATGCCGAGCTATCAACACCGAAGCCAAATTGGAGTATGGCAGTAGCAAACACAAACAAAAAGGAATCGGCGTAGATGGCGAAAACCACTGTGAGGACATGTCAGTTGTGAGGCCGAAGACATACCAATGCCGACCTAGCGAGCAACTGCACGCTCCGGGCGGGACCTACTCCACTGGACGGGGGGAAGTCTGCTCCAGACTTTGACCGCTAAAAATCTTTGAGCTGTTTGTAGAATAAGTCGTATCGGTTCAGTTCATGCCCCAACCAAAGAAAGGGTCGACAAACAAAGTCCACTCACTCAGAAAACTGGAGATGATAACCAGAGAGATCATGGCAAGAATGACGCTAATAACCATGCCGGCAACGGGCTCCTCGCCTGACTCCGACTCTTCCATCTCTATGTCGTTCCGTCGGGTGCTGACAAGCGGCGGGACCATGATGATGGCAATCGATCCATCAATCACACGAATGCGAGCATGTGGCGGTTGTAGCCAGGGGCTGCAAATGCCTGTGTATGTTGTTCAAATGGATTGTGTTCTTCTCTGTAAGCGCAATAAAGTGAACCATTCAAACTGATTGTCGGCAATCTAGCATCCAAAGTACGATCAGGAAGGTAACCAAACATGAGTTGGAGAGAGAAATGAGAAGAAAAGAGGATCGTAGCCACAGCCGCAAAGAGAAAAGAAAGAGGAGTGTGCTAGAGGGTCGCAGTTTGTATGTGTCCGGATAGGTATCTTTCAAGTGATCAAGCCAAGTCGAAGTAGAGTAGGACACCCAAAGGTATCCGAGTAACGTGAGTCGAGGCTGATGTGGATGTTTGTTACGGAAAAGGCTCGAAGACGAGGATCGCCAAGTTCTCAGCTAGGAGTGGAGGTAGAAGTCCAGGAATATGAGGGCGCCGTCATCGGCAACACAGGCGTAACCAAATCTAGCCAAGAAGAAAATGGGAAGTCGTCGAGGTTGCTGCTGCTAGGGATGGCACTATACTGCAGGGAGTCCACCATTACTCCTGGGTGAGTTCAAGGTGAGGTGTCGGGGTTTGTAACGAAAGGTTAGATGGCATTTAAAAGGAACTGGGGAAGATGAGATCACCTAGGCGGGGAGATCGGTGTGAGATGGAATAGTAAAAGTGCGAGTGGTCGGGGATCGCGCGCAGGGACGGGCAGACCCGGCAAGGATGGGAAATTGAAGAACGAGTCGTCTCGATCCATAGTTTCAAGACCTTCCAAAAAATCACCCGCCTTCGCCTGGGTAGCTCTTTCCTTGGCCACCAGACCACCCGAAAGAGGACTGACGGATCGATGCAATGCGAGTTCACATTTCGGTCTTTGGGCGCCCGGATGGGAAGGAGCGCGACAAGTGTTCAAGCCACATACTGCTGTTGTACCACCTCACCGGCCATGGCCACTTAAAAAAAAAAACCCCCCAGCGAGAAACAAAAAGGTGTCGATTATTGACACCTCTTTTGCACGTTATGAAGAAGGAGAAAACAGAACAAGACATTTTTCCATGCTGTAAAACGGGATGGGTTGGTGGAAGATGAGTGATGAGCGAGTGTCCTGGCGGGTTCTTTGCTCGCGGCTGCCGAAGTAGGTATGCATGGAGACACCAGCGTGGAAGTCGCTGTTCTGTTCTTGCAGTTGGATGCCAAATCTGCAGCCCCTGGAGAGCCTAGGTACCTCCGCTGCACCTCACATACTTCGACTTTTCCTTGCCAGGCCTGCATCTCGATTTAAGATGCCGAGTCTCACCTTGGGCGCCTACAGTCTTATCGCCTCCACTGATTGACGCTGGAGTATACACATAGGTAGAAAGAAAGAATATCGAGGGACTCCCTGGCCACAACCGATGTTAGCCATCATCCCTTCTAGCTATATGTATATAGACGGTTCATTTATGTTCGACAAGAAGCACGAATACCATATCGAACCGCCATGAGTTATCCTCCAAACCCCAGCAGTTTCCCAGCTTACCATTTCTTTCACGATACCCAGGGCAGCACCCACGGAGCTGAACCACCACTTGTCTCTGGATACCCCTGATACCTAGTTCCAGAAGCGTACCACCTCAGATGCTCGGAATGTGTAACCACAGGCAGGCACGACCACAAACCAGCTTGGGTAGGTAGGTTTCTTGGTATCCCACTGCAAAGGTGTCATGTTGCTGTGCTCCCTCTTCTGTAGTTGCAGCAGCAGCTACTGCCGAAGATGGAGGGAAATCACATACGCTAGAATTGTGGTTGCCAGTAACTTGGAACGAACCCAGCAGGAAGCTACTAGTAAGGTAGGTAGAGGTAGGTAGTTATGTGTAACAGATGTGGCGGGTTAATGGATGAAAGCGGTCATCGTGTTTCATCCTCTCCAGGTTGGTGGCGAGAGTTCGATGAAATTGAGACAAGAAATGAATCATTCCCTTGCTGTTTTCGCGGTCACGCGTCAACTGTGGACTCTCGATAAACCTTCGAGGTATTTATGCGGGTGAAAATGGGACTGACGCGTTGCTTCATCGTCACTTTAACCGTCTTGGAAACCTAAAACTACCTATAGTAGCAGATCATCAATGGAAAAAGGGCAAAGAAAGCAGGCAGCCGAAGAGAAAAGACCAATTTACGCAGTCCGGGATTCGAACCCACGTCTTTGCACGTGCAGTGGTGACTTCTATTCAAAACCTTTACCCACAGAGTAGGTTCCCGAAAAGAGGTCCGATACTATATTTATATCCAGGGAGTTCAACCTACAAGCAGAGTGATGTGCTTGGCCACTACACCAACCGCGCTGTTTCCTGTTGTCGCAAAGAGGACTGCCTATCTGTCTGATGGACCAGTACCTTTCCAATACAGCTTGTAGTGCTAACGATGAATATAATTATAGCTACCTATTCATGCGTACCAACCCAAGTCATCCATTTGTTCTGTCCGCTTCCAAAGGTCTGCACTTTTTTGTTCTGCCCATCCCGTTCTGTTGAGCCGGCTAAGACGGGCAGACCTTGAGAGGCCCGAAGCGCAACCACCACATGTCTTTTGTTTCTCGGTAGCCTCCAGAGAAACATACGAAACCTTTTTTATGCTTCCAATCCATACCCAAAAAGGCGTTAACATGCACCGAGGTATTATGTCCTACCCTTAACATAAACCATACCAGTAGGAAAATTGAACAAGACGCAAGTGCAACTTTAACCCGTCTATGTGTGGTATCAAAAACTCGACTCAAGTGTACCAGGCATTTTCAAGGAAAGATAACCCAAAGAAAAAAAAAAAAAAAAAAAAAAAAAAAGCCGGAAGTGACGCGCTCGTTTGAATGACAAGGTATTGGACATTTTTCTCAACATGTCATTATTCAAAGTACAACACCATCCCTCTGAGAGCCGAGCATCACGGCGTGGGCGTGGGTATATCTACCTCTGTTGGTTGTGGCTGCGCCTGACTTGGAGGCCGTGATGCCCTAAATCTGCCTCTGAATCGCTCAGCGAGTCTCGCTCGGTGAGTAGAATCTGTGGATTCGCCGTTATCAGGATCGCTTGTTAATGACGATCCTGTGACAGACCGTCGTTGTTGCTGCTGAGACCTATGTCTTCTCAAGATTTCCATACGTTCTTCGATAGAGGCAGCCCGAAGTCTGTGCAAGTCAAGAATTCGCAAAGACCTTCGCCGCTCTCTGGGGGCGGTGCTTGGCATGGGACTTCCACTGGTGCCGGGCTGCTGGGCGTTGTCGCCTGCTGCTGTTGGCAAAGACACTGAGTGATTATCGCCAGGGCCGGTAGTGCTTTCGATTGAGCTGTGGGGTCGAAGATCGAGACGACTGCAGACGGTTAGTATGTCGCTTTCCATCGTCAAAGACATTCACCAAACCTACCATAGAGGGCAAGTGCCCGAGATATTTACCAACCAAGGGTCGACGCAAGCTGGGTGGTACCTGTGGTTGCAAGGGAGAACCCGAACATCTTCACCAATCGTGAAATCCTCGGTACAAATTGGACACCCCAGATTGATGTCGTCTGAGGTCGTATTCTCAATGTCGCCGGCTGTGTTGGTCATGCCCGTTTGAGCCCCATAGACTGTTGCCGACGAAGCCTGTTCGGATGCCTCCACACTCGATACAGTCATGGGTCCTTGAGATTTGGCTATAGATGGTACCGTCTCTTGGATTGCTGACAATTTTGCTCGTGGCGTTGGATCCTGTGATGACCTAGAGGGTTGCTGTTCAAGCTGGAAATCGGGATCCGGCTTGGCTGTGGATTTCTCTCCAAACTTGACGATAGGCAAGGTTTCAAGCACTGCACGCGCCAGTCCTTTGGCTCTGCTTTGACTAGGCCGTCCGCCGTAGCCGGGCCTAGGTCCGTATCGCTCCGGATAACGATGGGCTCGGATCGCTCCGGTCGCGATAATAGCGAGGAAGAGTAGGGTAATGACTCCGGTAATACTGTAGAGAATGTTCATAGCGATCGGTGAGCCATGCCCGGTTCGATCTTCGTCGTCATCATCGTCAGGTTCCTCATAATCCCCAGTAATAGTGGCTAAACTGCCTGACATTGTGAGGTTAAGCGTGTCTCTTGCATCGATTTGGTCGGTCATGGTGAAAATAGTAGTGTAGTTCCAGTCATCCGTGCTGTCGCGTCTGCAGCCAGCGCCGGCCAGGCTAAACAGCAGAATAGCTTTTGGTGCCTTGGCCATGAGCTGGTCAAAGAAGGAGGTTGAGTTAGAGTTGTCGCAGTTGAGATATGCGATACTGTTGGAGTCGATAAACTCGAGCCAACCGCCTTCTTCAGTAGGAACCATTGTCCCCTTGATTGTGATAGACTAACTGGGGGCATTAGTGAAACTTGCACTTTTAGTTATGCCTTTTATATGTTTCTGATGGTGGCCTACCTCCCGAGCTATGACGGACTGGTTCATCCCAACAGCTTCAGTCAATGGGACAACTCGGTGTCTGATCGGCTTGGCGTCACCTGAACCTAAAGGTACGGTAAGTTGTAGGGTGAGATATTGGTCTTGCTCCCAGTCCGAAAGCTCTGGCACGGAACTAAGCGCATTCGCGACTGAGATTACTAGCGTAACGACGGCAACAAACAAAAGCTTGCGAAGGGCGGCGGCAACGGTTGACGTCGTCATGTTTAGGTTTTCAAGTAGAGGTGATGCGATAATGAAAAGGCAATCCACGATGCGACAATCCGAATTCTTGCTGGTTGGGGAGGATGAGAGACGCCTGATAATAAGGGCCGGATCCTGGTTGTCTGGCTAGGAGTCTCACATCTCCGTGTACCTTAGGTATGAGTCGGACAGAACATGGCTGAGCCGTCACGCTGGGTTGGAATTGATGATTTGGAATTAATCGGTCTTGGGATCGCCCCGCGGCGGCTTGTAGTGTTGATATGCGACGCAATGCCCTTTTGAGGTGATGAGATGAGATGGGGCTGAGGACAGTTGTATAGGTTGCGCCAAAGAGTATTTGCGAAATTGATACCTAGAGGTAGCGCAAAAGGAAAGACGCTGAAGCGCTGTTCTGGTATGTAGGTCCCGTCAGACGTTCGTTTTAGATGCAAGAAAGTGAAAAAGGAAGTGGACGGACGGAAAGCAGCGGAGGCCAGATAGCGAGCGAGGTACACTACCTAGGTACACCTGTAATGTTTACAAGGCCGCCGGGCCACGTGCAAGGCAAGCGCTGACGGCAAGGTAGGTAGTGTAGAGTAGTACAGGTAGGTGGTATCCCCAAGCTCGGAAGCTTGGCTGACTCTTGGCTTCTTCGACTTGGCTCCTAACAACACAATGAATGGATCGACGGCGCGGCGGCGTTGCAGTTGGCAGGATTGCCGACACTACAGTATCAACAGCGGTTGATACGCTCTGATTCGCCTATGTGTGTGTAAGGGTTGACAGTCCGTGGCCTCGTAGGCTTGTGTTTCGTTGTAGATAATTCAGAGGAGGCTGCGACAGATGGTGTGCCGTATGAATGGGCATCCTGTTAGAGCTGCATGTAGGCCGGGGCAGTGCTAGGGCGTGTTACTTAGGGAAGCGAAGATGGGCAACGCATTGGAAACACCGGTAGTCGCATCGTCCGTCTATCCAATCTGACTGCGAGTGCAACTAAAAGTCGACGAACACCAAATGCCTTCAGTAGTGTAACCGAACTTACTCAATCCGAACCTAGAACTGAAGCATTCCGTTCACATGGGCCCCAGGAAGCCGGTCAAGACAGGCACCTCTTCGATAGCTCCGTGACCCGCAGCCGTTGAAAACACTGGACGCCGCAATTGTGGACAGAATGCGGAGATTCGCTGTGCTATCGCCGTACATGTAGGTCAGAGGCATGTTTGGGGTTTCCCCCGTGTCTGTGACACCGAAATCGGTTTTAGCGCTCATCCTTTCGCCATATCTGCGCAAGGCAGGCACTACCCCGGCGTGGTGTCAGGCAGACTCAACACCACAAACAGCTTTTCTACCTCTATCATCCAATAACCCGAGCGCTAGACGTTCCTTTGCCTCTCCCCAACTCTATATCTGGATGACTGATCGCTAGTAGCGAGGTGTTTGACAATGTAATTCTTGTCGCATTCAACATTCTGCCGACCGTACCGGAGAAGTTGAGAGGTAGACTTGTGAACGGTTTGGTTAGTCTCGTCGAGGAACCCGTTGCCGTCAAGTTCGACGCGGTCAAGTTTCTCTTTTCATTTGCCTGATCTGTCATGCCATGAAATCTTCGGCCTGCTCGGAACGTGTAGGCGCAGCTTAATCACCTATCGAGGCCAGCCGCTTACCCATCATTTACCAAAGTGGTAAGCATAGTATACTGACTGTTGTCAGACATGAAAACTGATACAACAATGGACGTGGCGATAAACTTCGGGTCGCTGCTTGAAACAAACGGAGCGGACCTAAAGTCCCATGGTTCAAGAACGTTGAGTTAGGTGGATGACTGCAGTTAATTAGCCCTGTGGCGTCTTCCATGGCTTCGTGGAAGATTCCATTCCGTTGAACTGACATGGATGTAAATTGCATATCTGTAAGGGGTGAAGACTTTGGTTAACGGACATTGGTCCTTTTTACTCGCATAAACCTTTGCGAGAGCATCGAGAATCCATGCGGTGAAATCGTCACGCAATATGGGCTCGGCTAACGACAGACCACAGTATTGACGGAGCACTTTCTTTTTCTTTTTAATATCGTCTTGAGTCGGCTTTGTTGGCTTTGATCAAGCGACATCAAGGGTCTTGCTGTGTACAACACTGTGGATGAGCGGATGGTTTCTGAACTCCATGTACTACCGGGTGCACACTGGCGGTGGAAGGGTATCGTAAAGGGAAACTCGAGATAAACCTCTTCCATCATTCATCAATCAGTATCAAAATGTCTCATCGAGGGAATGGAGAGGAAGGTTGTGCGGTTCCAAGGTAATTGACCATAACTTGTCCAGAAGAGGCGACCATCGACCGGCGTGCCTTGAGCTAGAGAAGCACTCATGGATAAAAAGATGCCATCTTTGTCGCTACCCTTGCAGTCCAAGTACGAGCAAGCCGAACAGAATCACCTGACGTTATACGCCGGCTTCCCGGATCTCCGTCACCCCTCCGCCTGATCGGTGCATCCGAAACGAATACACCGGTGGGATATCGGTAATGGCGTAGCTAGAAGGTGGGGGTTCCGAAGTGTGGGGGCCGGTGCAGGTAGTAGATAAATGTTGACTTTTTTCAAATCTCCTCCATATCTTCGAGGTCGTCCACGATGGGGAAGTCGCCAACCTCGACTCGGTCCGGCCTGACGAAGACGCCATGCTTGAGTTGAGACTCTTCGCCCCAGTACCGAGTTCCTCCAATGCTTCCATCATTCTTGCCCACTGGCTCGTCCAGGTGAACACCAATCCAAGCACCGATGCTGCCCGGGATCTCCTTGACCTCACCCACGTACTTGACCACCCCCCTTCTCGTGTCATCTTGGCCAACTCTGCATCGCTTTCCAACCTCGATTCCGCGTTGTTCAACTTCCTTGGCAAACGCAGCGATCTTGGCCTGCTCATGGCTTGGAGCGTTGGGGTCGAAGCGTCCGAGCTTTTGGGCCTTCTTCCACGCGAGAACTGAATCGGTCTTTTTCTCGTACTGTTCCTCTGGCATCACATACTTGTCCACGCCAGCGGCGTTGAAGTTGGGCCTCGCCGAGGGAGGTCGCAGGTCGGTGATCTAGCGCATAGTCAGCATTGGCTCTCTTGACAAAACGTCGGGATGAGCCAGTCTCACTTGGAACTCTGCATAGGGTGCCAGAGGATAATTCTGCAAATACGTAGCCTCCTCGTCCGCTGCTTCAATCGGAATGGTTTCATTCGTCAAAGTCTTGAGGGTGATGCGCTGCGAGGAAGGGGGAATGCCCGTGATAGGCTCCATCTTGGTCTTTAGCTGGGCGATGGACCATGAGGGCGTGATGCGACGTTCCGAGGAGGAATACTCCGACGTCACGTACATAGGAACGTCCGACATGCTGATAGGTAGCTCTGCGTGAAGCTTTGGCTAGTGAAATATATGATGATAGATATCCAGGAGTGACAACGGGGTTTGGGCAAACTTTGGGCGCAAGGAGAAGTTCATTTGACCGGATGACGGCGATGGGGAACAGAGGTATGGACACTACCTACAGGCGCCAACAACAATGTGGAGCCAATTGAACGGTCCAGGGCATTGAGTTCTGTTTATTAATTCACAGAGTGTATGTAGACCTGGACAGGCACGAACTGAAGAGTACACAGTCGATGATTGTGTAGAGGAGCCCGAAGTAAACAAGCAGTCGTATTTCAAGCCACGCACACTCAGGATATTACTATTCATCGTGGGCTTCATGACACCTTGATCCTTTGCCGTTTGTTTACAAAGACAATGCCATAGTTCATCGGGTTGCACATGCAAAGAGATAACGAACTTGATACGCGCTATCATCCAGACAGTATATTACATGAAATGGCCCCACAAACGCAGGGGAAGTATGGTGATGCTGTAATTACCTGTATGTCATATCTACCTCTGTCCATACACTAGGTAGACTAGTATGTTGCACCACCGCCACCTTCTGCTTGCCTTGGTGCCACGAGAGATCGGTTGCTCCTTCTTCGTCTTAGTAACGAACATCACCTCCTCCACAACTGCGCCTGTCGTGGCATCACACTGCACTGCACCACATCATCCACAGCGTGATCCTCGCCCGTCGCTGGCCCTTTCCCTTTGGATGGATGCAACGTCCAAGTATACTAGTAGGCTTTAGAACACACCCGGGTTCATCACACAATTTGTTCTTCATATTTTCCCACTTCCCTAGTTTGCAATTCCGAGCCGAACCTATGCCACCTCCAGTCGCTTTCTCATTTCCATTCTCCCAGGGGCCATGTTGTTTGTACTCAGGTCACTTGCCTAGTCCAAGGCCTTTAACCTTCACTACATAGCCACTCATCCCAGTTTGATTGCATCGAGCCAACATTCATGGGCGCTGGCTTCGCTCTTCCGTGCTTGCCTCTGCGCCTTGGAGAATCATCTTGCCAACCCCCAAAATCCATGTCTCAAGGCCTCGATCGCCAATACGGAACAAGAGAACAAAGCCATTGCGGCACACGCGTCCGGAATCAAGCCGAGAGTCTGCCTCTTACGACTCGGAAGTAAAGCGAGCTGGACGCACTGCGATCCTCGGCCTACGATACCATTGGGTCTCGTCCGTTTGTAACAACAGGAAGCCATGTCCTTGGGAACACCACGGCATCGCAGGCACATACGGGCGGCCATCATATGCCGTCAAACCTGAGATTTATGGCAAGCAAGACTTCAAACGCCCCCACGAACCACCATTGGCCAGCTCATCTTGCCCTCCTCCTCCACAACCATTTCGGCATGGACTGAGGCTGCAGACAATGCAGGCAGGCCACCACTATGCCATGCTACCTTACTGCACCTGGCACATTGAGCAAGACGCATCTATCCGTCTCCCACGCCTGGACTGGGGAACATGTCGATGTCCGGATCAAGGAGACAGTCAACCACTCAGAGCTTCCCTCTTCGTCTCTGTGCAAACGGCCGGACCACCATGAAACACAGATCCCAAAGGTTCGTTGCAGAACCTGACAAGTCACATTATCCTTCAAGATGCTTCTCCTCCTCCATGTTCCATTCATTCCTTGCCGTTTCCAATCGGCGTTGCCTCTCGCACCCCGTCAAGGGAAACCCAGATGAGGCTGCTAAGAAAAACACATAGCCGCAGTCCTTTACAAGCGATGCCTTATACTCAGCCCCTGTTTTTGCTCTCTCTCTCTCTCTCTCTCTCTCTCTCTCTCTCTCTCTCTCTGTGTGTGTGTGTGTGTGTGTGTGTCTCTCTCTCGCTCTCTCCTCTCTTAAACCCCCCAACCCTTAGCCTTGACATCCGCTCCTTGGTGATGCTTTGAAAGGGTTTGATTCTGACGAGCTTCTTTGTCTGCATAGGTCGGCTGCAATGGCCTCTACCCAGATCAGCTTTAGCTAAATGTGTGCTTTAACCAGACAATCAGGCACCACATTGGGTCAAACAGACGCCCTCCGAAACACTGTGTACAAACCGCAAAGACGCGCCCCCAAGACGAACAAGGACATGGCCTGAAAACTATTCACCCACGTATGACTGTGTAGAGGCATGCGTGCTTTCTACATGCGCTCTCCAAGATCTGTCTCGATGCTGTTCACCGCCACGTTGGGTTCCCGTGAATTCACAATGTCTGCAAGACTTTGCTTCATCTACCATGCGAGAACAACGGCGAGGGACGGCAAGTTATTACTTCGACCAGGTTCAGCCCTGGCCTGCGGGAGTGTGCCTATCGCTCAGACGTGGGGTACATGGGAAATACGACCGAATATAAGAGCGCTTTTTGGGCAGCCAATACCGCCTTTCCGACCAATTCGAATTTGGGGTCGGTAATGGCACGGTATGGGCATTGTTGCCGCCATCAAACGGAACTCGCGTCGAAAAGAAGAACCGTCTATGACAAATGGAGGCCAATGCATCCGAATGCCCGCGTATGTAGTCGCTGCAAGCTTTAAACAAAACGACAAGGGCTTGGGTGCGTACATCATTCGAGTTACAGGTACATACTTCATAGCGACCATCAGCGACAACTAGCATGTATCGGCTGGACCACTGCAGCGAAAGCAAACCGATTTGCTTCCAACGGGCTGTTGGGTGGTATCCCGCGGCTGTTCCCTTCCCTGTGGATGCCACTAGCACTCGGGTCAGCCGGCGAATGGGTATAATGGACGAACAGGACTCGGGAACGTGAACCCAAGCTGTTCAAGAAGTGTGCTGGGCTCGAGCGAGAACCGGAGGCGAACTTGAGGAACTCGGGAACACAGAGGGTCTCTGTGCAGTTCGTCTCACAAGTTTAGCTATCCTTGAACACCCAGATGAGGAGCTACGCTGTTCGGACTCAGCTACATTGGTCATGAATCGAGATCGGCTGACATCGCAGATGGCAATACCAATCTAGATGATGTTACAACAAATGCAGGTAGCAAACGAAGCAGGCTCGACAGCTAGTCGCTGCTGTATTCGGGCAACAACAGCACAACAACAAGCGGAGAAATGCCGTCATCCTGAGTATGTTTCCCTTTGTTTCGGTTCGTTGTCAGGTCTTCACTCGTCTGTCACCAGCCAGCTGGCCAGCTCATCTTTTCACAAGCTACTTGAGTCATCCCAACGTTTGGGTCCTGGCTTCATATACTTTCCTTGAGGCTGTGTCTTCCCTCCCGACAACTTGCAACTATCACGGCTTGCTGCTTTGGCTACACGCCTTGTTTATTGTGGTGTGTGGAATGAGTCAACAGAAAGATATGACCGCTTGGACCGTTTACCGTGCACCAACTGTGCCTATCAGGTTCCCCAAACCAATAGAGGAGGCTGACACGCAACGAGAAGCCAATGGTCCGTCGCATAAGATCGAGAGGGTACGTGGGCGGTTCAACCGCTGCCAAAGCAGTCCGCTCACAGGCCGTGGCCGTCATGTTGGCCATACCTGATACTGTCTTCGTCGAGGCCGAGCAATCCTAGAAGTTGCAGTTCGAACCAATGGTAACATGAAGCAAGGCCATCAAGAGGCTTCATAAAAGTCGAACTCTCTTCCTTTGGTCTAGCCGCCCAAACCCACGCCTGGAGGAGCACTTGGTCCATCACCGAGCAATTCCTATCTTTCTCCAGAACAACAAGCTCGTGGGGGATCGCGAGTCCTGATCCTCTTCCGTGCGAGGCGGTCCTACTGCCCTTCATCAAGGGCCCTGATCCTTGGTGTACGAAAGCGAGAAAACTGCAACAGAAAGTTGACCGCCAGTTCATCGGTTCTCGCTGTCCCAAGCAGTGAGGCCGTCCGTGACTCCGTGGTATTGTGTGGCATAAATTGCTAAAGGTTGCGCTGAAACTCTGCCACAAGGAGCATTTGGCCGCTTCCGCAAGCACAATTCCATTGTTGACGACTGTCTAAACGGCAACCTGACAGGGCCAAAAGTCAAACGATGCCCGACAACCTGGGTTTAACAAAGAGCGTGATCAGATTTCAGAGCAACAAGTTCCGAGACGCACAGACAATTGAGGCCGTTTAGTCACCGCACTGTCACCGATTAGCAACGAACCCCCTGTTCCGCATCCGACTTGTTGCGACGGTTTGATCGCCATGTTCAGTCGACGTCGTGTCCGTGTAGGAGATGGAACGCTTCAGAAAGCCATCATCCATGCAACTTACCATTCCTCCAAGCTCGGTGGAGAGCTGCGTCACTTCTGTCCCTTTTGAAAGGTGGTAAAAGACTAGGCCATCTCCCAAGGTACTCGCATCGTTGCGCACAATGGCAGTCAAATTCTAAAATATGGTTAGCAATCAAGGGTACTGTATGAACACCCCAAGAACAGCCTCAAACCCGTCTGCAGCAGTATGGATCATCACCTTGCTCCGAAAGAATCTTGGGCCAGCAAAAGCCCATGTCTTACGGCTGCAAAGCCGAACGATGACTATCCTTGGGCCGACATGGGAGTGTTGTTGGAAAGCGGAAAAGGTTCGCGTGCCGCGCTCCAGCTTTTCATTCTTTTGCACCTTGATGACTGCCCCCGTTGCGCCAGGCCGAATCCACGAGCGGAGGAGAGCTCCATACCAGCACAGCGATGTCGCTCGTTATTTCTAACATATCCGTAATGTACGGCGAATTTTGACAGTTCGAGGCTCCGCAACCGTGAACCAGGACGTTCGAGTCCAATATCTGTCTAACGCACAAACAAAGGGTTTATTGAGGGATGGGGATCCAACACAAATGGGACCACGAAACTAGCAAACATCAACGGGTGGTACCGTCGTAATGGAGGGTGGCGTGTGCGTCAATGTTCCCCACTAGATTCTTGAGGGTTTTTAACGTCTGCCAGCTTCGCGGAAGGCCTAGCAAGTATTCATGGGTACTTGACAAGACGCAGTCTCAGTATCCCGCAACCTATGCATACATACCGAACATCAAAGTTTGATCTCCAGCCCCTGTAGGTATCTTACCATCCATCAGAATTTTTGGCCAACCTGTTCCATCTCTTGGGCCTTGCTGGGCTTGGCTATTGCTACCTAGCCCTGATTCTATCTCCCCCATTGTACCACCAAGTCCTCAACTGCCGCCCGTACGCGGCGCTGACGACAGTTTGATACAGTGGTACAGGAAAAGAATTGTCGATAAAGCCCAACCGTACCATTCAACTACACATCACATTTTGTTCAATCTCCACCCAACCGTTAGCATCGCCGTAAAAGTCTCAAACGGCGCCAGGCGTAACAGCGTATCATGACAGTGTTTTCCATCCATCATACACTAAGCCCTTTATGACGCGGGAGACTGCGCACCGCTTGCGCCCTGTTTCTTGGGAAGCGAGAAGGATACTTTTCGACTGACAGGAAAAGGTGATGCGTGGGAAGGTGTTGGCCCGGTACACTGCCATGCTTTATGCATGACTTCGTGTCATTTACCCCTGGTCGACTCCCTCCTAGCTTGCATGTAAGCCAGGTACCAAACAGTTCCCGTCCGGCAGCTGAGCCTCTGGGGAAGATTTCTGTCCTGTACGGTCAGGAGTTCCTAGCCATGACGGGTTCCGATCGGTCTACAGTCCGGAAGAAAATTGGCTGCCTCTTCGGCGACGTGTGCTTTGCCGAACGCGGGTCCGGAAACTGCTTTCACGGATCTTCATGCCCCACCGTTCGATAGCGGCATGGCAGCTGGAACAACAGTGGCTTTGTGAGATAATCGTCCTGGGTGGTCAGTCAGCCTGATGTTGTTACCGTCCTGTCGCCCAAGATGCTGTGGGGTAGGACTATAAGGCTCAAAGTACCTACTTATTGCCGTGAGCACTCCATAACGGACCAAGCTCAACGATATACCCACGCTGGATTGTGGACGTGGGGCTGCCATGAGATGGAGACCGACCTGGTCTGGAACTCTGGATGTCTCTCCGGTGTGTTATTACTCTAACACGCCGACCCCCTACCCAGGCGCTCCCGTCTACAGGGACCTCCATGACATCTAGGTTCCATTCAGTACATGAGAGGTTCTCACCAGTACTCCATGTTGAACAAGCACGCACTCTTTATACTCTCACCCCCCCCCCCTCCCCCCTCCCTTGTCCTGCTCATGTATGTACATATGTGCTCTCTTGGCTACGATTATGATGCTCTTTGCATTTGTATCTTTTGATGCTTCTGTCGTCCCTAGTCTGTATCCATCTCCTTCACAGGAGATCCTGGTCTTGTCACGCACCAGCCTCGCCGCCTGCGGAGGTATACAGTCTTGAGCTTGCAACTCGCCTTTCATCCCAATCTGTAAAGCGCATGTTCCCGGGAACCGCTCAAAACCTTCTTCCTTGCTTCCTAGCTCTGACCTGGCACCGGACGAAAGCTCAAAGTATGGAAGATTAACCCATTCCTGAACGGAGCTCCAGTGGACCGGTTTATAGATAGAGCAGTCATACGAATTGGCTCTCCTTTTCTGCCTCATTAGTATCGCTCAAGTCCATTGGTCTGAATATCACCAATCAACAAGCAAAACATCTCGTTCAAGAAGAGAAACGAATAGCCCCTTCCGGCTGAGTCCCTTTTCTCGGTCGAAAAGGCACATCTTTGGATCGTTTTCCTTCCCCACATGTCTTTGCGCCTCGAGACACCCTTCAACGACAAATCATCCCTCTCCAACGGTCTCACAACCAGTCTTGACCTGCATTGGCAGAAGGATTCAAGATCCACCTATTCAGCTTTCATAGCACTCTTGAACAGCCCCGAAGAACTATAACTTCGACGTATCCTCCTCGAGAACTACTCGATCATCCATCACTCCAAGCCAACCGTGCCAGCCAAGACAATCCAACCGCGAGCCTACCCTCCCTTGGTCTATGAACAACTCCCTATCTTAGTGGTGCCTTTGTAGATACCGCCATCGTGGATATCGCATCACTCCTCAAACGTTCCGACTCAGATGAGGCCCCCGTGGCTCATTCCCAATACACATCCGCAACGACAATACCGCCTACCACAACGGTGGCACCACCTGCTCTTGGCGGTTCATCATTCGCCACGTTTGCTCCAGCCACTGGCACCCGATCTCCGAGGTCTAGCGGTGCCGGCGGACCAGGAGCAGGAGCAGGAGGCAGTTTGGGGAAATCAGGATCAGGAAGCGTCAACTCAGTTCGTCCTGGAAGCGGCGGGAAACGAACCATGCCACCGCATACATCCGAGTCGCCAGCCAAAAAGCAGAGCAAATGGTCGCCCGAAGAAGACGCACTGATCATCGAGCTTCGCGGAAGCGGGATGAAATGGGATGATATTTCCAAGCGTCTACCAGGTCGCAGCTCTATCAGCTGCCGTCTTCACTACCAAAACTACCTCGAGAGGCGCAGTGAGTGGGATGAGGAGCGCAAGAACAAGCTGGCAAGGCTCTATGAGAGGTAAATTCAAACCCTGTTCTCCCAACAAAGACCATACCTGACAGTCCACAGGTTTAAACCCGAAATGTGGGCAAAGGTTGCTGAAGAAATGCAGGTTCCCTGGCGTGCCGCTGAAGCAATGCATTGGCAGTTGGGTGAAGTCGATATGGCCAGACGAGCGGGAGTTGTTCCCTTCGCGCTGACTACCGCAGCCTTGGGTGATGCTTCAGTCATGCACCATCGAATGCCTACTTCGAGAGGCCATCATGGTCACTCCCAGTCTCAAGGAAGCCTCCCGAGAGATATTCCCACTATGTCTTCACCAAGGTACAGCCGCGGCCCCCCTGGACCTTTCATACCACCTCCTTCGTCCGGCGGACGGCCACTGGCAGCTCGGCGCGACAGCTTACCGACACGATCGTCCTTTGCACCACCCCCTCCGCCACACCATCATAGCGACCCCAGCGGCTATACGTTGGCGCCAGCTATAGGTCTGGCTCCCATCCATACATCGAGCTATACTCATCAGAGTCGTGGGGGGATGCTGCCAAGCGTCGCCGAATTGACGACCGGAGTAAGCCCCTACAGCACGCCTGCATACTCGACGGGTGGCATGACCAGTATGGTGAGCCCAACCCACAGTGACACGACGAGCCCTGGACCAACTCATCCTGGTTACTCCGCCTATCCGCCCTTGGAACCACTTGGAACCGTCAAAAGACGGGCAAGTCCGGAAGCGGGAGGGATACGTGAGACAAGCAGGAGACGGCATCACTTACAGTCTCGACAAGAGGATGGTTACTCGTCTCTTGGACCGCCACCTGGCATGACATCGTCACGACGTGGACAGAGATTGGAGTGAGGGAGCCAGTCAAGAGCAAAACAAGCTGTGGACGGTGTGATTGAAGGAAAATCTAGACTGCTTCTGATGGACGACCTATCACGCATAAAGTTACGTGACTGAGCTGGAATACTCTGAGACCGAGGACAAGCTTCTCACCATCAAAGCTACCAGCTCGAGCCATGACGAGTGTGTTTTTCATTCTTCCAGACACGCCCCGCCTACGTGTTTGCTGTCATCAGCCATTCAATAAGCACACGCCTAGTACAGGATAACTTTCGTTTTCCCTCAGCATTACGATTAAACAGGCACAAACACACAGATGCCACCACCCCTTTTTTTTTTTTTTTCTTTTTTTTCCTCCTCTTCTTGTTTTTCGGTTTCTTTCGGTCTCGGCTCACTTATTCATTATCTTTCATGTACTTGATACCACAGATCTGGCATAAAACACAGATACAACATACGGACACGAATACCGAAAACAGTAAACTTTGGATACCATACAGATATACCTCAGATGCCAGCACCAGTCCACTTGGAGGGATACTTATGAGATAGCTTCTACTTTAACACATTCTGTTTCGTTTTGTTGCTTTGTGTCTTTTCACACACACACAGCTAAATTCCACACGGATTTTTCCTTTGTCTGGTTCGAGGTTCAAACAATACATCATACCCTTCAGACACTTTTGGGTCCCCAATACAATACACTTATCACTCAGCCTCTTGTTCACCCTCTCATGTTCTTGGGACGAATTGATGACATCCAAAAACGATATGGCTCTCCTTCCTTTTTTATCTTCCTGTTTGGTTTTCATCCTCGGTTTTTCTTTTTTGGGGGTGTGACTTCTGGTATCTCACCGAACAATGGGGGACTTCTTCAGCCTGTCTCACCTGTCACACCTCTTGTTTCCTTCCTTTTCCTTGGCAAATCGTTCTCCAACAACCATCTGATTGATCACCTTGATGCACTTCCCGCGAAATGGCTCAGACTGTACGAGATAGGAAGGCGGTATTCAAAACATAGAGAAAGAGCAGTTTGGGCATGATAGGTTGAACTAGCGGATTTCCTTTCGTCTTGTCATTTGTTGGGATGGGACCGGGACGGAAACCACCTAGGCAACGAAAATGTAAAACAACCAATCAAGGTCAAGAACGGCGCAGCGCGGTGAAACAGGGCTACCAACAAAAAGACGGAACACGGAAAACATGGCGAGTAGGGGCGGGATCAAACGAGAACGACTCATTCGGATTGGAAGAAAAAAAAGAAGATTCAGCTCATTTACCATTCCTTTTTTCCCCCCTTTTCACCTTTCGGTAATTTCTTTGGGGCATTTTTGGAGGCTACAACATAGAACAAGAGAAAAGGAAAAAAGATACAAGGGGATTCGGATCGGAGTTTCTGATATTGTTATTTCAACGAATAGGAAGATTAGTTCAGTGGTTCTTGCTTTTATTTTGGTTCGAGGAAGACATCAATCCCCATCAGATTGGTCAACTATTCGAGATACTTTAAAGTCACTTGCCCTTGCTCATTGATCTCGAAGGCGTCGTTTAGTTCAAGCCGTGTCAAACGTGAGTAATCTTGTATCAAATATCGGATTTTCCATGTTCTCGACTCCGGTGATAGACAAAAGGTTTCAAAAAAAGATTTTAAGTTCAAATGAAGAGATAAATTGCGAGAAAAAGAAATAACTATCAAGTATCAGAAAGTTTCATGTTTACAAGGACAACATGGACGATTGAACACGGATGAATCACAATGTTTAGGTTGACAAGGGTGCCAGTCAATTACACACTAGTTGAGGTGGACTCGGGGGCTGCAGAAAACGGAGATTGGGTAGATGGGAAATGGGATCTTAAAAGAAGAAAGGCTTCCTAGGCGAGCGAAGCTTGTTCCTAGCAAGGGGTATCCACATTACCTACTACATACATACATACATAGGTACCATACGTTCGCGACGGCCAATTCACTACCTTGATGTTGACGATGACACCAAAAAATATTAGGAACCCTAGGAACGGGGTCAAGAACTACATACGTACTCACCTCACATATTCATCACGTCACAGTTACCCCGGTTACGTTCAAATTAGTCAGGTACGTTAGGTTAGGTCATGTTAGACCAGGAGGTCAGGAGGACCGAAACTCGCTTCTCATCATCATCTGTCCATCTCCCAGTGGTCAATCAGTTCAGGTACCGTTCGATAAGCGAAAAATCAGGGAATCTGAAGTCAGGGCAAGGCAGGCACGACGACCAACTGCAAGGCACCAATCACCTATACATAGTACTAGAACAACAAAGGAGACAAAGACGGGAGACATGACGCAGGGGTAAAAGGTCTGTCTGCAGGATCAGGGTTTGGTTTGAGGAAAAGTGCGAGGTTTGAACCAATCGCTTGAACCACTAGCGATAGCGTCAGGCACCGGGTCGGCGACAGTGGCTAAGAGGTCTTGGATGGATGGATGGATGGATGGATGTAATGCGGTATGCAGTCATAATTTCTATCCTTTCTTTGGTAGGGAGATCGGCTCACTGCCTTTCACAATTCAAGTCGGTGATTCTAATTCTGTTTGACAGTCCTGAGTCGACAAAACACATGACTAGTCCTGCAATGTATCGTCATTGGTAGCGTGGGTAGCCACAACCCACCAGTTGTCGCGCTCATATCCGCTCATAACGACTGCGCCTCGCGCTGCCAACACATCCTCTTCCAACTCACCGTTACGGTAAAGGTGGTAGTAGCGCTGGAAGACTGCGTCGGCGTTGGCGGCGGCATCCCCGGTGTCGGTCTTGGCATCAGGGCCTGCCACCGCGGCTGCGGCTGCGCTTGCAGGTTCGGTTACGCCCGCCCCCGTGCCGCCGCCGATCGTCATGCTAGCGTCTTTGGGGACGGATGATGGTGATAATATTGATGATGATGTTGGGGTCGCCTCCTTTTCCCCAACACTTTTTGCGGTGATAGCTTCCTGTGACTCGGTGCTATCATGATTCTGCTGCTGCATTGGCGTATTTGCCTGCTCATGCGTCTGTTGCTGCTGCTGCTGCTGCTGCTGCTGCTGCGGCCACTTTTGCTTCTGCTTCGAAGCCTTGGGCTGCTTTTCCTTCTTGGGTTTGGGTTGTTGACTCTTCAGCACCCAAGGGACCAACAGATCCTGCTCTCCGCCCTCGTCCCATCCACGACGACTTTCGCCCTGCTCTAATGCCCAAACATACACCATGACTTGGCCGCCGGGTCTGACGCATTTCAGGAGCTGTCGAATGGCCTCCTGTCGCCTAGTCCGGGTGGACATGTGGTGAATGACGGCGATGCAGATAGCAAAGTCAGCTCGGCCTTCACGGAAGGGCAGCGATAGCCCATCGGCCACAAGCACGTCGTTCGCCACTGCCACTTCACTGCCGGTTTCTTTCCCAATGGCGGCATTCGGAGCCTCTGACTCACGCTCGCCGCCTGTAGGTACTTCTTGTTTGTGCTTCTTCTCTTTCTTGCTGCCACCTATTCTGGCTCTGACGACTTCAGCTTCAGGTTGCTGCTGCTGCGGTTTCTGTAGCTCCTTCACACGCTCGTTGGCATGAGCAACAAGATTGGCACTCCGATCCGAGCCCACCATGAAGACGTTCTTGTTGACACCCAAGTACTTGCCATTGCCACAGCCCACATCGAGACCTACGTATCCAGGTTGCTGGGCATGCAGGAACTGGGCCACGGCAGGCCAGGGCTTGTACCGCGTGGCCGAAAAGTGCGGTGCAATAGCCTCGTACACGTTGTGAACGTTGGCACGCTCGTAGGCCTCCGCCTCAGCTTCTGGGTCCACCGCTACCGATGGGGTATCTGAGGAGGGCACCACAGTGACCGGACCAGCGTCCCCGGCTGCACTCGCACCTTGTGCGGTTCCCGAAGCTGTCTCTGGGCTACTGCCAGGGGCAGAGGCGGCAGAGGCGGCAGTTGATTTCAAAGCTTCCGCTGCTGCCAGCTTCGCAACAGCATCAGCCGCTGACGCGGAGGGTAGTGAATGTGATCCCATCTTACCGGGGAGTGACAAGGTAAGGAGCGAAGGTCAAGGAAACGGCAATGCGCACATACGCTAAGGAGACTTTTTTTTTTTTTTTCTGACAAGGTGATAGCCAGGGGTAGTGAACTCGAGGCAACGCAAGACAACCAAGCACAAGGCGGTGCCAAGTGAGGTTTCGAATCGAATGATACCCAACTCAACCACTGGGCTCCAAGAAATCTCTTGGTTTTGTTTTTTGGTCCCTCCCGACGAGCTGGATTTACCCCTGAGGCTAGAGCAGGAGTGCGTGATAATAGGAGAGAGCTGGCCAGCACGAGCAATCAGTTGGATGGAGGGTCGGGGAGGTCGGACGATGAGCCGAGTGGGCCTAGGTGGCCGGACAAGGTGGAATGGTGGTGTGTGTTGTGTGCTTGAATGCTGAGGTATGAGGTGTTGTGTGTATTGTGTTGTTCAGGAAGTTGCGTTATCCGGGCTGTGTTTTTCTGGTCCAAACAGTTGGGCCGTTACCCCGCATTCAGCGAGGGCTTGTTTGACTGAGAGTGAGCACGAAAGGGCGTGTCTAAGATCTGAGTGACTCTGAACTTGACCGCTGGTTCGGGCGAGGCTGAGCTTATTGCGCAGTGAACCTCCGGGCTAGACCAAAGTGTCTGAGAGGACCGGATGAGAAGCCGAACCGAACTCGCTCGACGTCAGTTATGGTTAGACGGCTTGCAGGCTGCAGGACTTGGGCAGGGCTGGTGGCTCCTTGCCGTGTGCTGGCGCGCCTCGTACCTCTTCCAGAACGTAGGTATAGTGTAGGACGCCCCGGGGATGACGAGCCGGGTGCAGAGAAGGGCGATGAGGCCAGGATGGGGATTGAACACACAAACGCACTTGGCGAGGTATGAGAGGTCGGCTCCCAAGAGGCACAAAGTGGAAAGTGAAAAAGAGGTGCAAGGTTCCACCGCGGCAGTGTGACTCGTAACCGCTACCGCTACCCGCACCCTACCGAGCGCACCGCTATGTACATATGTACATACACTAGTACATACACACTACATATGTATATGTACACTACATGCGCACAATGCATGATCAAGGATGCAGTTGCCGCCCACGAACGGCGAACGGTGGAGTGCCGGGCAACGTCTGTCCACTTCCCTCCTCCTCACTTCCCTTTTCTCCATTAAGAAGCTGCCATGGTATCGAGTGTAGTGCAAGAGGAACAGCTGCCCGGGCCCGGGCTCGTTGAAGCATGGAACCTCAGCTCAGGTCCCTACCACGCTGACTGCATCCCTGACCCATTGGGCACGGAGACCAATTGACCCAAGCCGAGTGGTTCGGAGCTGGCAGCCTGCAGTAGTTGGGTTCTGAAGAAACAGCCATGTCATCACCACGACCAAGAGGAGTTCGTGACGTAAAACGGGTCGACATGGGCCTTCCCGTCGCTAGTGTACAATCTAACCCTGGTATGTTTGTTAGTTTGGTACAAAAAAACGCCCATCTCCACTTGAGAGCCCCGGAAAGTGAGGGAGTATTCGATTTTTAAATAGATAGGCATTGAAAGGGGACTCTTTCTTTTATATTTTTTAAGTTTGAAGGCTTTCAAGGAGACGGATGGAGGTATAAACAGAGGCTTTTGTGGCGTATTACATCCTGGTCATTGTTGGTCGCTCCAAACGAAAACTCTAAGGAAGCCAATAAGAGCTCTATATCTCCCCTGTTCAACCTATGGCCGAAGAACCAAACTAACAAACATACCAGTCTTATATTGTACGTTCGTTCGTTAACGAGGTCCGCTGTTCGAGAGAACGGAAGAACATGTATGTAGTGCTAGGTAGTAGTAGAGTAAGTAGTCTAGGTAGTCTAGTGTACTGTATGATGCAGTTGCACTGACCCGCATCATGGAGCTTTTCTCCCCTAGAGTAGTAGCACACCTAATATCGAACACGACCCTCCTACTCCCAAATAAACACCAATACCGAAAAAAAAAAAAAAAAAAAAAAAAAAAAAAAAAAAAAAAAAAAAAAAGCCCCCCAAAGTGATGTCTGTGCGTGATGGGCTGACGGTGGCTGACGGGCGTTCGCATCCAATTTTCTCTCGGAGCCGCGCCAGCCTTTGACGGTTTCTTCAACATCATCACGACAGCCGCCGTGTAGAATCGATCGGAATCTCCCGACGACAGCCCTCGCTCGCTCGGTAATCTTTGCCGGTCTGTAAAACCTGCTCAACCTTGCTGTGTACCGTTTTACAGACCAAGTCTGACTCTGATCGGACCCAGATGTGTGGATTCTGGAGGAACCAGAGGGGGGCCTAAATGTGCCTGAAGGGTGCACAGGTCTAACTTGCTGGCCGCCAGTTTTGACTGCATCATGACTGCCTGTGCCCGCACGCATGGGGGGGACTCCGGCTCCTGCTGGCACGACACAGAGTCAGGTACAAGGCCGCTACATGAGGGGCACATGGAGGCACCTCTAGGTACTTGTTCATTCGACACGCTTGGGGGGTGCATCCATCACAAGTCTCCTTGTTGGTTCATGTCTTTGAAGAAGAAATCTCCGATCTCACTTCTCACTTCTCCCATCGATTGACTCCACGTTGGCTACCGTCGCACTCTAATGAACAGCAGTTCGAGTTCGGCTGCAATGCTGCGCTGCACACTGCGCGCTGCCATGCACTTCGGCTGATGACCTCCTCTAGCCAGACCGACCGGACCCATCACTTTACCTCTTGCCCGTGTTCAGGGGGCTCTGCGCATCAAACACATCAGTCGTGATCAGGTCGGGATACGTCACTCCGCCCTGCTTCAGCGCTTCCTCCATCACCTCCATCATCACCAGGCTCTCCTCCCACGGCAACGACTCGCTCTCCTTCTTGCCGTCCCGGATGCAGCGCGCGCACTCGTCCGCCTCCCAAAACATGCCGTGGCCCCAATCCCGCTCGGGATCCTTGGGGATCGAAAAGTCGACCGTCTCGATCTTGCCGCCAGCATCACCTCGGATCACCTTGTACTGCAGCGGCCGATACGCCGGTCCCGCCACGTGAATCTCGCCGCCGGAGCCCTGAATCCGGATAGCCGGTCCGCCCGTGTTCTCTTTGTCCACCCCGGTAGCTAGCCGGAGAGAGGTGAGGGCAATGCCCTGGCTCTTGTGTTGCGGCCACTGCACAATGATGCTGGTAGCCTCGTCGGCGCCCGTATGGTACTTTTGGACGGCCGCCACAACCTTGGGCTTCTCCTTCTCCTTTTGCAGATGGTACATGGTCTGGAAGACCCATGTCAGCGAGTAGATGCCGAGGTCAAGAAGGGCACCTCCAGCCAAGTCCGGGTTAACCATGCGGTGGGTGTCGGCGAAGCTGACAGTGCCATCGGGTTGGTCATTGCCGAACGACAGATCGGCTATTGTAGCCACCTAGTCAGTTTATGATTCTCACTAGCATCACGTCGGCATAACGTACCAACAACACGGTAGACGGGGCCAATGACTCCAGACTGGATCAACTCCCTGACCTTGATGCTGATGGGCTGATAGCGAGTCCAGACTGCTTCCATGAAAAAGACTTTCTTCTTCTTGGCCATGTCGATCAGCTTACGGGCCTGCGAGGCCGTTACCGTGAGGGCCTTTTCGCACAAGACATTCTTGCCGGCCTCGAGAGCTAGCATGGCATTCTGGAAGTGATGGCTGTGCGGGGTGGCCACATAGATGATATCGATCTCGGGGTCGGCGACGAGCTCGTGGTAGGATCCGTAGGCCTTGGCCGAACTGGGGGCCTTGACCTTGACAAGGAACTCCTCGGCTCTCTGCTTGGAGCTAGACGAGGCCGCGGCAACGACCTCGTGGCGGACATCGTGCACGTCGCGGGTGGTGGCGGGATTGGTGAGCAGATCCTGGGTGAATGCTGATCAGGCGTGTTCTGGTCAGCTTGCTGCCTTGTCACTGTGGTCCAGATGCTCCAGACTCACTCTCAGCAATCCACCCGGTTGCCATGATACCCCACTTGAGGGTGAATGGGGTGTTGGAGGCCATTGTTGCTGGTTAGTGTATCCTCCACGCGATGGATGCTCGGGTATCCCTCGGGCTTGACAGATGACAATTGTCGATGGGAGGTTTGACAGTTAAGAAAAAAAAAAAAAAAAAAAAAAAAAAAAAAAAGACAAGAACTGGCGATTGAGTGATAAACACGCGTTACGTAGATGCCTGTTCCCCTCGTCGTCTTCGATGGAGTCGTTCCCGTTTCCCCTCATTCCCATCCACTACAGTACCTAGGAGTACAGTACCTTCACAGATCGACTCCTCTTTGGCCCCATGGGGTTGATGGCGGGGCACTCGCCGGTTTGGGCGCCCTAGGCTGTTAATATCCGGGCCGGTCTCGCGGATAAAGCGGCCCTGACAAGGAATCCAGTGTGGTGGTTTGCCGAACCAGGGCACCCGCCTCTATTGCGTACTGCGTAGATCGGTCAGTCGGCGCTAGCACTAACAATTTCCACCATGACCTGACCCTTTCCTTGCATCCCTTCCTCGTCAGGCTCGTGTATGTACACTACCTCGAGTGTATTATGTACACATCGGATACTATTCCGTCAGTTCAGTTGTTAACGCCTACCCGACGTACCCCGCCCGCAAAGGAATACTGTTCTAGGAAGGAATGAGCCAAATGCGACGACCCCTCTATGGAAATAAAACAGAACAGCTGCTTGATTGGCCCATTTTTCCATTGGTTCGATCGTATCAATTAGTGTACACTACACGTTGGGAGCTGGATCCTTTCGTTTTCAACAACAGTCCGTCGTGTACATACTACCCCATTTGCCATTATCACACCTACACTAGTCAAGCCCTGCGAGCCAAGCCATTCTAGACCATCTACCGACCATCATTATTTCCCTTTCTTTTCCACCCAATCCACCTTGCTGTCGCCAAGAGCAGATTAACAGAGCCTCGTTGCCTCGTTCATCCACCACTACTCATACCCGACGCGGTCTGGATTGGAGTCCGGACGGCTATCACGCATAACACCCAGCCTCGACCACACGTATGATCAAATTTCAAATAGTGGAAGCAGATAGAAGCTAGTTGCTTCTCTGGACTTTATCGACTCGCTTGATGCGCTGCTTCCTGCCTAGGTAGGCCCTGCTACTGATCACTCCTGCATCGGGCATATACCATACATACAGTGTAGCTCTACCCACTGGGCTTCTACCCGACGTTACTGGCTGAGACTCGATACCGGTCTGAAGGATGCCAGCACCCATCTGAAGCCGGCATCTAGGGACCGCTGCAAGTCATCCAAGGTGTGGACGAGGTAGCCCAATACGGTAGAGACGAGGAAGCGCCGAGGGCAAGGACGGGAGGAACTGGCACGACTGGCACTCCGGGCAACTGGCGCCCCTCCTTGTCAGTTGCAGCCCACAAGTCATCCGTACCCGAGACTACGTAGAGGTACCTACCTACCTAGCTTGGTAAGGGAAGGTAGGTAGGTAGGTAGTTCTGACCCGTATCAGCCAATGGCCCTTCGCCTCAAAAGAGGACAGTCTTTGTGTTGCTTTCAACCCGTGCCCCAAGTGCGTGCTTTTGCGAACACTTCTTCTGCGTCCACAAAGCTGCTGCCCTTGCTGCCCTACCGTCTCATCGTGCGACCATCTCCCAACCGTCCTGCTCATGCCCACGCCCGCGGGCTCCTCCTCCATCCGCGTCAGACCAACACCAACGGCATCCCGTGCTATCATTGTTCTTTGAACAACAAGATCACCACACAAGGTTGTGAAGCTTGGAGCACAAGCGGCGCTGCCTTCTCTTCCATTGCTACCAGGCAGCTGAGAGGCACCCGTAGTACCACCACCATGGCGAGCGCGGATGCGTCAATCAACAGCCCTGCGGGGTCAGATCCCCTCCACCCAAAGGTCAATATGCCACGAATGATCTATGGCACAGCCTGGAAGAAAAACCGTACCGCCGACCTGGTCTACCAGGCCATTAAGGAAGGCTTCCGCGGTATTGATACGGCTGCCATGAAGCGCCACTACAGCGAGGAGCTTACTGGCGAGGGTATTCGAAGGGCCATCAGGGACGGAATCGTCACCCGGGAGGAGCTATTTGTGAGCAATCTTAGCATGGCTTACCTGACTTATCTACTCTTCTGAACCGTGATAAATTAACCTATATTCTGACAGATCCAAACAAAGTACACTCCCCACGACGACGCCTTCCTAGCTGAACCCGCCCTCTACCCAACCATAACCTCACAAGTCCTCGCCTCCGTGACCTCCTCTCTGCGAAACCTCGCCCACGCCGATTCGCCCGAATCACAAGAGGACACAAGCTACATAGACTGCCTAATAATGCACTCCCCCTTCCCCGACCCTGTGTCGACGCTTGAAGCCTGGACGGCCTTACAGTCCTTCGTCCCGCACCGCATTCGTTCGCTAGGCATTTCCAACATTACCCTCCCAGAGCTGCAGTATCTTGTCGCCGACCCGCGCGTGACGGTGTACCCGACGGTGATTCAAAACCGCTTTCGCCGCGCCGAGCGCCGGTGGGACTACGAGCTACGCCGGTGGTGCGCGAACCAGAACAGTACGCGCTGGAAAGGCGAGAAGAGGACGCGCTACCAAGGGTTCTGGACGTTGACGGGCAACCGGGGCGATTGGCCGACTCAGAAGTTTGTAAGGGAGCTGGCGGCGGCGGTGCCTAAGACAACACAGGAGGTGGAGGCGCTGGAGGCAGAGGGGGCGGCGGCGGCGGCGGCGGCAGCAGTAGCAGAAGAACAAAGAGAAGGAGAACAAGATGGTGGGAAAGGCAACCTTGTTACCGGAGAGCCAGCAGGGCCAGGGGATCTTGAGAGCGGAGATGGGGAGTTGGGAATAAGTCTGGAAGCCGCCTGGTATGCGTTAACCATACTGGGAGCGGATGTGGTGGTCTTGAACGGGACTACGAGTCAACAACACATGAGGGATGACCTGGACTGTCTAGAAAGGGTAGACAGGTGGAGGAAGACGCCGCAGGGGGAAAAAATGTGGGATAGGTGTTTCGAAGAATTCAAGGCGTTGGTGGGGATGCCGCCTTCGTGACCGGGCCGTGGTGGGTGTGGGTGCGACTTAAAACGGCTGAGCGAGGGGACATGATTGGTTGGTGATATGTAATAGTTGATGGATCTTCGATGGGAGTCTGGATGAGTGTCTAACATACTGGCGATGTCATTCTCATCCAGAACTACCGGCGAACATCAGTGGCGGAAGGGAATCAGCGGCAACCCAGGATGCATAGGACTGAAATCGGACAGCGACAAAAGTGGCCCGACGGAACCGGGGATATTAATGGCCAGAAGATGTTAAGAAAATAGTTATAATGGATACCAATGATTTCCCTCTAATATATCAGAAATAATTTGGCTCTGTGAGCACTACATTACTATACCTCGATGAAAAGGGTTAAAAAAAAAAAAAAAAGGGAAAGAGGGGGGCGGCTTTCGTTCCGAATAACTCGCTTCGCACCTTTGAAAATGTGTGAACAACCCTGACTTGTGTGGATTGCCATTGAAAAGGGGGCACCGACGAAGAAAGAGCACACCAGTCGTGTGGCAAAAGGACGTCTGGCCACACCATCTTCACACCCTACACCACAATGACTTGTGTCAGAGAGTGCTATAAAACCCAGCCCTAGTTTGTTCCTTGGTCTGGTACTGAAAACGGCAGATTTGCTAGATATAGGAAAGTGTTTGGCTCTCTATCGGGTAACCACCGTAGATCGATAACTTCTACAGTAGTTTTGGAAAAGTGAAAGAGAGAGGCATCAGTGACTTCTATGACGTCCTAAACCCTTAATCATTGTCCTATGATGCTGTAAATGAAGCCCAGTTTTGCTCTTAGGAGACTAATAAGAGTTCCACATCTCCCCTGTTCAAACTCCAGTCCGAAGAACCATACAAACAAGCAAACCAGTATTGACTTGTACAAAGGCTAGCGAACTTGAATCACTTCGTCCCAGGCCAACTGACAGACGACTGAGATTTCCAAGGGTTTTATCACCAGGTCTTCTACTGATCAACTGTTTCGAGTCCTTCTTTTCCAACATGATAATCGTTCATCACTCCTCTCTTGATAACCGTAACCAAGTCCATAATCCTTAGCTTTACTTAAACATTCATCCTCTACCCCAACATCTCACCTCTCACCCTCCTCAACAACACACCCAACACCCCCCAAAAACTCAATCAGCACTAGCCCGAGCCAATGCCTCAATCAAATGCGGCGGCAGCCTGTACCTCAGCTGGCTGGTATACGTCGTCAAGTCCACCGTGATCTGCTTCAATCTTGCAAGCATCTCGCGCGCCGTGCCGGTGTTGCCGACGAACTGGCCGGTAAGCAGCCGCTCGCGCTGCCGCGTGCAGCAGATGATTGTCCACATGAGCAGGTTGGGCACGTTGATGGCTACAGGCTGGGGCAGACTCGAAAACTTGGACGCGTAGGACCGGATCTTGGCGGGGTCGCCCATGCAATCGTCGGTGGGGAGGATTTCGAGGGAGCGAATGACCTGGTTTGGGCGTGTTAGTAGAACGGTACTTGGTGGGGGGTAAAGATGGTGTGGGTGGAGGAGGAGGAGAAGGAGGGGAAGGAAAGGAAAGGAAAGGAATGAAAAGAACATACATCGATAGCCTGGGCCCACTCGTTGCGCTGAATCATTTCCTTAATCTCGCTCATCTTCAACAAAATATTGCATGCGATCCTGTTCTGGTCGCGGACATGGTTCAAGAACATGGCATCGCGCTCGTACATGGACATCATGGTATGGGCCAGCTCAACAGGATCATCGATCGCCGCCAGGCTGAGGCTCGTTCCCTGCTGCGCGTTGGCCACGTCGCCGTCGGCACGGGGCTTGATGGGCACCAGGCGCAGAGGATCCTCGCCAATCTCGAGCGAGACAGCCTCGCTGAGGGCACGGCTGACGATAGCGATGACGGTGTCGTAGTCGCCGGCCAGGTGGTAGAGCAGGACGGCGTCCGTGGTCCGGCCGTTGTCGTCGGCGTAGGTGGCAGCCTGGTGGGTGATTTGCGTGACGAACTCTTGCTCGTGGCCCAGAGCGATGAGAGAGCCGCGCTGCTCGATGACGCCGGGGATGCGGTGGCCGTCGGGCTTGATGTCGCCGATAAGCTTGCTGAATTCGCGGGTTTCAAGGACAAGTTCGCGGAGAGCCTCGTGGCAGAGTTGGGCTTGGGCTTGGCCGTTGCCGGCGGCGTCGTCGGCGTTGAGGCAGATGAGTACCAGGTAGTCGACGGCGGAGGCGGCGTTGGCAGCGCGGAAGTCGCGAGTGTAGTACCCCAGCATTCTGCCGAAGTTGATCTGCGGGAGACCACGGGTGCTGTAAGAAAGCAGCTCGTTGCCGGTAGTGAAGGCATCGGCAGGACGCAGCAGGCCGTAGTAGGTCAGGGCGATGGCGAAGTGGACAGCATCGACATAAGAGAAGGGGTAGAGATAAGCAATAGCCTCCTCGAACATGCCCGCAAGAATCTGCATGAAAAAGAACATGCCGAAGCTACCGTTAGTGTCCTCGGCAGGGCTCTTGGGGAAGTGCTTGAGGCCAATCTCCTTGATGCTGGCTCGGAGCTCAGGAAGACCGTACGATTCGCCGGCAATCTCAAGCTCCTTGGCAGACTCGCGGGCGAGGTTGAACTGCAGCCAGATCCAGTCGTTGACATCTGTGTTGAGGTTGTCAAGACTCCTGTTGCTGACATCGCACCGACCGATAATCTTGTAGCAGGCCATGCGGAACGGGTCGATGGTGCCTTCGGGGGCGTTGCGAATACGCTGGTTGTACTCGCTAGTGCACCGGTCTTGCATCTGACGCTTGAGTCTGCGATCTTCGCTAGAGGCATAGCTGTTGATGTAACCTGGGAACGTCCTGTCGATGCTGCGGAAGTGATGTTGCATGTCGTTGACGTACGTGGCCGCCTCGTTCACAAAACCAGCGCGCAAGAGATAGAAGACAACAGCCCAGATGTACTCGCCGTTGACAGACTGGAGATCGGTGTTATCGGGGACCAACGTCTTGCGGGCGATCCGGAGCCTGATATACGCCTTGATCTTGCTGACAACGTCGGGCTTGCCTCCAAGGTTCGCGTCCTGAGGATACTTGGCGATTAGCGCGTTGACCTCGTCGAAGAATTGCTTCTCCAAGAACCGGTTGGCGCCGTCGAGGATCTGCTTTCTCATATCAACAGCATTCTTGGATGAGGTACTGGGATCCAGGTACTTCTTGGCAAATGCCCGTTCCCTTGGCACCTGACCCAGATGAGGGTTCTCTCCGACAATTTCCATCATGGCCCGATACGCATCCACAATATGCGGCGCATGCTTGTCACCAGACCTGCTCTCCAGATCCGCGAAATCGCGACAAATATAAACGGGCTCCCTGTGCTGCCGGGCATCGTTGACGTAGCGGACCTGCTCGGAAAGCTTTTCCTGCTTTTCACGAAGGAACCGGTCCTCCACCGAGCCAAATGTGCTAACAGAGGTGCCAGCGTCCTTTTCGACATCCGAGAACTCGGGCGCATGAGAACCAATCCGGCTTGGCGTACCTATGATGGATCGCTGCAAGCCTGACCTCGCGTTCTGGGTAGCGTGAGGGGTCTGAGAGCCTCTGCGACGAGAACGACCGAACCCTCCCTCACGGGCCGAACCACTGGCACGCTCGGCCTCGTTCCTGGGCTGAATACCAAAGTGCTGGTAGATACGTTTCCGTTGTGCTTCCCACTCCATCGTCACGTTCTCCTCCAGGAAGCTGTCGAAATCACGGACGGAGCGTTCCAGGCCATCCGATATCATGCTCAGCGTTGTCTTCTGCTGCAAGTTGGACAGATACGTCTCAACATCCACCTCATCCCTAGCTCCATATCCAGTCTGTGGCCTTTCCGCCCGTGCCCCAAGGCCAAAGGCGCCGAGATCTCTGATAGCAGCGCCTGGGTCGACGCCAGACGCGGCGAGGAAGTAGTGTGCCTTTCCATCAATGGGACGACCCTGTGTCGGAGGGCCAACCTTTTTGAGTCGCTGACGAAGATCACCAAGGCCGAGCTGGAGACTTGGGAGGTCGCCGAGCGCCGTCTCCCCTTCGGCGAGCTTCTTGTTGCGGGCGAGTAGGCTGTCGAAGAAGGCGCCACTGGTCTGGTTGACGGGTGCAGAGTTGTTGGCGGGGGCTTGGTTGTTGGTAGCTCCGAAGAGGCTGGCGCTCGCGGTACCGGGAACTCCCATGGTGGCAGGTTGTTGTGTAGAAGTAGCCGGGGCACCGAAGAGGGAGGGCTTGGCAGCCGTTGTTGAGGTGTTGCCCAAGCCACCAAATAGACCCCCAGTGGTTCCGGCAGCTGGCTGTTGATTGGCAGTGGTGGTGCCCAGGTTTCCAAAGAGACCACCAGTCGCTGGCTGGGTGGTGGTCGTGGTGGTGCCTGTACCGAATAGCGACGGTTTGGCATCTGTGGCCGTGCCAGTGTTTCCAAACAAACCGCCCGTGGTTCCTGCTTGGGCCGTCGCGGTGCCGGTTGTCGCAGCTGGGGTGCTTCCGAACAGACCACCGGTGGCTGGAGCGGTCGCAGTCGCGGTGCCGCCGAAAAGGGAGGGGGTCGCTTGAGTGGTCGCGGGATTGGCGCCGAATAAACCGCCAGTCGCTGGGGCAGTCGCTGTCGTGCCGGTTTGGGCCGTGTTGGTCGTCGGGGTTCCGAACAGCGAGGTGGCAGTGGTGTTGCCAGCAGTACCACCAAACAAAGTGTTGGTTGCTGGCGCGCTCGTGGTCGCTCCGCCCAGGTTACCGAAGAGCGACATGGTTGCAGTGTCGATTTGGACCAAAGAAAACCGCCAACGTGTGTGGAAAATGCGGTGGGACGCGTTTGGTCGACGCGCGTTTGCTGTGCTGGACTAGCAGAGCGGCGGTGCCGTTTGGAGTCTTTGTGGTGTTTTTGTTGTTTTGCGTCGCCTTGTCGATTTGTTTTTCTTGAATTGGCACCGCGAAGGCGGCAGCTCCCCAGCCTTTGATGTGGGGCGCCAAGAAACAAGTACATCTACTTCTGGCTGCACGGAGCGACCCGGTAGTCCGAAAGTACCGAATACTTCCCTGGTCTACGCATTTGCTTCCATCCCAGCTTCGACAGCACACAGTCTTCCAGGTACCTACAACACCAATAATCTCTACAGTACGCTCTCGTGATATCATTCACACTTTCACCGTTCATGACAAAAACACAGACATCATCATTCACATCATCAACACCGAATTACTTAATGGCATCTACTGATGTACTGCCCATTAGGTCCATACTATCAAGAACTCCACGCCAATTCCAGTTCTACGTTTCCTGGCAACCTCTCAAATGACTCTATACTCTTTTAGTTGGCCTCTTGACCCTCGAGCGATGACCCCTTGAGGGCCGCATCGATCTTCTTTCTATACTCCTGCTGAGTCCTAGCCTGGTCAAGGAAGATCTCGTACTTGGCATCCAGAAGCTTCTTCTCGGCGGCATCACCACGAGACCAGACCGTCTTGCCGGGCTTGCTCATGCGGTTCATAATGTCCCACAGAGGCTCAGTCGTGCCATCCGGCTTGGCACTGGCCGCTTTCGCTCCCAGCATGGCCGCCCCGTGCACCACTGCCGCGTTGACGTAACGAGGGATCAAGACAGGCATGTCGCATGCCGTGGCAATCAGGTCCATCAGAATCTCGTTTTGGCATTGGCTGCCTGACATGAAGATGCTCTTGATGGTGTGTCCGGCAGTGTTCATGGCCTCGACAATCTGTCGCGTCTGGAGGGCGATGAATTCCATGGTGGAATAGTACAACAAGGCCATGCCGTCCTTGCTCTTGTCATTGCTCATGCCAATGATGGCTCCACGCATGTTGGGGTCGGCAATGGGCGAGCGGTTGCCCCAAAGGTCGCCATAGAAGAAAAAGTGGCGGACCAGGTATGATATGGACGGCGCGTTGGTCTTTTTGGCCATTTCCTTGAGATGTTCGTTGAGGTAATCGTAAATGTTCTTCCCGGCAGCTTCAGCCTCTTTGACGGTTTCGTCATATGCGACATGCGTCTCCAGCATGTGCTTCATGAGCTCGCCTGTGGCCGACTGACCTCCCTCAGCCATCCAATAGCCCGGGATCAAAACATCCCTGTACGGACCCCAAACTCCGGGTACGAAAACCGGACCCTTGGACATGGCGAGATGGCAGGTTGATGTGCCAGCAACGGCAGCTAAACGGGTAAAGGCCTGCGATACGTCGTTTGGTGCAACGCTGTCGTCGCGGTGACCCGGGGATAGCTTGACCTTGGCCCCAACTGTCCCAATCCACCCAGCGTATGCGTCGATAACACCGCTGCCGATGGCAATACCAGCAGGTAGGCCGAGCTGTTGGCCTGCCTCTTCAGACAAACCGCCAACAAGCTCCCCCGCGCTCATCCAAGAGCCGTTCTATTTGATGATTAGCCATTTCGTAAACAGTCAGCACTCGGATCAGGCACTCACTACCCCGTCAACTCCGCCCATCCTGATGAAGTTGTCCGTCACGAGGTCGCTCAGACCAATGGTCTCATAAAAGTCTTCTTGCCATCCCTTTACGCTACCATCGACGCCCACAGGCACGAACCCCTGCTTACACACAGTGCTGCAGAAGCTTCGGATCTCCTTTCCAGTTGCCATGTAGGTCAAGGCATCCGTCAAGTCGAAGAACTTGCAGCGGGCAAACAGCTCGGGCGGCATGTTGTTCTTGAGCCAGAGAACTTTGGGAATCTCCATTTCCACGCTCATCTTGCCGCCGACATAACGGAGTAGGTTGTGGTTGGTGTTGTTGATCTTCTCCGCTTCCGCCAGAGGGCGATGGTCGAGCCACAAGATGACGTTCCTGTCATTGCCATCATTCTTGAAATCCGGACCGGTCACCGGAACAGGTTCGTTTGTGTCGTGGGTGAAAACGGCCAGCGAGCATGTGGCATCAAATCCGATTCCTTTCACGGAGTTCGGGTCCACTTTGGATTCGGCCAGGACCTGCTTCACGCAGTTGCAAATGGCATTCCAGATGTCTGTCGTTGATTGTTCCTAAGTGAGACGTCAGTGTCTGAGCTGGGAAGATGCTGCTGTCCCTCGTTTTGGTCTACATACGTATTGCGAGCCTTCAAGGCCCGAGGAAGGCGTCCATAGCTTGATGTTTTGGGCCGCGAGTGCCTTGATATCGCCCGTCGAGTCAATGATACAAGCTCGGGCTGAGCCTGTTCCGACGTCGATGCCAATGTAGTGGTCCTGTGCCACTCTGCGGTAAGTTTCGTGTTCTCGGATTGTAAAAAAACGGCGAGAATTTCCCGAACCTGTGAAGACCTGTTCCGGAGTCAGTTGGTGACGTTACATGCCAGTAAGTGGTTGTTTGTTTCCACTTACGACATGGCTTCTCTAATTGGTGAGGCTGAGCGATGAGGGAGAGCCGAGCTGATAGACCGTCCGGGCGACTTGTTGTACGGCTCTAATGTCTGGATTATGAGAAATGAAGTGAGAGAAACAGCAAATTCAAAAGGAAAGATGTCGAGATGGGAAGCTCAAGGAGGAGCTCTAGCTCTTTGTACCTGTTGGATCGCGGGGAGGACCGCATGACGTGAAGGAAGCGATTAGGCTGTATGTTTAGTTAGCATGTACCCCACACTCCCTAGCTCTACCGATAGGGCTCCAGGGGTACTTTTCATCCCACCGGACGCTGTACGTGTAGTGTATAATTCTTCTCCGAACTTGTCCCAGTGCCATCCCGCCATCTCAGCCAGGTACCCGGTAAATATGACTTATCAACCAATGAAGCAGGTCATCGGACTTGCAGAGATATCGAGGGCTTGAAAGAATTGCTGGATCAGCACGCTGATCTCCGTGTTTCCGAGACCATGCATTCAGCGTTCCAGGCGTGGCCAGAGGCGTTGGCTTCCCCTCCTTGGCGCTTGTCCCGAGATGCACCTCCCACGTCTGAGCGGTTTATGGTGTTGTTCGCTTGGCTGAGGTTTCCATCAGGACTTTCCATGATCTTCATCTGGCATATCTCGGTGTGCAAAGGAGTCAAGATCGAACACACGACTGCTTGAGCTCCTGACGATCGCATACGATACCTGGAGAAGGAGGCAACAACCGGTGGTACCAAAGGCTGAGGTTGTCTCGGGGAAAGGGACGCCGAAAGCAAATGTGGTGGTCCACCTTCGGTGCCGTCCATGTCCGACTGTGTCTTTGCGGCTGAGGTTTTCCGCGGTCCCGCTATCCGGGCTGAAATCGTCACCTTCTCCCGGTCAGGAGCCTTTGACCGTCCGGGGCGGACTTTGAAGCCGACAATGATCCCAAATTCTCTGGTGTGTTGACATTGTTGAAGATGGTGCGAAATGTTCTTTTTGGGCCAGTGAGTGCCGTGAGGTGCAGACGGTTGGAGCTGTGTGGTACGTAGGCGACGGATAGGTAGTCAATTGCCATCCGGGCGCGAGGTGCACTAACAATTGAATTTTGTCCCAAATCCTCCAAACTCGCAGCAGCCAGCAACGGCATTTCACGCTTGTTTGCAACCGCGCACCCCCGGTACGGAAACGACGAAATCTCGCAGCAATGGCATCCCATGATGAGATCTGGGACGACTCTGGCCTAGTGAACTCATGGAACGAGGCATTGGCAGAGTACAAGGTATGTCAGAGCTATCCATGTGCACGAGCATCACCTAGCTAACCACGGGCCACAACAGAAATATCACAGCATACACGCCGAAGGAGCAGCACTTCCCGAGGGTGTCGCTGGTGAAGTCGAGTTTGTGATCCCTCCTTGTCCCAACCCAAGCTCCAAACCAGTGCTGAAATCGAAATCAAACTGATACATGATTATTTTGCAGAGATCAGAGTGCCAAGCCTAGCGGTGCTGCAAATCTCCATCAGGAGGAGGAGGACGGCGCGGCACCCGCTGTTGAAGTGAAGGTGAGTGAAGCTGAAATGAATTTTTCAAATTTATTTCTCCCCTCTCTTCAATTCGCATTCCGTCATCTTTCAGGTTATTAAAGATCAAAGTCTAACCAAGAAACAGACTACACCCGTCAACACAATTCAAAACGGACTGGAAACCCAACAATCTGCTGCTGCTGAACCTACCGCAGCGAGCTTGCCTGGTCCCGGACCCCAACTGATGTTGGGTTCGGTGCAGGATGAAGAGCTCAAGAAGCTCTTGATGTCATGGTACTACGCAGGTACGTTGTGTCTAGACTTGGACATAGCATTTTTTTTTTCTTTCCCTCTTTTTCCCTTTGAAGATAAACCCGAATTCCTGACATGATGTGTTTCATTCAAGGCTACTACACCGGTCTCTACGAAGGGAAACAAAAGGCTCTGCATGAGCAGGCACAGCAGTAAGGTAGTCGTCTCTGACCGAGAGTGCTTTCGGTGCGTTTTGTCTCTACCAAGCACCGTTGTATGGTTGTGATGGGGGTGCGAGTTTAACACAAGGGATATAATCTTCCAGGAGGGGAAAAACACAAATGATACCCACAGTCTTAGACAATTTTCTGCTGTCGGATCCCGTTGTGAGTCTCTCCATGGCTTTCTGCCCTTCCGTCGTGCCGGGGCCACAAGAGTCTGGACCACGATCGGTCGCCCCCTTGAGGGAGAGGGAACGGAACACCGATTATGGGCTGCATGGTCAACTACCGAAGTCGAGCACTTACGACGGCCTATGTTCCATCGTGAATAGCTCCATGCCCAAGCCGGGCTTGCCAGGCTTCAACGATACCGATGGCTCTCTTTCTGATATACCGCTCACATCATAGATTTCCCAAGTCCACTTTTTTTCACCACAAGACGCATGGAACATCAAACACCGAGTGTGATATGAGCCGGGGTCGCACACCCACGACCCTGTCAGCCCGTCTAGCCAAGTTAACCCCCGACCGGCCCAAGAAACATCCGCAAGCTGCTTTACGGCGTCAAGTGGGCCTTTGATCTTGATCATGCCTCTACCGCAAAATGGATGCCATACCTGGACGGCATGTTGCTCCCAACTCGGTCATTGATGGTTTGTGGAGGTGATGTATATTAAACATGAATCTGTTTGACTTGGTATTGTCAAGACAGGATCACCAAGGTACTAATCAAGAAGGTCAGAATCCAATAATAAGCTCCAAAGGCAAGCAAATGAATACCATCGGGACAACCAGTTACTATATAGAAACTGAAAGGGGTCCCTCTACCGTAGTCATTTTTGGGTTTAAAACGGGGGCGACAAGCGCATAGGGTTCCACAGGGCAATTGGTTGCTCGTTACAGATACCACCTCAACCTTTGCGGATCACTTCCTACTAGATAAGGCGAGACTTGGCTTTTCGGAGTCACTCCCCAAAATCTTTTCTCTTGGGTCTGATGTTGTCATTCTTCTTGCGGGATGGAAGAGCGACATTCCTGGGAGTTTCTCGGTACTTATGTACATCCTACCTCTTCACAAATTGTCGTCAAGATGGTGGGTGGTCATTCGAAACTGATAAAGTACCCCCCTACCAGCCTGCGTCAAAGCGCTCGCCTAGAGCAGCACCCCAAAAGCCAAAACACACTCTGAGACGAATCTGTTACAGCACACCTCCTGGCTCCTACATCTTTCCCATATCCGTCCTCCCTCCCGTAAACATGGACCGGAATGAATCGAGGCTGAGCTATACATTTGATACTACCATACAACCTTCCACAGCACCTAAAATGCGACATTTAGACAATAGCGCCAGGGATTAGTGGAAACAGATTCAACCGATGCGTTATCCCAGGCTTCCCAACTGCCTAGTCCTATGTAGCCATTCCCATATCAGCCAAGTACGGAAACTTCTCGCCCAAAATGCCGAATGCTGCTATAGTAGCAGAGCAGTCAAGGGAAGATGTTATTGTGCCAACGCCTCCGTCACGTGGAATGATCCCTGGAAAATGTTTCGTGACAACCTCCTTTTCCTGGCCGCTAGTAGTCCATCACTAGGGACCCTGTCATTGCTATTACCTACGAGCTATAACGCCCGGATGCCGAATGTTAGAATGTGTGTGCCCGAGGTTGAGATGGGAAGCAATGGCTTCCCTTGCTACGATCAGTCACGCTGCATCCCCGGAATCGTGAGATCCGAAACTTCTGAAAGTAAAACTTCAAGAAGGGCCTTATTTCCTCATTTTCCCTTCTCACCTTGTTCGTCTTCTTCCTCTTCTTCATCCGTTGTCTTCTTTCTCTGTGTGTGTGCTAGGTCATTTCTCTCATTTTTGCCCCCAGTCTTTTTCCGTCTCGGACTTCCTGTCGCAACCTTCGCTTCTTGATATATCAACGCAGAGCAGGAACTCGTCAATTGTTTATACGTACGACATCACATCTAGACATATATATCCTGCCGATCATCTTCGCACTCCGGCGCATCCCTTTCCCGGTCGATAGGGCACAGAGACGAATTTTCACGAATATACGATAATACCCGTTCTCAATCGCAAACCAAGAGGGAACAAGGAGTTGCTGAGAAGGGAACCAGAAGAAGGAACAAGCAAAGATACCCAAGATGAAGGTTACGACAGCAGTTTTGGCCGCTCTGGGCATGGCCCCGTTCGCTCTCGGAAAGGTTGCTCACAACGTTTACCCCAGCGTCCGCCGAGGAGACATTGCTCTCGAGGTTCGTGACAAGGGCAATGACAACCAAAACAACAACGCCAACGCCAATGGCAGCAAGGACAACAAGGATAACAAGGACAAGAACAACGGGAAAGACTCCAAGAAAGCAACAGAGCAAGAAATTGCCGAACTTGCCAAGCTCATCGGTCTCACCGCAGGCCTCAACGCTCAGCTCAACCTCCTCTGGGTCAACCTAGGTGGCGGATCCGTTACCACCATTATCAACTCGGAAAAGACCGTCACCGTGACCGCCACCCAAGCCGCGACGGTAGTCAACGGTGCCGCCGGTGGCGCCGACGCGACGGCGATAGCCAGCACCGCTCCTGCGTCTGGCGTGCCCTCCGCCGCTCCGGCGACTCCCACCCAGCCCGCCGGCGTCGCTGCCCCAGCAGGAGGAGCCGCCACGCACACCGTCACCGTCGGCGGACCGCAAGGTCTGGCCTTTAGCCCGGCGCAGACGAAGGCGGCCGTGGGCGATACCGTCATCTTCACCTTCCTCAGCCAGAACCACACCGTGACGCAGTCGGCCTTTGATAAACCCTGCGTGGCGCTCCCTGGAGGCATGGACTCGGGTTTCCAGGCCAATGTCAACAACACCGTCAACCCTCCGCCGCAGGTCGCTATGCAGGTCATGGTTGATACGCCTCTTTGTAAGGTTTCCCCATGTTTTTTTTTTTTTTTTTTTTCTCTATTTTCTTTCTCCTCTTTTTTCCACTCCTCGATTTAATGGTCTTGCTAACCCCCTCACAGGGTTCTACTGCCGCCAAGCAAACCACTGCGGCAAGGGCATGGTCTTTTCCATTAACCCTACTGCCCAAAAGACCCATGCTCAATTCCAAGCCCAGGCCATTGCGCAGAACGGCACTGGCACGGACAGTGGCATCACCGGCGGTAATGCTTCCGCTGCTCCTCCCGCAGCTCCTTCCGCAACCGTTGGCGGTGATACCACTGCAACAGCCGTGGCTGGTGGTGCGGCCCAAGCAACTGGAAACATTGTGACTGGTGTTGGCCAGGTTGCCGCGGACGGCTCGTGCGTATGCGCCGTCTCTTGCGCTGCCGGTTCCTTCCCCAATGTTGCGGCCCAGGGTGTGAACGCCTTTGGTGGCGTAGGTGGTGAGTAGTTCGCCTGCATCTCAATTCCGTGACCAAAAGCTGACATCATCCAAGGTTCGATTCCTAGAGCCATGGCTCTGGGTGCTCCTCCTGCTGCCTAAGCACACACACCTTGGATGTGAGCATCTGATGCTTGGAGCGTTTGAAAGAAAGTCAGCGATAGAGAAGGGAATGCCATGTTCTTTTTCTGTAGTATCAAAGATGCTACTTGTATACTTTAGCTTTTCTTGACCGTGCTAGTCATGTCAATAACCTGAAGCACGCCTTTCTGGCTGGGAAATTGTTTGCGAGTTGATCGCATGAAGGGGCAAGGGACAGGATTACGGTTGGATACCTATAACTTGGTCAGGAATGGCTGTCGCTTGAAGCGTTACACACATTAATAATCTTCTTCACTGCGAAATGTTATCCCGCCGCTGTCCTTACCTTGGTTATCAAATGCCGTAAGAATCAACAAAGGAGCTGCAATACCGAGGTCAGCCAAAAGACAGAAGTCTGACAAGCCAGTTTGCGCACATGCAAAACAGTGATAAGGACAACCGTAGCCGACCGAGCATGCGTCGGCCCCACACGGGAAAAAAAGCCTTCCGGATTTGATGATGCTTCCAAGAAATTGTGTTAATTCAAGATGGTATTCCCACGCTCACGCCATGAATGCCCAAGCTTTGCTCCAATAAATCAAGATACTCCCCAAGTCTTCCTCCCTGGTCTGTGACGCCGTAAAACACTCCGAACGGTATAAAGATGGATGGAAAGACCGATCCCGGTCTGATAGACACGGGGGCATCCCCGCAACTGCTTATAGTCGCTGTCGACTATGGGGATGAGGTAAACAAAGATAATCGCGCAGCGAGAAAGACGAGTTCCCGTTGATCAGATTCGTATCTCCTCCAACCACGTGGGTAGTTGGACTGTTTGAGATGGCCGTTTATTTCTTCTTGGCAGCCTCAGCAGCCCTCTTCGCATCGGCTAAGTGGGAGAAAGAGAGTCAGCAAGGGAGTAGAGAAGGGGCTAGAGTGCGATGGCGTTGATCGAAGAGATGACAAATTTGTGTCATAATGGGCAGAGATAGCCTGGAGACCAAGTGGATAGAACTTACCGGCGGCCTGCTTGGCCCTCATGAGGGCGGCGACAGCTTCCTTATCGCGCTGCATCTCAGTGCCGCTCTTGGTGTTGACCTTCTTCTGTTGCAGGGAGAAGGGCGGACATTAGCAAAGCCCCTGATTAGTGTCATCTTTCGGTATTGGGAAGTCATACCTGAGCAGCTTGCTTCTTGAGGTTAGCCTCACGGGCCTTCTCGCGCTGGTTACCGCGGGACATGGTGTTTGGCGGTTGGCGGTAAGTGGATGACGAAGCGAAGAAATTAGACGCGGTAAGTAGCGCGTGCGGGTAAAGGCAGGGCGAGGTCGAAGAATAGAAGTTAAGGAGCGTTTCAGAAGTCCGTAGACCCGGTCGGGCGGTTGTTGTGCTCCCTGGAAGATCGCGCGATGAGGAGGAACTGGAAAACTGGCTGAGTGAGTGGTCAGGGGATCCGAGAAGACTTCAAAGCATTGATCGAGGTGCGAGGCTGAGTGGTGAGGGAGCCACCGTACTGGACCCACTCAAAGAGAGTTTGGTTCTGGGCGCTTCGACTGCTGGGGTCGGACAAGGCCTGGTGGTCAGGGCGCGACCTGGTGGCCAATCGAATTTTCAGCTTTGCAAAGGACACTGCCGCGCTCTGGCATCTCCCTCTGCGCTAGGGATCGGGCGCGGTGGGTCATGATCGCGGTGTAAGCACGGGGTACTGAAATCTGTAAGCCCGGCGAGAAGTCTTGTTCTCGGCTTGTACTCCATCGGATTGTTTTTCTCAGCATTTGTTTGAATATCAGTATCAAATCTAGTAACAAAAGGAGCCGTTTGCTCAGTTCCATCACAAAAGAAGAAGAAAAACATGACCTCAGGGTTCGAGTTACTGAGAACCTACCTAGGTAGGTCTGATGCCCGCAGGGTGGTTGTAGGTAGTCGTTAGGCACGGGCCACCAGGGGCATTGGGGCAAGCAAGGTAGGTAGGTAGTAGTGTAGTGTAGATAGTGTAGAATTGGGAGCAGTCACAACTCACGAAGCCTTCTCGACACCCACCTCAATCAATGTCATGCAGAAACCTGGAAACTCGTGCCTGATATATTCGGGACATTTGAGCCTCTTGTTAATTCGTGCTGTCAACATCTAGGTCTCTTTTGAAATCAGATCTTGTCAGCGCTATCTTGGACGATCAGGAACGCTCAAAGTGAAAGGACCCACATGAAGCATTCATCGTTAGCGCCGCCTCGGCAGTATCCGAACACACGTAGAATAGTGTACAGTACATGTACATGGTACAATAGATGCATCGCTGCCGATCCATGGACAGTCGCTCTGTTCAGTTGCTTTGCAAATTCCAAATGTTGTCATATGACTAGGAACCTGCGAGACGAAGTCCAGGTCGATTTACAACTTTTCGCATCTGTTTTCCAAACCTCTGCTGCTATTCTGGAGCATCTGCTTGGGCACAATGGGCAGGCACTTCCACGTCCCAGGCTACATGCAAATCTGAAACGGGCCTCGAAAACCGTCAACCAATCGACCGGCCGAGTTCACCCCAACTTGAAGATGAATTCAGTCATTGTCCAGATCGACCCCGGCAACTATTGGGAAGATACGTATCCTTGGCCATTTCCTTGCAAGCATGCTCACTTGAAAGAGGCGGCTGCAGGGGCATTGGATGGGATTTGATCTGCACGTCTTTTTTAGCCGCCTTGCGTCCATTGACTGGCTCAAACGTCAGGCCGTGGAACCATTCCTAGCTCGCCAGATATCTGGGGAAACTGGACGAGGGTAAGAGGAAAGAAAACCTTGGAGATGAGCAGATCTGACTGGTCTGCTAACCCTCATCCCGCGGATCCTCACATTTGGCTCGGTCCAAAAAAAAAAAAGACACAAAGCCCAAGTGGGACGACTTAACTCCTTGAGCGCCTACTGCTTCATTGGCCATGAGAGTTTCCTCGATAAAAGCGACCCATGCGAAACACTAGAAACACTCACGGCCCAGATCCTTGCCGTCTCTGTTCTATTCATGTGCCGGACCGTCAATCATTCAATCCTATTGTTCGACGGAACATTGCCTTTGTAAGAGCATGTGCGTCCCTTCTCTGCCGTCCGATATATCAGTAGACTCCTCATTGTGTCCATTGCGTGTGGCCCATCTACTCCCCATTTCATCCGTATGAACCATTCGCTCTCTTTATTCAGCCTCCCGCAGCCCTATTGTCCTTGGGAGACAATGGCCATGGGCCATCCTTAGCCATTCATTCCTTATTGCTACATAAGTCCTCGATAGAACCCAGACCTCCACGGTCTCTACTTACTTCTTACGCCTTTCCTTACCTTCCTGTTCCCCCGGACTCTTCTCTCCTAGTCTTCGACAGAGGAAAAAAAGACCACCGCCAAAACGTCTGCTTGCCAGATACATCTTCAAGACAAAAACCCACACAAAATAGCAATCTGCAGGTCAGAGGCTACGATAGCGGTCTCATCAAGACATTCATTGTGAGTCAATATGCATGAACACGAGCAGCACAACGGCGAGATCCAGTTTCCTGTACCAGACAGGACTGACCTGAACCCCGAATCAGCATTCGAATACGAGGAGCCCGAGATGCTTCCCACGATCAAAGGTACCGGCTACCTAGTCCTCAATGGACTTCGAGCTCTCACCCTCGTCGGCCTCGCCATGGCCATGGCGTCCTCTTGGATCATGATTGTACTCTCATGTCTTGGTGGACGCTTCGACTTTTTCGACTCGGCTTCCCACTTCTTCGTCTTCGCCGTCGCCATCTTTCTCTTCATCTCCGAGTTGAACATTAGGTCGTTCAGAGGATTCTTTGCCAGGAGCTGGCCTGTCCTATGTCCGACTCATTCACTGGTATGGCTCGGTCTAGCCATGGTCGTCATGGGCTGCGCCATCATGGGCGATCTGGTCAAACCGGCCTACTCCATGGACAACCTCGGACTCGCCATGTGGCGCCTCGTACTCGCCTCGGGCATCCTCTCCCTTACTTTCGGCGTCTTCAACGTCGTCGCGTCGCTCATCTTCAACACTTCTGAAGGCGAGGGCAAGATCAGAAGACGAATCACGGCCAGAATGATCCGCAGCCACGGTGACCAAGCTAAGGGCATCATCGAGAAGCAGGACCCATTCCCTGACTACTACAGTAGCCAGAGCGGCTACCCCGAGGATCTGCCACCGGCGGTGAACGACCACTACTACCCCCCGGTGGTGCAGGAGCAAGAGCAGCCGGAGCTGGACAACACCTTCAAGGCGCGGGCGCACAGATGGACCAGGGCGGCCTTCCCCAAAAACTTTCGCAAATCCGGCAGGTTCCCCGTCATTAGCGATCCCATCCCCAGCGTTGGGGTGGTGGCGCCCACTCCTCAGATGAACACGGACAGCAAGCGATCTGGTGATCATACTGTCGACCTCGAACGCGGTGACAGCTTCCGCAGCAACCGCAGAAACAGTGGCGGGCGCTTCCCTATCAACACCGGCGCAGGAAGAAACAACAGCCCTCCGCCCCAGAATGACCGTTCCAGCCCCGTCTCGCCAAACGTCCAGAGACCGCCAACTGTGCTACACCCTTACTACAATGGCGGTAGAAGGAGCCCGAGTCTGTACAGTGATGCGAACATGTCCCGGTTCTAAGGGTTGGTGGGCTGAGTGATGATGGGTCGTACAATTTGAGATGGGCTGGGATATGAGCGACGGACTTCTGTAGATAGCTGGCATTTTTTTCTTCTTTTTTCCCCCCCCCCTGTTCTTTTCATTTTTGTTCCTTTGAAAATACCCAGTATGAGAGATTCTGCATATGGTCAAGGCGTTTTTGTATTCTTGGCTCAGGTGCCATCATGACGAAGAATTGAGAATACACAGTTAATGGTTCACTTCCGAAAGGGGATACGACTCACGAAAAGGGAGAAAGCTGATAATGTGGGAAACAGTGGTGAAATGTGTGAAGATAAGTATGCGTCATCGCATCACGAAAAGGAAAAGAAATACGTTATGAGATCCAAAATTGGAAGAAAGACCCAAGTCAGTCTGCACTCAGTTCAGTTGAGGACCTGCATTTAGCCCATGGAGGCGTGATGGGGAACATGGATGAATCCAGCTTGCGATAGTGAAGGTGAAAGGAGATCCCAACGTGGGGTCTGATAAGCCCAAGCAATGTAGTGGCCTGTGCATACCGATAAGATACACAGTACGTACCTACCTTGTGTGCATCCGTATCGCGGCAGGCTATTGTAGGTACCTCTATGTACACTAGGTACCTAGGTATTGCAAAAGCACATTCACGCCCTTCTTGGCCTGCAGTGGCTCCAGTGTCCACCCTTTGCAGACAAAGCAACCTGGATTGCGAGGACGGGAGGAGCGACTTCTTCTCGTCACCAATCTTCTCGCCCTCCTTCCACTTTGCAACTCGAAACTGTAAATCCAAGAAAATCGTACATAAACCGCGACAAGTGTCTGGTCTCCCGCTGTTCCCTCGACAATCCACAGCTAAGAGGACAAAGACCTCTTCGAATTGACCCGTCAGAAGAATCACCAGTTCAGCAACCTTCACCCGCCCATCACCACCGAATCACCACGCTATCTCGGCTCATCCATCTAGACGGTCTTTGCTCCTCCGTTTTGTTGTTCTGCTGTTCTCTTCGCGCCACTTTTGCAACTTGCCGCCTCTTGACAGCCATCTAGAGAATTGTATACCGACGAGCATTGACTACAAAGAGCACGCTTCGAATGGTGCGTCGATCGTGGTCGGGGTGACACATCAATAGAGGCAGGCCGTGGAGGATTACACTTTGGGGGGGAAAAAAGCAAGGACAACACAAAACAAGACAACGCACACATTGATCAAGTCGTGACTTCTGGTAGAAGATAAACTATCTGCCTCTACCGCCTTCAAACTTCCCTGAAGGCCAGGAGAAAAAAGACTTGGGCCAGTTTGAGCATATCTCTGTGTGGTGGTGTATTCCCTTTCGCGCAAGCACTTTGCTGCGAAAAGCACAAACCAAGAATCCAAAAAAGGTCTATCATTAGTTGGCGCGACCCTGCGTCTGTCTCCTTGTTCCACGTCTGCGGCGGTACCTGGTATCCGTTGACGCTTTCAACAATGGCCGACGACGCCGCTGATGTTGCCGAGGACTATCGGCAGGCCCTGGAGGACTTGACCGTAAACTCAAGGATAGAGATTGCGACTTTGACGAATATTGCGCGAGAGAACGCCCACCATGGTTTGGCCATTGCTGAGGTCTTGACAAACCACATCAAAAAGGTACGCCGCCTCTCCACCGCAACGGTTCTGGCCCAAGGCATAGACAACCGAGACCTATGAGCAACGCCACTTCCTCAAAAGATGCATGTGTCTGATACTTTACCTAGGTCCCACCTCCTCGAACCCTACCGGCCCTCTACGTGCTCGACTCGGTGGTCAAGAATGTCCCGACACCATACGCCCTCTACTTTGGGCCCAAGCTCTACTCCATCTTCATGGGCGCCTACACCAAAGTCGACAACCCAACCAGGCGGAAGATGGACGAGATGCTGAAGACCTGGAAGGAGCCAGTACCGGGCTCGATATCCACGAAGCCCGTGTTCCCTCCCGAGGTGGTCAAACCGATCGAGAACGCCCTGATCGCGGCCAAGAATGTTGCCCTTCAAGTCAACCAGAGCAGTTACCAAGGGCAGCAGTATATGCTCCGCGGAGCCCGTCCCCCAGCCCCTCCTCACAGAGATACGCCAACTCCTCCAAACGTTCGACCAGCGACACAACAACCAGGACAGCAATATCCGCCTCCTAACGGACATATGCCGCCGCACGGAGGAAACGCGGCCTTCCCTATGCGCCCTCATAACGTATGTTACCCCTGTCTTTCTTGTTCGATCTCTTTTGTGCATTGATACTAACAACACTCCCAGGGTCCCGATGTGCTTCCTCCTCGCGCCACCACCCAGCCTCCGTATGGAGCCCCCTATCACCAGCCCCAAGTTCCTCACCAGGGTATAAGCATAGAGAGGTTAAGAGACGATATCCAGCAGCTCATCGTTGCAGAGAGGGCCGAGTTTGCGCGAGATCCGCTGGACGTAGGTAAACAAACTAGACTGAAGGCCTTGCTGGATCTGCAGACCTTGATTCAGAGGCCAGACGTGCCGCAGGAGCAGTTAATGCTCGTGAAAGAAAAGATCACTGAACTGTCCGTAAACATGCGCAGCGCTGCTACTGCCGCCTCTGCTGCTGCTGCTGCTGCTGCTACTGGCATTGCTCCTGTCGCCGCCGCGCCTCTTCAATATCCCGTCCCATACACCGCTACCCCAACACCTCCGGTCATTCCCGGTGCTGTTCCTCCTCCTCCTCCTCAAGTACCAGGGGGGCGTCCTCCTTCTGCCTCGGCCGTGGCGGGTCCGAGTGCTGGTGCCGGAGGTGCCCTCTCGATAGACTCTTTGTTCGGGCAAGGCGCTCTCGCCGCCTTGCTGGCTGGTGCTACCCGAAAGTCTGCTACCCCTACACCATCACAGACAGGCACGCCACAGCCTCCCATCGCGACACCGATACCACCACCGGCTGTACCACCGGTAGCTGGAGCTCCTACTCCGGTTCCCGCTGCTGCCGCTGGTAGTCTGGCAGCCTTGCCACCCGTCATCGCGGCTGCCCTTCGATCACAAACACCAACAGTGGGCCCGGCAGCACCACCACCTCTCGAGGCTCCTAAGCCCGCAGCTTCCGCTCCTCCCACCGTTCCCGCGGCCGCACCGCCAGCACCAGTGTCCAACCCATCAGCGTTACTTGCCATGCTTCGACAATCCGGTCTTCTGTCCGGCACCACTCCTGCTGCTCCCGCTCCCGTAGCAACAGCACCCGCCGCCGCCCCGGCCGCCGCCTGGACCTATACCCTCAAACAGTACCGCGGCCCACAACTCATCAACCAACTCCACGAAGACCTCGGCCCCCCCTGCACACAGTGCGGCCGGCGGTTCGGCACCGACGAGGAAGGCCGGCGCAAGAAGACAGCGCACATGGACTGGCACTTCCGGGTGCACCAGCGGGTGACGGACGCCGAGCGACGCGGGCAGCACCGTTCCTGGTGGGTGGAGCAGTCAGATTGGGTGAACTCGTTGGAAGCGATTGATTCTGATCACGGTCACCGTTCTGATACTACTGCTGGCGGTGGTGCCGGTGGTCTTGGTGGTCGTGGTGGAGGTGTGCCGGGTCAGGATACACTCAACTATGATGATAATGTGGATGAGGATGAGGATGATTATGACCCCGAGGCGAGCTTCAATAATTCCTATAACCCCAACTCTCTGTACCCAGGTGGTGGTGGCATCATGGGTGCTGATCATTCGGGAGGTCATGGTGGCGGGAAAGCCATGCCCGGTCACGGCGGTGGTAGAAAGGGAGGCAAAAGGGGCGGTCTCGACTACATCCCCGTTCCCGAGGATTCCGCCAAAGTCAATAACATGTGCCCCATCTGCCAGGAAAGATTCGAGATGAAGTGGCTTGATGAGGCGCAGGAGTGGGTGTGGATGGACGCCACGAAAGTAGGCGAGAGGGTATATCATGCCAGTTGCCATAAGGAGGTAAATGGCAGTGTTGGTGGCGGTGTTGGGCCTGGAGGTGGTGGTGACAATGGATTAATGAGCATGGGCGGGGAGAATGGATTTGGGGGGAGGAAGAGGAAGGCTGAGGTAAGTCTCTAGTTCGTGGCAAGGATGTAGTTGATTGCATTGCTAACTTTGATGAAACAGGATGATGCTTATTCAGGGGTCAAGGGAAGGATAAAGTTGGAATATTGAGAGTGCTGCGAGGCGCGAGCCAGTCAGTAAGTGGGAAGGCAAGGCCAAACACGGCTATCAAGGGGAAAAGGAGGCGTAAAGGGATCAAGGGTGGTGGTTGATCGAGTACTGTTGAGCATATGGTCAGCACAAAGCTTGGGTACCCGAAAGATCATCCGAATACAAAAGCGAATCTTCGAAGCGTTATCGAGCTAGTGCTCTATCGTTACAATGCTTTTGCCATCAGTTTGAGGTCAAACGCAAACGCCTTGCCAGTGCATTGACTTGCCAGAGTTGTACAAACACAGCGCGATACGTAAGCTGGAGAAGCACAATACCGCCAATGTTAAACACGTTCTCGAATAGACTTGACCTTGGTCTGGATTTCTGTCATATGCCGTCCGAATGAGAGCAGACACCATCTTCAGTAGTACTTATTCTAGCTCGGACATTGACCACAGTGAATCTGCAAATAGATCGTTATTTTATGCAGGACTAGGTTGGATGAGACGCTTCTCAGCAAGGACTACAGCAGAATACAAGAAGTGTACGTTTTTCTCGCTCTAAGGTTACCAATCATCATACCGGTTTTCAGAATGGTAAAACCGTCAAGAGGCATCTAACGAAAGAGAAGAAATAAAGTATCAGCCGCGGAAGGATCATAACCATCAAGAAACCCTCTGCTTTGAAGAAGAACCAGATAGGATACACCGGACCTAGAGCAATACCCTACCGCTGCCCCTCTACTAACGTAGTGACCCAGAAAAATGAATACCAATACGCCGCAAATAACGATAGCCTCCGGCCCCATAGCAGTAACTTTTTTTCCTCCGTGGTTCTTTATCCATCTCAAGGGGTATCTCCTCCCTGAACTGATCTCTCGCCTGTGTGCTTTCTCTTCAGATTCGTCTTCCTCAGCTTTTCCCTGGGCCTTTATCTCCGCGAGCCAGCAGGAACCGAACCCTTTAGTTGTTGGACGTGCTGTTGGATGTGAAGGCATAATTAGGAGGAAAATTGATGCCGTTCGGTCCAACAGTGATGTTTCCAGGCAAGCCCATCACAATCGGGTCATCGTTGGCTGCATTCTTGTCATTCCGATCGCCGCGTCTGTCATCGCCACTGTTGTTTCGATGCTTCTCGCGACCATGCCGCCAGCGGTTACCGACAGGGGGCGGTCCACCTGCGTTCCCATTAGGATGCTGGGGCTCCTCATCTCGGCGGCTTGACTTGGGACCATGGTTACCCCCTTTGTCTGTCTGCATACGTCGACTGATGGCTTTTGACGAAACACCTGCGCCAATCTCAATGTCTGGCTCCTCGACAACAAGACCGGTGGTAATAGGTTGGCCACCACTTCCGCCATAGGGCGCCGTCAACATCCATTTCCGGTCGGCTTCGGTGAGCTTATGAATAGGAATGACACTAATCCCAGTCTGGTAGTCACTGCAGTCACGGGGGCCAAAGCCAACACCCCAGCGAGTCTACAAAATCGTTAGTTGGCGACCAATAACGAAGATATGAGTCGCAAACTTACCCGCAGCTGCACGTCGGAGCCTCTGTTCTCTTCCATGGCTTTCTTTGCATTCTCAGCATCTTGACGGTAGTACATCTTGACAAAGGCATGTCTTTTCTCTTTGTTGACAATGCACGTTTGTACTTCGCCATAGCGACCAAAGATGGAGCGGAGTTCAGCTTCGGAACATCTACATGTGTGTCAGTCAATGCACATATAGGCTGGAAAACAGCTTGGCAAACTTACGTCACACCGCCGACAAACAGCGTGCGGCTATACACCTTGATGTGACCATTGGGAAGAGTAGGATCGTGTTTGACCCATTTCTCGGAGGGCGGCTCCTGACCGGGGCTTTCATGTCTACGGCTGGGGGGCGACCGTTGTCGGTAGTCGGGAATACGCATATCCCGGTCTCTACCACGATCATCCGGACGGCCACGGGGCGGGGTGCTCCGCCCATAATCAAAGCGATCGTTACCGCGGGCTCGAGGCGACCCCCTGACATCCCAGCGCCGCGGCGAGCGTGAGCGAGAGCGACCCCGAGGCCTATTTGGAGACCTCATCCCATCATGATAGCCATTACGATCACGTGATTCATCATGTCTCACGGACTCCCATGCAGGGGCAGCAGATACACCGCCAGCAGGGGGAGGAGGATAGCCGGCATATAGAGGCTGAGCAACGGACTGGGGAGGTGCTGCCGGGGCGGTGCCACTTGGTTGACCCATCAGCTGCATTACACTGGCAATCTTGTCAAGAGGGATGCCCTGGGCGGCGAGGGCGGCGAACAGCTGAACCGTCGTGGCGGCATTCGCACTAGGGGCTGCTCCTGGCACTTGCGCAGGCTGAGCTGGCTGTGCGGCCGGAGCTGGGAAGCCAAATGGCATCGTCGGTGGCATGTTCACCGACTGCCCCGCCGGCTGCGATGCTGATAAGTACGGCATACCCGGGTGCCCCACACCGGGAAGAAATCCGGCTGGCAATGCTCCATTGCTAGGCTGACCAGAAGTAGGAAACATGGGATGCGGCGTGGAAGGAGTAACAGGAGGAATCTGCGGGACCCCCACTTGTACCGGAGACGGGGCCACAGCCGCAGTTACGGCCGGGGCGGGAACAGGAGCGGCCGCGCTGGAATTACTCTGAGCCGCATTCGCATTCAAGCGGGCAAGATTTGCTAAGGTCTCCAGGATGTTGGACGGCATTACGGCGGTAGTTGTAGGCGTAGGGAGAGGTCTGCTAGCGGCCTGCAAGGAAGCCAGCGGGTTGGGAGGGGGACTGCCTGGTGGTGTTGTCGAGACATCTATCGGCACACGATACAGTTAGATCAGGCAAACAACGAGCACCGCACAGGCGTAAGGGAATATGCTTAGAAGGATCCGGGCAAAACCTACTGGGCTGTTGATGAGCATTCAGCTTCTCTTTGAAGGTGTTGACCATATCGGGAGGAAACGTCTGGCCCTTTTCCCATATGTCGACCAGCTTCTTGATCTTCTCCTACAAGACGATACGGGTGTGAGTTTATGAACAACATGATACTGGACACTAATTACAACCAAGAATGGATGCACAATATGGTCTAGAAAAGTGAAGACGACTGGTGTGGCCTGATCTTACAGCCGCTCCCAAGTGTGCTCGGGGTCTAGTCCGTTGGCAGAAATGGAGGTATAAGTGTAAGACGGCACATGAGTGTGCGGTTGTGTGCGTACCTTTTGATCCTCGGGGGCCGAAGAGATGATGGCGTTCATGAACATGGGCATTAGTTCAGTCACTCTATGGACACCGGCAGCATAGGTGCCATCCTGTGCACCAAGGGTGACGGGCTGTTCAAGGGCCTTTGCCTTCTCCAACCATTTGCGGGTTACGGAATCTACGACGTATAGGACGCCCAGCTTGTGAGTGTTTGGTGTTTTCTTGTAGTGGGTATATAACTTCTGAACCAGCTGTGATTCGTACTGTCAAAGGATGTGTGGTTAGCTCTGGTGCCTCCATCGTGCATACTGTCGAGCCCAGACATGGCGCGCTTCTTACCTGGACGTTGTTCAAACACAGCATGGTGAGGCTATTGATCTTCGAGCCAGAGACACCGGGCGGTTTCAGGTTTTGCATGTCCCCGAGGCCCTTCTCTAGTTCAGCTACGGCCGCCTGTGACGACGACATGATTGATGATTTTTTTTTGAAAAATCGAGCAAGACCAGCTGAAGTCGGCAATCAACTTGGCCGTTGGGCTTGGAGATACAAGCTGCGATGTAGTACGGTTGTGATACGGTGAAGGCTGATTAAAGGTTTTATGCCAATACCATGCTCCTTTGTCACGGGTGGAAAGACGGAGTACGTTGATTAAGGCTCAAACAGGTCGGCATCCAAGGTCTGCTTTCCTTGCTTCTCGACGTATATCACCGAGGTTACGAAGCTGCAATTTGCCCGCGCCACCGGGTACTCAGAAGAGAGCAGCTTGTACGAAGAGACTGTCCTTTCTGTGCGTCTCAAGACGAGCGCAGAAGCCGTAGGCCAGTGCAAAGTCCTAGCAAAAAAAGAGAAGCCGAGAGGCCAGAGATATATGTTGCTGGCCGGCGCGTGCGCGAGCAAGAATACGGTGGTCCTTTTTATTTTTCTGACGTGACGCGCGAAGTGGAAACCACCAGCTGGGGATAGCTGTGACGACGTGCAAGAACCGCAACGAAAGCAGCTGTACGAAGGGCAGACGAGATCAGGACTTGACCTGCGCGGATGTGATCTGGGCGCACCCTTTTACTGTGAGGCTACTAGAAAGTGAGAAAATCCAGGTGAGCTTGTGCTGAGTCGAGACAAATCCTGGGCGACTAGTCGATTACTGGATTGCTGGATTGACAAAGGCGGTCTCCGTTGGCGTTTAAGATTGTTTTCGCTGATGATGACAAAAGCGTGATGTGGTGGTGATGCGAGAAGTGAGGAGGGAGTTGGGGTTGGAAAGCGGGGAGAAAGAAAAGTTGTCGTTGCAGAAGTAGAAGAAGGGACTGGACGGGGAGTGCCAGTGGTCGGTGGTTGGTGCAGGTGGGTGGGTACTCGGCTGTACACTAGTGGCTATGGTAGGTGCCCTGATCTTGACTCTACTCGAGTCGTCTGTCGGGTTCGATTGCATCCGTCCGTCGCTTCGGTTTGCCTGCCCTGCTGCTGCTGCTGCTGCTGCTGCTGCTGCTGCTGCTGCTGTGGCACCGTGGCTGTGGTGCGTGGCCCGAGGAACGAACTGGCAGGCACTTTTTCAAGCCACCCAATCACGCCTCGATTGGTTCGAATGACCCGCCTCGAACTGTTGTGACTGAAGACTCGGAAAACCTTCCTTCAGTTTAAAGCGAGAACCTTGCAGAGAGGTGTCAACCGTGTTGTGGCCTGACGCACGTACATACCAAGAGTATGAGGCACCAAGGCAACAAAGCCCAGACGGATTGCGGTAAATTAGGAACACCAACCGTTGATCCACATCCAACCTGAGATTGGATGAAGCCCTACACTGGAGTCGGTTGCGTGCTCCATCCGACTCTCCATGCAACCCCGAAGGTTCCACGAACATTGATGATGAGCGTTGAGTGTCGAGGACGTGCTAGGGAACAGATTGTGCAGGCGGGTTCATCTGTTATCAATCCGTCCATCAATTGGCAATTCCAATGTTGTTTTCTGGAAACCCGGAGCAGGAACGTTTCCACACCTGTCAAAAGGGGCGGCTTCCCCGGATGAGTTAGGGATCTCGCAAGGGCCAAGTACATAGTGTAGGTAGTCCAAGGCCCAAAGGGTTCCGTGACGTCAATGCATGTCGGTGTCGACCTCGACATGCGAGTGAACAAGCAGTTTTGACATCGCGATGTTGAGGTCTGGTCTGACAACCGCTGTCCCTCGAGACACATGCCATTGCAGAGACGTGCACATGATGTCGGTGCCGCAAGTGTTCAGCGTGGTCGTGTCCAGGTTTTCTTCCGGTCTTCCGTCGTCGGCCATCCTTTTACCGCGCGCATGGACGGGAGGAGACTTGGGAACCGAAACACACGTGTGGGAGCCGCCCCGCGTTCGATCCCTAGAACGGCGTCAGCGACCCCCTGACCCGCTCGAGCTCGGCAGCTCGGCCAAGCTACCTCCACGTACATCCGGATAGAAACATTGAACCTTTGGCCCGCAGAGTTCCATGTTCAGCTTCATGATCCAAATTGACCACATTCAGGGCTGGGTATTGTATTCATCAAAATACAGAGACTTGGCGCCGGCCTCTACGGTGATTACGGTGTGGGCTTCTCCAGTCTCATACTCGCGGATACGCGCGGGAAGAGGAGCAGCTGCCTGTCTACGAGTCGGCCATTGTGGATCAAGCAGCGTGTCGTGTCAAGAGCATCGCGGTGTATTGTACAATACAACTTCGTGAGAGAACTGGCCCGAACACCCCGGTCCACTGGCCCGAGCAGAGTGGGAGCCCCGCCCATTTGCTCCCGCCCGTGAACATTATTGGATCCAATTGGCACTGGCAATTGCGGGCAATTCGCATCCAGTCGGGGCAGGCCAATCCCCCGGCAGGAGCGACGGGAGCAGAGCCCGCCAAAGCCACCTAACGGACCTCTGGACCTGCCCTGGTTCGCTGGTTGCGACGGCAGGTCAGGCATATTTTCCCACGCATTGCCTGCTCCCCGGCTGCGCTTTTTTTTCAAGCCCGTGCCGCCTTGATTGCTTCAACCTGAACTTTTTCCCTTTCTTCTCTCCTTTCCGTACTGTTCCTTTCTCCTCAACCACACCACATCCCGTCCTCCCACTCAGTAAACCATGGCTCCCGTTATGCGCCTGGGCTCCGCCGCCCTGAGGTCCTCCATCAACCTCACTTCTCGCCAGACTGCCTTCACTGCCGCCAGATGCTACTCTTCCAAGACTCAGGTAAGGCAGTCTCATGAGCCGGGGACACACTGACATCATCCGCTGACCGCGCTTCTTTGGCCGTAATAGACTCTCAAGGAGCGCTTCGCTGAGCTCCTCCCCGAGAACATCGAGAAGATTAAGGCCCTCCGCAAGTAAGCTCTACCTCTGCCTCGGCATAAGCTGTCGATAGCTTCTCGACTCGTCTATCGTGTTGCTGATCTGTCCTGCCAACCTCAGGGAGCACGGTTCCAAGGTCGTCGACAAGGTCACTCTCGACCAGGTCTATGGCGGTGCCCGTGGCATCAAGTGCCTTGTCTGGGAGGGTTCCGTCCTTGACGCCGAGGAGGGTATCCGTTTCCGCGGCAAGACCATCCCCGAGTGCCAGGAACTGCTTCCCAAGGCTCCCGGCGGCAAGGAGCCCCTGCCTGAGGGTACGTTCACACTCCTGCGCGCCTTGCCAGGACCATGCACCGTGAGATATCGTGTTTAAGCGGTCTTGTGTATTGACTTGATACGCAGGTCTCTTCTGGCTTCTCCTGACTGGTGAGGTCCCCTCCGAGCAGCAGGTCCGCGACCTTTCTGCCGAGTGGGCTGCCCGCTCCGATGTCCCCAAGTTCATTGAGGAGCTCATCGACCGCTGCCCCTCTGACCTCCACCCCATGGCTCAGCTCTCCCTCGCTGTCACCGCTCTCGAGCACACCTCTTCCTTCGCCCGTGCCTACGCCAAGGGTATCAACAAGAAGGAGTACTGGGGCTACACCTTTGAGGACTCCATGGACCTCATTGCCAAGCTCCCCACCATTGCTGCCCGCATCTACCAGAACGTCTTCAAGGGCGGCAAGGTCGCTGCTGTCCAGAAGGACAAGGACTACTCCTTCAACTTCGCCAACCAGCTCGGCTTCGGCGACAACAAGGACTTCGTTGAGCTCCTCCGTCTCTACCTCACCATCCACACCGATCACGAGGGTGGCAACGTCTCTGCCCACACCACTCACCTTGTCGGCTCTGCTCTCAGCTCTCCCTTCCTCTCCGTCGCCGCCGGTCTGAACGGTCTCGCCGGTCCCCTCCACGGTCTTGCCAACCAGGAGGTCCTTAACTGGCTCACCGAGATGAAGAAGGTCATCGGTGACGATCTCTCCGATGAGGCCATCACCAAGTACCTTTGGGACACCCTTAACGCCGGTCGCGTTGTTCCCGGTTACGGCCACGCCGTCCTCCGCAAGACCGACCCCCGCTACTCTGCCCAGCGCAAGTTCGCCCAGGAGCACCTCCCCGAGGACCCCATGTTCCAGCTCGTCAGCCAGGTCTACAAGATCGCCCCCAAGGTCCTCACCGAGCACGGCAAGACCAAGAACCCCTACCCCAATGTCGATGCCCACTCTGGTGTCCTTCTCCAGCACTATGGTCTTACTGAGGCCAACTACTACACTGTTCTCTTCGGTGTTTCCCGCGCCATTGGCGTCCTTCCTCAGCTGATTATCGACCGCGCCGTCGGTGCCCCCATTGAGAGGTATGTCTTGCTGCTATATGATATCGTGTCAATCCAGGGCTATGGCTAACACTTTGACTCTAGGCCCAAGTCCTACTCCACTGACAAGTGGATCGAGATCTGCAAGAAGCTGTAAATCAAGCGATTGTTGTGATAGTAGTAATGGTTAGGTAGTTTGGCGCGACGGTCGGAAAACGGTCGGGCTTCGGTTCTTTTCAGCATAGAATGGATGGGATCTTCATTTCAAGCAGCAGCCTTTTCGCGCCTCAGATGATGTATCGTGAACTACAAGGCACCAAGAGGGTTGGTGTGTGTACAGACATGTGGAGAAACATCCGGGGTTGTTGGAAGGCGATATCATCCATTTCATTCGCTTGTAATATACATATGACGACAATATACCACACACGCGTTCTTTGATGGCAATTTCCTTAACGAAACCGCTCACATCATTGAAGTTCTCACGACAATGACGCAGGCGTCGCTTGAGCAATTGAAGCCTTTGAGCCCATCCAGGGGTTTTCTTGTCCGCGGCAGGCAGTCAATAGGAAGAACGCTGGGGACTGTGTTGGCGCATGTGACATGCAGAGCCAATCATGTAATGTTGCTAGACCCCTGGAGGCCGGAGTGCGACTTTGGACCCCGGCAGCCGTCCATGCAGCAAGAGCTACCCTGGAAGCCAAGAAGAAAGACATGTACTTGTACTGTAGTATCCCCAAAGTGGTTCCCTTCCCTGGGTCTGTTTTACTGTAGGAGGTAGCTTTTCCTTCTCAGCAGATGTGTTTGACAGGAACCCGATAGGACTTTCGCCTCATGAATTCCTAAGACTGGCGTCACGAGAACCATGATTCCGTTCATCAGCTTTTGTATGGTTCTTGGAGGAGGTTGAATGAAGATGGAAAGTTGTCAAAGGTACCTGTCGCTGACCCATCTCCATTCGGAACCCCGCGACAAACCTGGCAAACGACGGGAAGAGCTTGGCCGCGGGGCTCTCCAACATTTCCCCAAAGCTGTCCGCGAATGCCCAGACATTCCCCTGCCCGCCCTGGCACCTCAGTCACAAACGTACCCCCACCCCCCCTCTTGGCGCACTTGGTTGTTGGGAACGCCGAGGCATACGGTTGGGAAATTCACGACTTGTAACCATAACCAGCTGCAGTGATTGATGCTTCTCTTTCCTGCTTCAAAGCGCCACAGTCTCACATCATCAACCCGCCGATTATCGTGAATTCCAAAAGGGCTGGGAACCGGCAACTAGACGTTACTGTAACAGTCCGAATTTTCTATATTTTCTCGAGTTGATATTGTCCCGACGTCAAGCACCGGGGACTGAGATAGTTATGCTGATACAGTATGTGGTATTGGTACAAGCTCGAGATTCGTGATACGGTACGGTAATATAAGCACGCAGTACTAGTACAGCATCTTTGTGGCACGGACTACGGATCAGAGTAAGTATGGTTGTAATCATGGCCGCTTCCACTGCTCTAAGCATCCTTCGATTCCATCACAGAGAGTAAGAGATGAAGTCGGAGGATTACAGTGATCTTGTGTTCATTGCTTACCTGCCCTAGCTTTCGGTTTTTGTCAATCTGCATAGGTACTAGCTAGGTAGCTTTTGATGATATTGCACAGGATCTGACCGTCAGCCATTACTGTAAGCGTAACACACGGCCTAGGCATCGTCGGGGTCGGTCCGAACGAACGGAATTGGTACAGGTATGTACGCTGCCGTATCGTATGGTGAACCCTTGAACCCCCGAATCGTTCAACCCCCCCGTGTGCTGTTCAACCCTCCCCCTCGTCCTGGGACACAGCAATACAACCGTGTCCAATCCACCACGCGCGTCTAGTTCTACCACACAATCGTCGCTTCCAATTGGCTTCTTTGTTGAGTTTTGTTGTTGAGACCGGCAAAAAGACGAGGAGGAACAGTTAACACTTTGCTTGAACAAAACCCAAACATCCGCCACGCACCCAAGTGACATCTTCTCATCATCACTATCATCGTCGTCCACCGAATCGAACCATCGTTCTCTCAATCAAGGTTAGTGGGGCAAATCCTACCGCGGCTAGAAGCCAGATGGCCTAGGGCAAAACCAAGACGCCCAAGATGCCCAAGTTGAGCGCTCTCGGTGGTCGTGCTGGGCGCCAGACCTATCTAGGCGTGCTGGGCATGAATCCACTTCAACTTGACACCATGGACCGAGAGAACCGCCCCGATTAACACATGCAACAAACAGGTCTCCTCCCGCCGCCATCGCTTGCTGCAGCCTACCAAGACAAAAGCCAGATACCCTCGAATCTTCAAATTCACCGAGCCGGATTCCAACCGACTTCACGTGCTGCTATCCTGCTGCCATCGACTCGTTGCTGTCGACAACTCCGTTCGCTACCGTCACAATCGTCATCGTTGTGAGAAATACTCCAGCAGCAAGGTCAGGCCCGCCGGCAAAAGAAGCCAAGTACACTCCAATTACTCCACCGAAGTCGGTCACTTCACCCGAGTAACCGGTGACAGCAGCCCATCTCCGCCTCGGCTTACCTCAGGCTCTCCCACCTCCAAAAGCCCCCTTTCCCCCTCAACTTTGCGAAGAAGCACCCGAATCCCTTGGTCAGGGCCCCAGTAATCCGACAACATTCGATCAGCCATGTCCGCCGCCGTCGCCTCCGTCCCGGCCCCAGCGCCAAAGAAGCTGGAAAAGAAGCCCGTCAAGTTCTCCAACTTGCTTCTGGGTGCCGGTCTCAACCTCTTCGAGGTCACCACGCTCGGCCAACCCTTGGAGGTCATCAAGACCACCATGGCTGCCAACCGCAGCGATAGTTTTGCCTCTGCCCTCCGCCGCATCTGGAACCGTGGTGGTATCTTTGGCTGTAAGTGATGATATGAAGCTTCCCGGACGACCGGAGATCAGCATCAGTTAGCGCTTCCCTCAGCCTTTGCCTCACCTACCTACTCGCTCAACCCTACCGTACTCTCCCGCATTCTGAATTCTCCCATTTTTCACTTGGAGTCTGGAAGCTAATCAACGAATGCTCTTCGTCAATCAGTCTACCAGGGTCTTATCCCATGGGCCTGGATTGAGGGCTCCACCAAGGGTGCCGTGCTCCTCTTCGTTGCCTCCGAGGCCGAATATCATGCTCGTGCCGCTGGCGCCGGTGACTTCGTTGCCGGTATCACCGGTGGTATCGTTGGTGGTGTTGCGCAGGCGTATGCCACCATGGGCTTCTGCACCTGTATGAAGACGGTCGAGATTACCAAGCACAAGATGAGCGCCTCCGGCCAGAAGGCCCCCGGCACTTGGGCCACCTTCATGGACATCTACCGCCGCGAGGGTATCCGCGGTATCAACAAGGGCGTCAACGCCGTTGCCATTCGCCAGATGACCAACTGGGGTTCCCGTTTTGGTCTCTCCCGCCTTGCTGAGCAGGGTATCCGCAAGGCCACGGGCAAGGAGGAGGGACAGAAGCTGGCCGCGTGGGAGAAGATTCTCGCCTCCACCCTTGGTGGTGGTCTTTCTGCTTGGAACCAGCCCATCGAGGTCATCCGCGTCGAGATGCAGAGCAAGAAGGAGGACCCCAACCGTCCCAAGAAGATGACTGTCGGCAACACCTTCAGGTACATCTACCAGACCAACGGCATCAAGGGCCTGTACCGCGGTGTAACACCCCGCATTGGTCTTGGTATTTGGCAGACCGTCTGCATGGTTGCTTTCGGCGATATGTGAGTTCCTGACCCTGACTGATTATTTGTTGTCACTGTAGAGATGCTGACCGCTTTTACCCCAATTACAGGGCCAAGACCTACGTCGAGAAGTTGACCGGCGAGGCCGTCACCGCGAAGCACTAAACGCATAATTAACGCCGGCGCTGATCGAGATCACGTTATTTGTCTTTTCTTTTTTCTTTTTGTTTTCTTTTTCCATCTTCACCAAATATTCGGTTGATCGGTCGGGTTGGTTTGGTCGGTAGGTTCAGGAGGATGGATGGACGGGATGGGTTCTGTCCTCATACGACATCTTTATAGAGAATTTTTTTTGTTACCAAGGAAACGGAAATGGGCGTGGTTGGTGCGGTGTGGGTCATTTGTTTGGTTTTGGGGAACGGTCTCACGCGCAGGTCCTCCTTCTCCAACTGGTACATCCAAGATCTCAGGTATTCCAGGACTGAACTTCGTTGTTGACCTTGATCATGTCTCTTATTTCACGCCTTAACGATTTTGATGAGATGGGCAGAAACGGATGCCAGGTGTCGATGCTTGGAGTTGATCTACATTAACAGATGATTCAGTCGGTGATAATCGGTGGCTTATGTAGTAGAGGGCGATATAGATACACAACGCGATGTATCACGAAGCGTTTCGGTTATTTGCGAATGTAAGTCAAGTTATATGATTTTGCCCCGTACTGCATCGGCGTGTCATATCTTTGACTGAATAGTTCTTGTGATGAAAACAACCCTACGGCGTCCAGAATTTCGGCCTCCATGCCCATCATTTCAATGCACTCTGCAACCTCCACCTTCCAGGATTTTTGAGAGACCAGGCATCGACATCGCCAGGTCCATGATGGCGGCCTTATAGTCTTGGGGTTACCGTTCGGGCCTTGCAATTGTGCTTGATTTTGCCTAGCACAATTGACGGACCTCCCCGGCTTAGGGCGAAGTTCTCGCTCGACAATAAGTAACAGCCACAACATGACGATTGCCATGTCAGTGAGCTTCAACGGCAGTCAGAAAGGGAAGATATGGCAGTGCCCTGACAACCCCTTCCAGCTCTTAGAAACGTAGGAGACTATAGGACTTTAAGAGCTGATGTGTGGCTTCAGGGTCAGCAACACCATGTCCTGATCTCCTGAACTACCATGGAGGGCCAAAATGTCTTCATCCTCGAGGTATTTGGCGGGAAGGTCCTAGAAGGCAGGGTCTTGGAAGAAGTATACGGTAGCGTTCAGGCAGCAAAGAAGGCTTACTGCTTTGGAAAGATGGTAGTAGTGCAACCTTGTGCTATAACACCACCTTTCCTGTATCAAAAACAGTCAATATCAAGAGCCGCAAGTTCTATCCTTTCCAAAAGACTTGACTTTACCGAAATACCTACTCTATTCGCGTTGCGATACTTTGAGTGACGGGACGCCGGAAGACTCGTCAGACACTAGATACCAGAGAAGTATTTGTGAATGAGATCGTTCCCATCACTTCATCACCTTCACAAGACAAGAGCAAAGAAAGCCTCCGTCGACACATGTTGGGGGTATACTCCAGATTATATCGCCTACCTACCCACGTACTGCACAGCCTTGACGAATTCGACCATATTACTCTTTCAAAAGTTACGTGTCGGAGTAAGCCAGTAATGCAGTTCTTCTTTTCCGTCCCATCAGGCGTGTGATTCTGAGTCGAGGGCGACTCGACGTCGCTCTGCTCTGCTTTTCGAACACTACTCCACACAAGTCAAGCCGGACGCAGGCAAGCCAAAGCGATTCAAGTTTGTTGTCAAATTTAACTCGCCAACCCCAGTCATTGCTTGATGTTAAATTTTCCTGCAGAACAGGAAGCACCTCATCCGGGAAACCGTTTCGTGGTAGTGATTCTTGGCCAGGTTTATCTGGGCTCCGAACAAGTCGAATAATGGAACAAACCAACCTCGATCTGCGTAGAGACTACAAGTCGAATCTGACCGCAGTTTTGACAAGTGAGCGAAGTACGATTCCGGACCTAGCTTGGCTTGACTTCAGTGATTTGTGCACCACTCAGGCTTGCCTCGCTCCCGTCGTCTTTGAGCCTTTGGCTTAACAAGGCAGGCAGGTAAGGAGGCAGGCATATCAGTCGCTCTTGTCTTCTACTTGTCGCAACCATAACGTACCTACCTGTACTGATGGGTAGCTTATCTATGCAAGAATGGTCCTCCCCTCCTTTCTTCCTTTCCACAAAGTGTGACTGTCTGCCCCTGGTGATGCATATTAGTCATGGTAGTGGCAATTATTCTACCCTCTTTCCAGTTAAGTAGATGACAACGGATCCCATTAACACCTCAGAGTTCGGAGAGTGGACTTTCTGGATGTCAGAGAAATTATGGGAAGCTTCTTGAAGGTGGAAGGTGCGATTGAGATGCATATCATCAGCCTTGGCGTATGTACGATGCCACTCGTTCTATCATCGAGAGACTGGACACATGGCTACTGGTATCAAAAATCATAGTCATTGGGAACATGAGCTTGACAGCTTGGGAAGGTGCGCTGTGCGCTTAGACGGGAAGGTATAAGAACTTGGATTCTTGGGGCTTCTGGTGTAGTTAGTTGGCTTTCCTTGTTCCTAACCAGCCACCACCTGAGTCCTGAAAGAACCCCTTGTCCTGCACGAAGCAATTCAAGCTCTTCGCTGTCTGTATCAGTGTTCCAGCAAGCTCGTGTACGTCGAATGAACGGCGCGTGCTGGAGTGTGAGACTACCCATGAGGGCAGCTGTTGAGCCACATTAATGCGGTGGGATGCATGTCCGCATGGCATCGGCACCACTACTAGCATACAGTCACTCAGTCCTGAAATGAACCACGTTTGCAAAAACAGGACGAATGCGGTCTTCAACTTGACTGATGGCTTTTTGGCACTTCGTTTCCGCAACATGACGAGATCCGTGTTGTCTTGGCCACCCATCCGGAAAGTTCGGAAGACAAAAAATAAGCGAGCATAAACCCACCCATTCTTCATGGCATGTGTCGTGATATCATATGCCTCTCCTTACATTCTCGTTGCAACGCCGGATATGACTTCGGGAATACGCTGACACCTGCTTGAGGCATCCGGAACTCCGGATAGACCAGGCTGTTGCTTGACCGATTCCGGGAGCGTTAACCGGCCGAACATGTCGGAAGCTTGCCACTAAATGCGGCCTTTGACCCATACAGCAATTACACTATCACCGATTCCAACTACACGTGTTGTTTCCATAAGTTTTGTACAGTGACCTTGAGAGCACCATACATGGCGATCCGAGTTGCTTCGAAAGACCATGAACGATTTCGCAACGAAGCGGAAGCTAAGTTCCGCTTGACACCGACGGCAAGGCGTTTATGCCACTCCACGTGGAAGCCACGTGAAGTGGTCAACAAGCCAGCAATGCCAAAATCATCGATCTCGAGACAATGATGTTCGCGTTACCATAAGTGCCTGTACACGATTGCGCCAGACCCGTACCTCGACATTCAACAAACGGGTCAGGGCATGGAAGACAACATGGGAGTGAGATCTAAAAACTCGGTCATATGCAATTATCGACCAGTCCGTCATTGTCAGCATCCAAGGTCGACTATTGCATACATGAAACCATAAAGCGAACAATGGCATTCTTGATATAGTCAGCGACCCTTCAGCCTCAACTGGTCCAAACTACCTTTCAGTTTTGTGCAAATTCTAGACCGAGGACTACTGTGTAAACCTTACCCATCAGTACTCAGCACTCGAGGAGCTTCCCGGGATCTGCGCCGCATTCGCAACACGAATGACTAACTCCGATCCTAGTTGATACACTGTAGCCGGAAAGGTACTTAGGTACGGTGTAACTAAGGTACGGAACACAAAGCAATAATCTCAAGTATTAGCGAGGTGAGGCAAATAACGGCAAGTAAGTACCTTTCCAACGGTTCAGAATCTAAGGCATGTTTGACGTCTATTGTAATACCTCCACCAATACCTAAGTACTTGCATTGTGATCCATGTTCTTTGACAGTAACCGTGTAACAATCGATAACAAATCAATCTGTTACCTTGGGTTGTTGCCTAAATTGACACTTGTTCGAGAGTTCGGAATGCATGTACAATCTAACCCTGGTATGTTTGTTAGTTTGGTACAAAAAAACGCCCATCTCCACTTGAGAGCCCTGGAAAGTGAGGAAGTATTCGATTTTCAAACAGATAGGCACCGAAAGGGGACTCTTTCTTTTATATTTTTCAAGCTTGAAGGCCTTCAAGGAGACGGATGGAGGCATAAACAGAGGCTTTTGTGGCGTATTACATCCTGGTCATTGTTAGTCGCTCCAAACGAAAACTCTAAGGAAGCCAATAAGAGCTCTATATCTCCCCTGTTCAACCTATGGCCGAAGAACCAAACTAACAAACATACCAGTCTTATATTGTAAGTTACCGCCAGTTAGCACCTCATCCTGGGTCTTGTGTGCCTGTAAGTCACAAGTGGACAACGACACGCGGTGAGTTCCCTGTTCACTAGAATGTTTGATTGGTTTTCTTCTTGAAATGCTTTTGAGGTTGAGCTCTTGATGGCTAACAAAAGTCCGGTCGGAGTCTGTGTTTAGACCCGAGACTAGCCACTCACCGATTATAAAGTATAGCTCCGATTCTATTGCATATAGTCAACACCACACGATCTACAGCAACATGTACTCGAAAAGAGGCCTGAAACAGGACAGCTTTTCAAGCAGCGTGTACTAGGCTGTTTCCCACTTGTGTTTAGGCTCACATCCAGAGATGCTCAAGCCAATGAAACACACTTCACAAGCCAAAATCAGCTTGACGATGAGATGACCGACCGCCAAGAGAGAGCGTCAAAGTTCAGAAACAGCCAAGCAGAGAGACAATCGGGTAGCTGCTGTCATGGCAACAAGGCAATCATCTGAGGTCCTTTAAGAGAAACTGCCAAGTTGCAAACTCTTTCAGCTCATGCAACTCAGTCATGTCATGCTTTACTCTGGTCATCCCGTCGCCAAGTCGCCAAGTAGGTGTACAACACCTTGAGATTGGAAACAACCGCTCCAAGGCTGTAGTCAAGTGAAAGAGGTTCTTGTAACGGCCGAAAACTTTGAACTTTCAAAGACATAGAATCAGCCATGTTGTTGTTTGACATAGATAGATAGGGGACTTGGCAAAAGGTTCATTGTGAAGGCAAGTGACCAAGGCAAAACAATGGTTGAGATTGAAGTTGAAGTTGGTATTAGAGTTGACACTGGCATAAAAGAAGCTCAATAAAGGAAGTTGCTCGGGTTCGCAAAGACTGGTAGGTAGGCCAAGAGATCAATACAGCCACGGGGAGAAAGAAAAATACAGAGAACTTCTTTACACATGCGAATTTCCTGATCAGACCTCAGCAGTAAGTACCGTTAACAAGAATAGAGGGCAGCGTAAGGTTCCTGTCCCTACCAGGTGACGACTAGCTCCAACAAAGAAAACCCCGACGACCCTTTATGCATAATGCAAGGGCAAGTCACCTTTCAGGACAGCAGATCCGATACCTGGTTCTTGGACTCGGCATATTAAGCTCGAAACAGACCGATATCATATAGCGCTGGCCGTTCAAGTTTTGTGATTCGCTACCTAGACTACATATTTAGGACTGTGCAGTCCAGCGTAGGCCAGACCGTTTGTCTCTTCGTTATAGCTAACATTCATTCCATCCTCAAAACGGGACATGAGCAGATGACAAGAAAGTTGATAAATGAATCGTGTTACACATTTCCAGTGTCGGAGGCAAAACCCGAAATCTCGCATTTTTCGTCACACCGTTGACCTGACACTTGTGCCCCGTCTCCTTTTCAACATTCGAAGCCAAGAGGTTGAGGGTGAACACTACTTGCCTGTCAAGTTGTATCCATACCAATCAAACAACAGCTTCCCCTGGATGATAGCAACAAGTCAACATTTTCAAGATACTTGGAACGATACCACACATGAGCCAAGATGACAAACGGTAAACTTCTTTGATACACCGCAGTTTAGGTTTCACAATTTTCTTGGTTCTCATGGTCTTATCATCATGAATGAGTTGTTGGCCTTTACCGCTTCGATGTTTGGTTGTGTTGTTGATCTCAACTATACAAGTGTCTCGCATTCTCTTGGCGGAACTCACACAGCATCTCTTGGTCTTGGCTCTTTTAGATGGATATTGTCTCGGTGTCTCAACATGGCAGATTGTTACGCTGTTTCTTTCCCCCAAAGTTGTGCGCGTCTCGAGGAATTGCATCTCCTGGTTGTTGCTTGACTTCCATTGCATCCCCTGTTTGGACTGAAGTGGGTGGAGGACTCATCAAAACAAACGGACCGATCAACGACACATGATCAAACTATTAAGTTCACAAAACTCCGAAGCCGTTGACTAGCAACTTCGACGACAACTTCCATTGTGTAGTGTTCTTTGAGGCTCGGTACATGCAATCGACCGAGAAGACTTGAGCAACTGAGATCATCTTCCCTTTTCTTTCACCTTTTCTCGAAAGCTTCCAAGTCTCTTCTTAACCACTCTAACCGATTGTAAGTGCCTAGATTTACCCTTATGTATCAGGGATGTAACCTGCCAATTAACAGACTTGCAGCGAACCTCGACGGGACGTGTATCCGGCCGCCTTTGTCAATTGATCTCCCACTCCCCCCCCCCATCTTCTTGTATTGCATCTTACTTGGTATTTCTTGGCAATGGCTTTTGTGTCACTTTCTAAGTCTTGGCCACTACAACTATAACAACAACTGCGCCTGCGAACTGCAGACTGCGACTGGCGGTCATGTAAGTGTGCATTGAAGGTAAAATTTGCGGATTGTACTGTATAGTGTGTTGTACGTTGATCATTTTGCGTAAGTCGAGAGGTTTGATCCTCCCCCCCATTTATCCGCAAGATGGGAAGTGAGATTTCACCTGCAAGGATAAGGGTAAGCAGTTGGCTTGCGACGCCCAGCCTGGAAGTAGTGTTGCGCTTGGCTTCGATAGTGTCAATTGAATCACGCAAAAGAACGAGAAGCTGCAATTTTCATTTTAATTGACAAAGCTGTTGTGCACAAAAACGACTTTTGTGCAGGTTGTTGACACAGTTCTGGCAAGACTGGGGGATAACGAGAAAGGCAGCTGTCGATAGACGACGGAAATGCATAGACGCAATTGGACCGAACCATGGGGGTTGTTAGTACTTGGATGATGGTTGTCCGTCTTTTTGGCGACGGCCTTTGCTTCCAGGTTCATCCACTTCGGAGACCTCGGATGTCATGGATTGATGAGCAGGTACGAGAAAAAAAAACATAGAAAAAAATTTAAATTACAACCGTCGAAAAAAGCCGACAGAGACGCAGGATTAGCGAGGACGATTGAACGGGTCAATGATGAAACTTGCAATCAGGGAGGAGAATGGTCTTTTGCGTGTTCGCAGTCCTCCCCCAGTCCCTTCGTACCTAGCAAACACGGCATTATTCTTTCATCATCATCGCCAACTACAACAAATCGCCGAGATTACTTCAGGACCTTGCTCTGTTATTTTGCTCACTCTTTGTTTGCATTTTTCGCTTGCCCTTTCATCATGCTCCTCCCTTCCTCTCATGAAAGTAAGTAAGTAGGGAAAGACAGACAGGAAGCGGTTTCAATGACAACTGGCAAATCCGCAAAGCGATGGCTGGGGAGCCAGAGAAAAAGTGGGTTTTCTCCTTTCCCCTGCTTTTTTGGCTCCCCTCCTAGCCTCGGTGTCTGGAGCCCCAGGCAAGCCTGCACTGCGGTGACACGATTTATTTTAGCCAGCTGTGGTCGGACCGCAGGGCAACAATGCAACGAAGGTTCGGTTCCAGCTCTTTCTTCGTTGTTGTCGGCTCTCTCTCTCTCTTCCTCTCTTTCTCTCCTCGGCCCTCTGTCACTGTCTCCACAACAAATGATCCACAAGTTGTGTTTCCAGTTGTCCAATAACAGTGGCCATATTAGTGGGGTTTGTTTGTTGTCTCGCGTGCCTTGCAGTTCGTTGCATCGGAACATGGGGCAGTAGTGTAAGAATTGGCCTGGTGCACAAGAAAGTCGAAGCTAGTCCCAAAAGGTACCTACCACATAAGCACAAAGTGGGGTGGATGTCTGAGTCGAAGGTGTGAAATGTCCGTGTTTGTCCATCCCGTCCTTTGCTCTAGGCCAGCTTTCCTGTTCTGGTGAGAGTGAAGGTAAGATTGAAATGAAATCTTCGAACGACAGCAAAAAATCAAAAAGTTCCAATGTCGTGTCGTGGCGAACCTGTGAGAGCGTCAAGTCGCAATGACAGACAGGTAACAGCAGCGATAAGCTGGTGCTGCTTTGTTGGTTACGGGTCGTTTTCCCTCAGGAACCGAAAACACTCGCTCGCAGATTTCCACCCACTCTGTCAGTCTGGCAACAACGGCACCAACCCCCAACGTTTGTCGAGGCCCGCCCCCCACGCAGCCGCGCCAAACTAGCTGGTAGACCATCCCGCAACTTCATTTCAACCACTTTCCACTTCCCCTCAAATTCGCGTATCGGATTGCCCAGCACATCATCGGGAGTTGAAGTGAGGGTTCCTCTCATAACGAAGAACTGGCGTATGGGTGATAAGCGACCTTTGGTCATTGCAATTGACTTCATCATTCCATCGAACAGTCTTTTGGCGTCAGCCCGTGAAAGATTTTGGTGGAGTTGCTCAATTCGAAGCTTGACAATGACCGTAGCCGGCTTTCCATGTCGAATTGGTGGTAGAAAGGAGGTGATGATTGTGTGATTGATATTTCCGGTTCGGAGCAGAAAAATATGGTGAGATGAAGCTGTAGACTAGCTGTTGGAGCTGTAGCTGCTGGAACTAGAATGAAAGTGATTGAAACAATTCGCCGCCCCCTTTTTCTACAATTCCGAGCCTCAGTAATCAGACGACATCACTGTTGTCGGCGTCGCTGGTGCTGATATGTTCGACCCGGTGTATAGGTAGCTGCTCGTGTGCCTCTCTTCTGGGCCTTTGTCGACTTGACGTGGCTGGCTGGGTGGCTTGGGTTCGTCGGCGAGCCGAGGCGCGTGTTGGATTTCCCTAGTTTACCTAGTTTTCGCCGATAACGCGCGCATAGCGTTCGCTATTATGGGGTAGCGTCTAGTCGTCTTTAATGTCCGAAGATGCCCGCTCACTGGGAACGCTGGCAGCGGCGGTTGCCCCTGGTTATATGCAAACCGCTGCGGCTACCACATTCGAGGCTTCCATTGCAGGATCATGGACGGGCCTGACCGGCCGCAAACAGGGACGTCAGCAGCAGGGGCAGATACTACTACGGTTGCAGAATGCGCAGACTCTTTTCTGCGAATATCGCCGACAGTGCTCCAGTTCAGGAAATTGCATCTCTGCCTCATCTTCCTGGTGTACTGTGTATACAGTGGCCAGACCTGGAGATGTCGAAAAGATTTCACAGGCTCAATGGTTCACGGGCGGCTGAAGGGATCCTGTATTCAGGAACGAGTCCACAGTCCACACATATCGACTTGCCAGGGAGGAAGCCAGCAGAAGCTTGCAGAGACTGTGCTGATTCAAGGCAGTTGGGGGGATTTGCCAGCCGGCACCGAAACGGCAATGAACAACAAGCGATAGCGGTCACCAGTTCCGGTTCGTGCTTACTACAATACCACAACTGAATACCGCCGTGTTTTTTGTTTTTTTTTTCTGCCAGTTTTTTTGAAGAAAAGGGTCCACGCAGGGTCCATAGATCGCACGGCTGCACGGCACCAGAACGGCAAAAAAAGATCCCCGGCCAATGCGTGCCTGTCGCCCTGATATGCAAGGACACAAGGGTGCAACATGGAGAGCGATTTTTTGTGCCGCGCTGTGTGAGCGAGTGCTCACTGTGTGTGATAACAGTGATATTGACTGGAAAGCCACGGAGCCAATTTCGGTGCGAATTGAGAGGTGTTGGTGGGTCCCTGGCATTCACTAGGCACAGCGGCATTCACTGGGCATAACCCAGTCCCCACTCTGTACCCTACCCAGACCGCACCATATCTAGCCTTCCAGACTCTACCAGTCTCCCTCTCTCTCCATAGCACACACTCAATCAACCACATTCAACTGCTTGATTTCGTTGGTAATCTCACAGGTTATGAGCCCTCTCTAACCTTCCCTATAATCGCATTTTTAACAAGCGCATCATCAAGCGCATCGTCAACTTCAATAAGGCGCTATAGCACTAGGTCAAAAGAAATAACTACAATCTTCATCAATTTAACGACTCGCCCGCTCGCCTACAAGCCAGCCTCACTACATAAAGATTCTCGCCAATACTTATTATATAACGACCCCTCTATTGAATTAATTATTAATTTATTTAATAAACTAATTATCAATTTACTTATTAGTAAATTAAACGATTTATTTAAATTAATTAATAATTAATTTAGTAACTACCAACTTCCTTCTTTTTAATATATCCAACCCTCCTATACCCACAACGACTACTAGTTCGTTATTAGTTCCCCTCCTTAACGACTAGAACATCGCCAATTAGTAATAGGGATTTATAGCCGAACTCGATTACTTCCAACTCGCTAACTACATTTTTAAAATAATCCTAGAGCCCGATAAAACAATTAAACCCGAAAAATATAACACTTAGTAGACTAAACGTATTAATATTAATAAAATTCTATTTTCTACCCTTAAGAATACTAATATTACTACTACCTTAAATATTAATAGTTGGAATAGAACCGGTAGAGACTCCAAGGTTACGTATAATCTTATTCAATTATATATCGCCCGTATTACTAACAAAGCTTGTAGCAAAATTCTCGCCGAATACCTAGCTATTAAGTATAATAACTTTAATATTATAGCTTTTTTCCTTATTTGTTATACTTTACTATATAAGCATATTAAGGATACAAAATTTAAAATCGATAACAATTTCGAAGTTACCTTTCTTTATAATACTATAAAGACTATCTACTCTATTAATATTAAATACTAAGTAGCCACCTTAAAAACTAAAGAATTAGATATTAATACTTTCCTATTAAAGTTTAGTAATATTAGCAACGTTAAATCCCGTACTAGTATTAATATTAATATCTAGAGGTCGGCTAATAATAGTAATAATACTAATAAGAATAATAATAATAGTAGTTCGGTTAATAAGAAGAAAGATAATAGCAAGCGAGTCGACTATACTAGTTACAATAAGAAGATCTACCCTACTTAAAAACACATCTCCTATAGTTACTACGTTAGTAAGAAAGCTAATATTTACTAGATTTACTTCCTTAAGAAGGCACTTAATACTTAAAAGCCTAAGAAGGATATAATAGCTAAGAAGGCAACTAACACTAGCACTAGTACCCTTACTAACAATACTTCTATTAATTTCACCACTCCCGCTACTACTACTAACTCTACTTTACTATATAGAAGTGGAATATTTATAAGCATAATTAGTATGGGTAGTAATATAGATTTTTGCTAGAGCCCCTAATTAACGCTATTGAGTGTATTAATAGTATTTAAAATAGTAGTTAATTAATCGATTATTAACTTTAATTTTAATATACCTATAGTAATCCTACTAAAAACCAACAGACTCTAAAATAATATTTACAACCGGATAATATTCGTAATCTAATTATTTATAACTTTAATTATACAAATAATATCTTCAATTACCTTAAATAGTTTATAGATATACAACTACTCCCTTATCCCGCCGTATATACAATCGGCAATGGAACTTCGATTTACGTTTACTATATTAGCACTATTAAATTAATTATAACTATATTAAATAATATTACTATTAGGGTTAGAATTAAAGACTATATTTATAGTCCCTCTATATTAGTAAATTTATTAACTATAAAAAATCTTCTTAATAACAGTATAATTTAGAATATAAAGTCTAATTAAATATTTATATATAGTAAAGTTATAATACAATATAAATAGATTAACGGTCTTCCAATCCTCTTAGTATTTACCCAGCCAAACTTTCCACAAAATATTCGTTATATTATAATAATTTTAATTAATTATTTAATAATATACCGCCGCTTTATATACGTAGGCAAAGACCAGGTTCTCAAAGCTTGCGAAGCGGCTAGTATTAAATTAAATAATACTTAAAATCACTTTTACAAAGCTTATATTAAGGTAAAGGCATATAATATAATCCCTAAAATCGCTAGCAAAGTAACGACTTAATTATTAACTTACATCTACATCGACGTCATTTCCTATACTTTACCTAGCTACAAGGAATATAAATATATAATCTACTTTATTAATTAGGTTACTAAATTCTACTGGGCAAGGTTTATAGTTAATAAGGGCGATGCCTTCGTATAGATTAAAGAGTTTAAGAAATAGGTTAAACTTTAAAGCGGTCTTAAGATTAGGGTATTTAACTTTAATAGTAACTTAGAATTTAACTTTAATATTAAAGAATTTTAATAAAATAAAATAATCGACTAAGCACGCACAGAAGGCGTAGAGTTACTAAAATTAATACCCTATACCCTATAAATATAAAGAAAGATCGAGAGAGCCGGTACTATTATTATACAATATACTAGAGCTTTAATAATAGACTTTAATATCCTAGAGTATTTATAGCTATTTATAATAGACTACATTATTAGAGTATTTAACCTTCTACTTTTAAAAACTTATAATAGCAAAAGCCTATAGGAATTACTCATTAATATAGCCAACTTCCTAAATAAAATTAAGAAGTTATATTTCAAATATTTAAAATTTTACTTTTATACAGCCTACTACTTTATTAAATTAGAAAAGCGACTACAAAGCAATAAATTTCGCACTAGAATTCAGAAGGGTTATTTTATCGGTTTTAACAATATTTATAGTCGTATTATATTTATCTGGAATCCCTATATTAGCGAGATTATTAGAATAAACGTAGTAACCTTCCTTAAAGAAGACCCGGTTAACTACAAGGATCCAATCCGTAATAATAACAGTAATATTATTAAATATTATATTATCTTTTTAAACTAAATAGTTAATGAAATTAATAAGGTAGTAAATAGTAATTACTAAATCTAGGTTAAAATTAATAATATAATTCTACAATTATATTCGTAGAAAGTAGTAGAATTAATCTAATAAGCGACCAAATTATTAAAATAGGAAGTTAAAATATAGGAGACAACGATTATATTACTACTATCGCTAGAGGTTACCCTAGTACCCTTAACCGTAACGGCTATTATAACCACTCTAATCAATTCGACTATTCTAACAACTACAATAGCTCCCCTAAATATTCTAATCAATACGGTACTACTAATATTACCGTTACTAACACCGACCCTATCGCTAACTCCGGCTCCAAAAACCTTACTAGCGCACTTATCGCTAGTATAATCGTTATTAAATCCATTATAACGTTAATTAATAAATTCGCTAATTAGAAAAACTATTGAGTATAATAACAACCTTTTTAATTTTAAGAATCTTAATAAAAAAGACCCTATACTTTACAATTAATACGACCGATACGATTCTAACGAACTAACTATTTATATTACTCCAAGTACCCCGCTACCTAATAATCTTCAACAATTAACTTTAGTAATTCGATTACCACTAATAGGTATACCGAACCCCGCTTATATATAATAATATAGCCCGTTGCTAGTATTGCGAGTTAGTAAGCTACAACTTTAATTAAAAATAAATTTAGAGAAACAAACCTCGAATTCGGACCTTCCGAACCCGAATTCGGAACCCCCAACTTTGAATTTAAACCCTCCGATCTTAAATTCGGACCCTATAATAATTCCGCCAAACTCTATAAATTAATAATCTATATAAATATAATTAGGATAAAGAAGCTAACCCTCTAAGTTTAATATATAATTATTAAATATAAAAATAAATAAAAGTAAACTTCGTTGTACTACAATTAAGCTAATAGATTTCAAATATAATATTTAATAGGTAAAAAATAGTAATAGTAATATTATTTAAAATTTAATAAACTTACCTAACAACTTCTATAGTATAGTAGAGGGACGTTTAATTAAACATATACCCATCTACTACTTTATTACCGTTAAAATCGATTACAATATAGTAACTATTACTACCAGCAAAATTTAACATTTTATCCCTAAGAATTATCGAATTATACGTAAGTAGAGTAACTTTAAATTATATTAATTATTAGTAATAAAAAAGTAAATTAAAATATTCGAAGATAGAGGAATCTATACCTTAGTCCCTAGATTTCTAAATATAGAAGTTCTACCTAGAAAATAGGTATATAACGAGAAGTACGATATTAATACTAAAGATTAAAAAGTTAGAGCTAGATGGATAATTTATAGTAATTTTGAATAAGGCAATTGGGCGGTATAAGAAATATATATAACGGTAGTATATTCGGTTAATATTAGATTATTCTTAGCAATTATAGTTATAAACGATTACGAGTGCTATTAATTCGATTTCGATATTACTTTTTTAAATACCTCTATCCTTAATAATACCTAATATTATATTGAATAGCCAATAGCACTTGAGAAGGCTATATCCGGCTATAGTAAAAAAGACGTAGTATACTAATTTATTAAAGCACTCTATAGTCTTAAACGTTCCCTACTTTACTAGTTTAATACTTTAGTACTAATACTTAAAGAAGTAGGATTTCTACTAATATTAACAGACTCTTGCCTGCTTACTAATAAAGCGCTAAGCGCATTACTAGTTCTATACGTTAACGACCTCCTTATTACCGCTCCGACCGTAACTATTATTAATTAAATCAAAAATTAACTAGCCAACTATTTTAAATTTAAAGAGTTAGGACAAATTCGCACATTTCTAGGTTATAACATTGTAAAGGACCGCCAAACTCGTACGGTCTTTATATCCTAATAATAATATACTAAATTAATTATTACTAAATTTAATAATAGCAAAATTAAACTCTATAGTATTAAAATACTATAGCCACCGGATTATAAAATCTATAGGAGTAACAACGTATCCCCGGACGAAGCTAAATCTTATTCTAAGAAGATTAATTCATTAAATTAAATATTAATAAGTACCCGGCCAAATATTACCTTTATTATCAATAAGCTCTTAGAAGGTATTAAAAAACCTACTAACCGTTACTTCGTTATTATAAAATATTTATAGCGATATCTATCCAAGTACCTTAATTTAGGTATCAAATTAGGAAGTATACTCTCGCCGTTAATAGCCCCATCCTTCTACGCGTATATAAACGCCTCCTTTACTAACGACATCCCTTTAAGGAAGAGTATAGTTAGTTACATCGTATTCTTTACCTACAGCCCCGTCCTATAGAAATCTAAATACTAGGATTTTGTTATAATTAGTATAATAAAGGTAGAATTTACTAATCTAGTACCTACGGTTAAGGCTCTCGATTAAGTAAACAATATACTTGATAATCTAAACGTGAATTTAGGTTTTTATAAAATTAATAAAATTCTTTATATAGATAGTAGCAATACTAAAGACCGGATTCTCAACCCCAATTTACCCGCTAGAAATAGATATATCGACATACGGTATAAATAGTTAATTTAAAAGGTAAATAAAAAGGTATTTACAATCGAATACTTGCCAGGTAACGAAATACTAGCTAACAGTCTAATAAAGCCATTAAAACCGGATAAACACGCTAAATTCGTTAAATTAATCGGTATAGTTTAAAAAAAGGTTCCCTAGGCTTAATCAATACTATAAAAAATATTACAATATAAATAGTATATAGAGGTTTAAACTCTCTTTAATAATCTTCTAGTCTATAGGGGTATGTTGGTGGGTCCCTGGCATTCACTAGGCACAGCGGCATTCACTAGGCATAACCCAGTCCCCACTCTATGCCCTGCCCAGACCGCACCATATCTAGCCTTCCAGACTCTGCCAGTCTCCCTCTCTCTCCATAGCACACACTCAATCAACCACATTCAACTGCTTGATTTCGTTGGTAATCTCACAAGAGGCCTTCTCCGCTGGAAGCGCCTTGGCGCGGCTACTCAAGGGCCAAGAACTGGAGAGGAACGGAGAGCCATGGAGACAAGCAGGAGACAATTTTCTGTTCCTGAGTTTTCCCACAAGGTTCGGAGTCGTCTCCTAGCGCCGCCGCCGTCCGGGTGGTGGGCGGGAGAGCTTGGCAGCATCCGTCGTCGAACCGCCGTCGCCGGCCCCTGACGGTGAGGCTGCCGTTGCGTCACTGCCGTCGCCGGACATGAAGCCATGGAAATAACAAGGTGGTATCGCTGATGATGAGTTCGGCGGCGCCGTAAAATGTCGGTGATGAGGTGTTCATGCTCCTCCGAGATCCAGGCCAAGCGGCGTGGCCATTGGGCAATTTAGCGTGGCGGTTGAATCGCAGCCCCGGTCTCGGATGGCCACGACCGCCCCCGCGGGAATATGGCACAATCGCGAACATTGGTGCCGACCGAGCGAGGATTCCCTGTCCGTTCGGTAACGGCTCACCCGAGAATTATCCACGTGAGCACCGACAGTCAGTGCCGTGCCTGTTCCGGTGTCATCAACTCAAGCGCTGTGTGCTTCCTTCGAGTGCTCTTCGTCCGCAATTTTGTTTCGATGTCCAGTCTGTCATCCACAACAACTACGGCGTACACCTTTGCATGGATGTAACTTGCTAGCATAATTTTGTGGGTGGCAAAAAACCTTAATCTTCACACAAGAAACATCCAGCTTCGTTCCCTATTTGGCCACCGTTTCTTGTAGCGGCAACGTACCGGGCTAGCATTTTAGCCATGCAGAGGCGTACCAACCGACCATTCAATGCTCGTACGGGTAAAAGCGTAAAACGGTGAAGGAAGCCGCTAGACCCCATCAACCCCAAAGAAAGCGGAAATCCCCCAACTTCTCACCCACACTCGCCCACATTCGCTTACTGGCCCTCGATTGGTCGCAAGCCAGCCTCTCTTGTCTCGGCTGTCATCTCTTTTTAACCTTTTGCTGCTTCTTCGCTCGTGACGGGAATAATCGCCGGGTTATAACGGTTCCTGGAAGATTGTACATGTTTCATGGCCGGTACCCACGATACGTAATCTGCCTTTTGCCATGCTACCTCGGCTGTCATGTACAAATTGTGCCCGGAGAAGCACTCGAAGCAAGTCGTGAGATCAGAAAGAAGTGATTTCCAGTTAATTGATGTCAAATCCCCACAGATTCGGAAGAAGTTGCAGAATGCACGCACCTTCCCTTGCTAGCATGTGCATGTGCGGTACATATCTCGTTCCCACCTTCGTGCCCGTTGTTCTTGCAGCCCTTGAGGCTCTCCATATCTTGACGCTCCTTATTGGTCAGAACATGGCTTCCTTCTACTTGCGCGCCACTTGGCGACTGCCATCCGTTGGTGTTGCCTGTGGGGGCATCCGATGCTCCATCCCACCAAAATACGGTTGCATAAGGGCGTGCATATTCCAAACCTTCTAGAAAAACCGCCTCCAGACCGCTTTTTGTTCCATGCAGCCAGGGCAGCTTGGCTCTCTCTTTGAGACGACGGCGCCCGTGGTGATCAGGTGGTGTGCACCCTGCGATGACAACGGCAACAGCGACGACAAGTGGACGATGCCTCATTGACGAGACCGGCACACTGGTCGATCGGTTCCCAGCACGCCGTGACCTGACCCGTGAATCATGGACCAGCCCTTTCCCGCGCTTCCACGATTTTCTCACCCTCGTTTTCTCCATCCGCACGCAATCCATAACCGTATCCATCGGTATATCCATCTTGAGGCCGGAGAACAACCGAGCGAACTGCGATAGTTTTAGGTTTTGGGGGATTTTGCGGTGTATGTGTGGATGGTTACATTCTCGCCTTGTCCTTTTGGGCTCGGCTTTGGTGTCTTGGATGGAGGCGACCAGCACCAACACCTCGGCACTGGCCTGCTGGCAGACCGGTAGTACTGGCACTGGCACTGGCACTGGCACACGGCTGACGGGCTTTACGCTAGGCGTGTTGTTCCCGTTCTGGGGGGCAGGTAGCTGACCACCATGTTGTCTCTTGCCAAGTCGCCAGCCGTTTTCCGGTCAATCGAAACTCGACAGTGTGTGTAGTTTCTCAACACCCGGTCGGCTGGGCCGCCTCGTCATTTTCGTATCGCGGTGGTGTAGGAGACAACAACACCATGAACAGCTTGGACACGCCAGGCTTGCGTCCTTTTCCGCGTAGGAGGCAATATTGTGCACGTAAAATGTGCGCAGAAGCCAAAACAGCCAATTGGGCCTAGAACCGTGTGCTCAGCGAGCAATCTAGTTCAAGGTGCCAAGTCGGCCTGGGCAGAACACGGGCTAAAACCATTGTTTCTGGGCATTGAGATGCAAAAGTTCTTTGAAGAGTGAAGCCGGTCGCGATCGCTGCCGAATGGGCTGTAATCTCCCCAAGACGCGGAGGCGGCGATCTTCCCCATGGCACACGCCGCGGTTCCTGGTCTTGTCAACAAGGTGCTCCTCTTCGGTCCTTCAACACTCAAGGTTGGGAGATTGCTGTCCGATTTGCAGTTCAACACCCGCCGGTTGCGACACCTCTTGAAAACCCGTGAGAGGCTGCCGTGACAGGGCAGGGGGACCAGTGCTACCCTGCCATAGAGGTCGGAAGGGCGCTACACTAAAAACGATGGTTCGCTGGCGACAGAGCAGCAAGCGGTGCCTCCATCGGCTTTGCAAGCCATCAACTGAACCACTGCTTGCCGATGAAAGTTCAGGGTAATCCCTTGTGTGGAGTTTTCCGACTTTTCTTTTCTTCAGTTTTTCAACAAGGAATATCGCCTCTGCGACGAACCTCACAATGTGCTTTGTACGGCAATATGGGGCGCACGTTGCATGGTAGCGCGAGGGAACTCCCGCGGTCGATTGGACATGAAAAATAGAAGAAAGAAATTTCTTACATTTGATAGGGTTCGGGAACGTCGGCGGCTTGATATTGTGGAGTGTCAGTCGTCGGTTTTCACCTTTTGCTCAGATTGAGGAAAGTGATAACGTTTCATTCCCTTGTTGGCTTGATTCGCATTGCTCATCATTGGGGGCCTGAATACAATGACGTAGATCCATTTCCCCCCGTTCGTGATGAGGGACTGCCTGCCTGGTGAGGGTAATATCAGATCACCACTGACAACCAGCCTCGGTTCCCTACAAAGGACAAGGCAAACATGACTCTTTGCATGGAGGGGCAATCGTGTGTTGCTATACTGATTGTTTCATTGCTGTTTCCATATGGCGAGTCTTGATATACCGTGTTACTTGACAACGTGCAGCTCCCGTCCCGGTACTGAGGGGACAGACAACCTTAATCCAGCCTCGGCCGCGGCCAGACTTCGGAAAGAATGAGTTGAGGGAAATTGACCAGCTCGACATGAAACCTGTATTGCCCGAATATCCGTCTAGCTATAACATTTAGTGATCCCTAGTATCGTTGACGAATACTCATCTATGACCAGTAGCTTTAGTGTACATGTTGGTTGGATATACCTAGGCATATTGCATTCTAGGGTGCAAACCAGTGCCGTAGTGTACACTGCACCCAATTCGACGTCAGCATGGGAAACAGCTTCACCGTGACTTGTTATGTCCCAGATACCGATCAGACGGAAGTCCGATCTCATCAGACCGAGCCGGCAAAAACACCGTAACGCAACGTCTTAGACCTGTCTGGTTGAATCCAAGACCCTAGACTCCCCGTTCCCGTCTAATTTGCCATGGCAGTGTTACACGGAAACCAAAACAGACCGACGGGTAGGCACGGGCTCGACCGTTGCCTACGGGTCAGTGTATGCCATGCAGCATGTCGCGAACGACGGTGACTTCTCAATGGAAGACGAGACAGGCGAGGCCGACAGCAATGATCGTGACGGACTGCCCGCGGAGAAGACTGGCCATGTGCTGCAAAGTGCAGACGGCCACACCGTTCCACCGTTTCCAGCGGTTGGGATGGGCGAGCCAAGCCTCCAGCTGTTTGTTTCTGGCAGGCATTCGTCGATTCGTTTACACTAGGTTCCCCTTCTCGTCGTTGCCGGCAGGGATAGAGCTCTCACGGCAACGATAAGGGCTCTTTTGGGCCCTTGGCGGGCTGGCCACCACTAACTGGCCAGTTAAAGCGAAGCATTTGCACGGCATGGGTGTACCCCAGCTTCCGGTTCATGACGGACAGCGAGGGCCAAAGCTTGTTCGCGCCTATGAAATCGAGAGCTTGAGACTGTCGAGGATGTAGTGTGTAGTCTGATCTTAGTGCTCTGTCGCCAAGGAATTGGCGTGGAGCTTCACGACTCTGGACTTCCCCCTGGCCAGCCTGCATAGCGATACATGAACACACAATTCCATCTCATAAAAAGCAAATGCAGCGCATAGGGGAAGGAAGGCAGCCGATGCCTGGGCCAGACGAGGCCGTTCGAAGCCATACCGACTGGCGCGGCCGAGAGGTAGATAGCATGAATTATGGAGTCGTGATTATCCATACCGAGTGACCGCCAAACTGCCTGGTGCAATGGCAACTCTGGGCCGGCTGACCGCCAAGTGTTCTGGAGACATGCTCGCCGTTTGTGAGTCTGTGGTGGCCGGCGGATTCGCTGCTGAGTGTGAGGTTGGGAGTGCTGGTCGACTGCGGCGGCCCTGGGGCTCTGGCGACGCCCCTAGGCCGCTCTGGCACTCGCGCGCCGGGCCTTTTGTGTGGGAAAAACTGTAAATCCCTTCTGATTTCTGAATTCCTCGTCGTCATTCAGGAAGCGCGAGCCAATAAGAAGCTGCGCAGGCCGGTGTGGAGGTGGGCAGCCAGAAAATCCCGCAGGCTTTTGGCTGACAGGGTACTCAGGTGGAGAGGCACGGACAGGTATCTCAGTACGGACTCAATTGCGGCTTGTGGTGGTGAGCGCCCAGAGGGCAAAGGCGGACGGTGGGGTGAAGGTACCTGGACGCACTGGACGATCGAGGTATCCTGCGGTAACTCATTGCGACCTGCACTCTTGGGGACCCGCTTTTCTGCTAACCCCTGCTTATAGCAAGGGTATCAGCCAATGCTTGTGAGGTTGGACTTCTCGGAAGGAAAGGCAATCACATTCAATCGCGGTCTGCTCTTTGGGGCGTGCCGTGGTTGTAGTTAGTGCGGTGCGCTGGAAGGTAGTGCTTGTCCGCCTCGCCAGCTTAGCCCGCGCTGGGCAGTTGTACCGTGTCAATTGGAGGACCAAAGAGGCCGACCTGAGGCCGACCCACCAAAAAGGTAGGCAAAGAACGGATAGCGAGAACAGTCTGTACACAGGCGCACACGGTGACATCGTGTGGAGGCGGGCTCAAGTCGAATCCAATTCGAACACTCTTCTCTTTCTACGAACGGAACGGCGGCTCCTCTGGGCTCCTGGTTCATTCAAGGGCCGACCAACTCGTTGCTTGCTAGCAATCAGCGACCCGTCAACGTAATGCCCATTGATCCCATTGACCATGACCCTTTGGTTTCGGCGGTCGCGGACCCACCATCGCTGTCGAAAAGTTGAACCCTACGTGGGCCGCAGAGCCCGTCGGTGGCCGTCATCCCATGGCACAAGTCGTTTCTTGCGAGCCGTGCTCTGGGCAGAAAAGTGAAGGACCAGGGAGGGACGTGCACGGTTGTGGTTCCGTAGTCCCAGCGGTCGAACTAGCAAGCAGGTACGCGGTACCTGGTGCTAGCGCAGTCTCCACGCTCTGTTCCGCTCGATGGGGTGCCCGTCTGGAAAGTGGACTCTGTGGGTGCATTGAAGGGTGAACTGGAAGGTGACTGCATTGGTGGGCGGACAGGGCGCTCGCCAGGGCACCAGCACCAACAAGGACGACAAGGTACCGGGTACAGTACGATACAGTGCCGGGGCCTGCAGCCCACTCGATCGTAGCTGGCGAATCCCACACTTTGGCGTGCATGCCAAAGAAGGTTGGCTTCCATCTTTGGCCGGAAAGGTCGCTCATCGCTCGGTCACCGGCCGGAAAGATTGAAATACCTTTCTCGCCCGCTCCCTCGATTCGCACCTCCTCTTCTTTTCCTCACGCTCGAAGGCTTTTTTAATCCCTCCCTTCGTCGTGAATCTCCCCCCCCAACTCCTAATACTTTTTTCCCGACCCTTATCCCTCGGTCTACTTCGCTTCGTTTGGACGATTTCACCATCTTCCAACGACTACGCCACATACCTCACCACCTATTAGGTCATCAAAACAAAACCCTACCGCCGCGTGCCCGAAAACCCTACTAGGTCCGTTCACCTTTTGCGGTCTGCTCGAAGTCTACATATGCCCGCAACTCTGTCCTCCCACCAATCTGCTCCATTCACCAACACCACCCCACTTCCGAACGCGAGCTGCTTTGCCCTGTGGACCTGTTCCTATGATCTTCAAGCTTTGCCTACCATACACTCCACTCCTACTTATACACCACCACTACATCAACTTCTTCCCCCCCATCCAATTATCAGACTCTGCTCATCTCGAGATCTAATCCTAACATCGTCTTCGTTTCTACAGTACCTTAATATACGCCTAGCAGAGCTTTGATCTGCAAACCACAACGCCAATGGCGGACCACTCGGCCAGCGGCGCTCCTGCGCTGTCGACCAACATCGAGAGCGGAAAGTTCGACGAGAAGGCGGCGGAGGCTGCCGCTTACCAGCCCAAGCCCAAGGTTGAGGACGATGAGGATGAGGACATCGATGCCCTCATTGAGGATCTCGAGTCCCATGATGGACACGATGCTGTAAGTGACCTATTGCATACCCATTCAGTAACGCCCAGCATACTGACCCCCATGAATAGGAGGAGGAAGAAGAGGAGGCCACTCCTGGTGGCGGCCGTGTCGTCCCCGAGGACATGCTCCAGACTGACACCCGTGTCGGTCTTACATCCGAGGAGGTTGTCCAGCGCCGTCGCAAGTACGGTCTCAACCAGATGAAGGAGGAGAAGGAGAACCATTTCCTCAAGTTCCTCGGTTTCTTCGTCGGTCCCATTCAGTTCGTCATGGAGGTACGTTGCCATCACATGTCAAGATTCACTCCACTATCCCTGCGGCTGTTGAAACGAAACGAGACGTCACCCCGCGCGACTCTACCGCATCGATGCTGACTAGTTTGACTACAGGGCGCTGCCGTCCTTGCTGCTGGTCTCGAAGACTGGGTTGATTTCGGTGTCATCTGCGGTCTGTTGCTTCTCAACGCCGTTGTTGGTTTCGTTCAGGAATTCCAGGCTGGTTCTATCGTCGACGAGTTGAAGAAGTAGGTTGCCAACGAGCTGCCATACAACGCCATTGAGCATTGCGCTAACCCATTTGCCTTTTCAGGACTCTTGCTCTCAAGGCTGTTGTTCTCCGTGATGGTACTCTCAAGGAGATTGAGGCCCCCGAGGTCGTTCCCGGTGATATCCTCCAGGTTGAGGAGGGTACCATTATCCCCGCTGATGGTCGCATCGTCACCGATGATGCTTTCCTCCAGGTTGATCAGTCTGCTCTTACCGGCGAGTCTCTTGCTGTCGACAAGCACAAGGGTGACCAGGTCTTCGCTTCCTCCGCTGTCAAGCGTGGTGAGGCTTTCGTGGTCATCACCGCCACCGGTGACAACACCTTCGTCGGTCGTGCCGCTGCCCTCGTCAACGCTGCTAGCGGTGGCTCTGGTCACTTCACTGAGGTCTTGAACGGTATCGGTACCATTCTCCTCATCCTCGTCATCTTCACTCTCCTCATCGTCTGGGTTTCCTCGTTCTACCGTTCCAACCCCATCGTCCAGATCCTCGAGTTCACCCTTGCCATCACCATCATCGGTGTCCCCGTCGGTCTTCCCGCTGTCGTCACCACCACCATGGCTGTCGGTGCCGCCTACCTCGCCAAGAAGAAGGCCATCGTCCAGAAGCTCTCCGCTATCGAGTCCCTTGCTGGTGTCGAGATTCTTTGCTCTGACAAGACTGGTACCCTCACCAAGAACAAGCTCTCCCTCCACGACCCCTACACCGTCGCTGGTGTTGACCCCGAGGATCTCATGCTTACTGCCTGCTTGGCCGCTTCCCGCAAGAAGAAGGGTATTGATGCCATCGACAAGGCTTTCCTCAAGTCCCTTAAGTACTACCCCCGCGCCAAGTCTGTTCTCTCCAAGTACAAGGTTCTTCAGTTCCACCCCTTCGACCCCGTCTCCAAGAAGGTCGTCGCCGTTGTCGAGTCTCCCCAGGGTGAGCGCATCACTTGCGTCAAGGGTGCCCCTCTTTTCGTTTTGAAGACTGTCGAGGAGGACCACCCCATTCCCGAGGAGGTTGACCAGGCCTACAAGAACAAGGTTGCTGAGTTCGCTACCCGTGGTTTCCGTTCTCTTGGTGTTGCCCGCAAGCGTGGCGAGGGCTCTTGGGAGATTCTCGGTATTATGCCCTGCATGGACCCTCCCCGTCACGATACCTACAAGACTGTCTGCGAGGCCAAGACTCTCGGTCTCTCCATCAAGATGCTCACTGGTGATGCCGTCGGTATTGCTCGCGAGACTTCTCGCCAGCTCGGTCTCGGTACCAACATCTACAACGCTGAGCGCCTCGGTCTTGGTGGTGGTGGTGACATGCCCGGCTCTGAGGTCTACGACTTCGTTGAGGCTGCCGATGGTTTCGCCGAGGTCTTCCCCCAGCACAAGTACAACGTCGTCGAGATTCTTCAGCAGCGTGGCTACCTTGTTGCCATGACTGGTGACGGTGTCAACGATGCTCCCTCGCTCAAAAAGGCCGATACTGGTATTGCTGTCGAGGGTTCCTCCGATGCTGCCCGCTCCGCTGCCGATATCGTCTTCCTTGCCCCTGGTCTCGGTGCCATCATTGATGCCCTCAAGACTTCTCGCCAGATTTTCCACCGCATGTACGCCTACGTTGTCTACCGTATCGCTCTGTCTATCCACTTGGAGATCTTCCTCGGTCTCTGGATCGCCATTCTCAACCGTTCCCTCAACATTGAGCTTGTTGTCTTCATCGCCATTTTCGCCGATGTTGCCACCCTTGCCATTGCCTACGACAACGCCCCCTACTCGCAGACCCCCGTCAAGTGGAACCTTCCCAAGCTCTGGGGTATGTCCGTCCTCCTCGGTGTCGTTCTTGCCGTCGGTACCTGGATCACTGTCACCACCATGTACGCTCAGGGTGAGAACGGCGGTATCGTCCAGAACTTCGGTAACATGGACGAGGTCCTCTTCCTCCAGATCTCCCTCACTGAGAACTGGCTCATCTTCATCACTCGTGCCAACGGTCCCTTCTGGTCCTCTATCCCCTCGTGGCAGCTCAGCGGTGCTATCTTCCTCGTTGATATCCTTGCCACCTGCTTCACCATCTGGGGTTGGTTCGAGCACTCCGACACCTCCATCGTCGCCGTTGTCCGTATCTGGATCTTCTCCTTCGGTATCTTCTGCATCATGGGCGGTGTCTACTACATCCTCCAGGACAGCGTTGGCTTCGATAACCTTATGCACGGCAAGTCCCCTAAGGGCAACCAGAAGCAGCGCTCGCTTGAGGACTTTGGTAAGTTACATTGACTTCCTCCCAACGTTTACGCCTTGACCAATAGCTAACAATACTTCCCTCACAGTTGTCTCTCTCCAGCGTGTCTCTACTCAGCATGAGAAGTCGCAATAAGCGATATAATGATTTTCCGGGTGCAATGTTCATGAAGGTTGCCTGATTGAAATGACGGGATGATAACTCCATATGACCCCCCTTGGTATACCCCTTGGTGGCATCTCAGCCATTGAAGATTTTAGATTAGGGCTGGGAGTTTGCCGCCAGGCTTTTCTTTCTGGAATTTGTGTCCACAACTTCTTAGGGGTATACGTACCCATTACATTTCTTAGATACTAATACTAAAACTGTAAAATCTAATAACCTAACAAGTTCCTGTGAAAGCTGCCATGTTGAGCGTGTCAAGTTTTGGACACTTGGGTTGACTTCAGGCTGCAAACATGAATGCACAATGGAGATTTTGGATCATGCAGTCCCTCATGTTGTTTCCCACGAGTTGGATGGTGGTGACCAAATGCAGGTACCTACCCGTGACCTGGCAAAGTGGGCCTGACTGACTCCAAAAAGTCTGAACACCACGCTAACATGGAGCTGCCTCTGGCCACCAACGCAAATGACATAACTATTTCTCTTCCCTCAACTTCTGACTGGCATCTGGCATCTGGCGCTATTACCCACTCGGTCAACCTTTGTGCGTCCAAACATCAGATCTTTATACACCACAACACGCTCCCAGGTAAGTCCTCGATTGCGAAAAACGCGCTCAGACGCAATCACGGCATCCCAGACGAATAATTTCAACAGTCACTGACTACATCCATAGATACTTGCCGTGTTTTGTAACTCTACTTTCAAGCTTACAGTGCAGTTAACACACGCAACACCTATCACGGGAGCAACTGCACATTGTCCCCGATGATCATTTATCGAGACCGCCTTTTACACTTACTTTTGGCTTGCCAGCACGGGTTGGATCGATAGTGGCAACTCAGCAGCATAGAGGATCGGTCGTCACTTCCATTTGTGTCACACATAGCGGTGACCTGATTGTATCAGAAGGAACAAGCCATCGTGCATTGGCTGCAATACACGAGCGGAAGAAGCAGGCGAAAGAAGCATTTCGGGAAGGCAGAGGGCCAAGCATCTTGAGCCGAGGCTTTGCACAAACGCTTTGGCTACGACGGGCTGTCGACTGAGAACAACATCGCTCCTACCTAGCAAGCAAACTTGGCAGCGGTCTTCGAAGCGCAGGCTTCTAAGGCAGCTTTGTTGAGCTTTGAGCGACATAGCTTCGGCTCTGTCACGTGGATTGCGTGAAGAACCGAATCATTTGCCTTGTACTTGGCACGGTTATTTCTGGTTTGTGGGCTGCGAGGACCTAGGGGGGGACAAAGGAGAAACCAGCGGAGACGACCT